CAATCACATTTTTTTTTTTGAGGGGGAGGGGGGGGGGGGGTACCTTTACTGGAAAGGAATGCTATTTATCAAACGAAAAGACGATATGCAAAGGATGATCCGGCCAGGAATGCCAGGTGGGAGTGCTATAAGGACTGGAGATACGGAATCCCTGTGGATTAATTTGCTTATACCAAAGTCAAAACCAATTGTTGTTAGCGTTCTATAGACCTCCGAAATACAATTTATCGAGAAATTGTCCAATATTCTTGATAGGCCTATATTGAAGAAGAATGACGAACTATTCTTTTAGGAGACATGAATATTTGTCTTTACAAATCGCCACTGGCTAAAAAAAAATACATGGACTTGTTGAGTCTTCTTCACGGGTTTAGTCAACTCATTAAATAAGCAACGCGAGTTACACCTACATGTTCTTCTCTACTGGATCACGACGCGTCGTAGCAAACAAAACAAAATAAGTCAAAGTGGTGTCCTTGATCTTGGTACTAGCGACCATTTTTTAAAACTTTCTGTACACGGAAAAATGTTAGATTTTTGGCTTATATGTCATCACAGGACTACTGATATCAGATCCACAAAAAAATATACGGAAGAGACTTTCAATCTTCAATTATTAATATATGATGTTGATTGGTCGGGAATAACTGACTGTACAGATGTAAATGAGGCACGGTCAATATTTTAACATTTTTTAAATCTCAACTTTGAATATGATAGCGCCACTGAAACGGATACGAATAAAACAAAGATCATAAACTTGGGTGACTAAAGATATTCTTTCCCTAATTCAAGAGAAAAATATCGTATACAAAAAATTGAGTAAATAATAGAGTAAACTGAAAGATGAGATGCTTTATAAAATATACAGGGTATTAAAAAATATGGTCCAAAGAGAGGTGAAAAAGGGTAAACTCGATTACTTACAAAACAAGATAAAAACAATTAACATGATTCGGAAAGGCTTTGGCAGAATCTAATAAGCTAAGGATTGAAAAAGAAGAAAAAAAGAAAAAAGAAGAAGAATCTGTCTTAACAATCGATGGGGAATTATGTCAGGATAATTAGATGGCCGTCGCTAATGAATTCAATTCTTATTTTACAAATGTGGCTGCCAAATTAGTTCAGCGCAGACAAGGATTGTATTCGTGAGTTTTAAAGAAAATGTGTACGTAAAAACAGCTTCGCCGAGTTTATATTAGCCTACCAATCAGTGAACGATTTGTTTTCAATGAGTTAAGTAAATTGAATGTATCAACAAGTACTGGGTTAGATATGATTCCAGCTAAATTTCTGAAAGATGGTACGAAGGTTTTATATAAAGCCTTTATGTTACTCAATGAACCTTTCTACATGATCTTGATGAGTACTTTTCCAGAGGATATGAAAATAGCGAAAGTGACTCCATTTTATAAAAATCAAAGATTCTAGAAAAATTGATCTGTGTTCAAATTGAAAAATACTTCAAAGAAAATGATATAATTTATGATTTAAACCTGGTTTTCGACATTCATTTGACTGATTACTTGAGGACAGAAACTTCCCAAGTGCGCTTTGTTGGTATTTACGTTGGTATTACACAAAGTAATGGCCATTCATGATATTCGTTTCAAGCTAGCTAGTGCCTATAACGTGAGGTGTTCCTGAGGGAAGCATTTTAGGGCCAATTATATTTACATGTTATATCAATGATAGATATGTGTATTTTGTATAAAAGACTTTGAACTATTATTGTACGCAGATGACAGCATTCTACTGTATTGAAATCCTAATCCACTGAATATCTTGAGGAAAAGCTCAGTGAATAGCTGTCTACGTTTGTCGATTGGATGACTGATTATAAACTTTATTTACACTTGGGAAAAACAGAAAGCATTTTATTTTGTTCTAAAAGCAGTTCTAAAAAGTTATTTGAATTCAAAGTGACCCACAATAATCAAGTAGTCGAGAGACAAGAATCTGCGAAGTATTTAGGCATCGAGTTGGCTAGCGCAATTTCAATTTCATCTTTAGTAGAATCAGTTGTAAAAAAAGAAAATTCTCGTCTGAAATTTTGTACAGATTTCAAAGTTGTACGGATTTAAAAGCAAGACGTATAATCTGTTTAGCTCTTATGCAATGTTAATTTGACTATGCTAACCCTGCATGGTATAGTATCATAAACAAGTCAGATCAAAAGAATTTGAAAATGATACAGAACAAAATGGTGAGATTCATCAACTGTTCTGGTCCAAGAACTCATTGTTGGCTGCAGCGAACTTTCTACAGCTGGTTTTCTTGAGGTCAACCAATGATCAAAAGAACTTGTATTGCATCAGGTGCATAAAATATGATTATCATACAAGGTCAAATCATTATAGTTCCAACTTCGATCTTGTTACTGACTTACATGATTATAATACAAGAAATAGCCGATTTAACTTTAACTTTCCAGAAAGAGTACTAGTATTGGAAACTGGTTATTACATTTCCATAAAACGTTGGAATTCCCTTCCTAATGATATCAAGGAAATAGAAAACTAAAGGAACTTACCTAACACTTGAGAGTCAGAGAAGAGAAGCGAATGATATGTTATATGATTGAAATAGCACAGACACTTTTCTTTTCTGCGGGTTCTACTTTTTAATTCTGTATACACTTATGTTTTGTACGTTATAGAAATTCAACATAATTATTCATAATTATTTCCTCTTCTTCTTCCTCCTCTTTTTCTTCTTCTTCTTTTTCTTCTTCTTTTTCTTCTTCTTCCTTTTCTTCTTCTTTTCTTCATCGTCATCTTCTTCTTGTCTTCATCTTCTTATTTTTCTTGTACTTATTATCATATCTATCATTGTCAGTTTCATGTTATTATTATTATCATCATCATTATCTTTAATAAGTTCTTTTACTTATCTGTCCGTCAATAATAAGATTTTAACTTTTTATTTTTGAACATGTGTGTCGGGGAGCCCACTGGAAATAAGCTCTCTAGCTTTCGTGGGTTATCCTGTTCAAGCTGACTTAATTTTGATCCGTTTTTCTTTTATATTGTTGTATGTTGGAGGCTTGGAGAATGAAATCAATCAGTCAATCATGGGGGGGGGGGGGGGTGGCAAGGGGCAAAACTATTATGCCTTCTGCTCTGTGGATGCAGCTACTTGTGTCAGTACATTTTGCTGCTATTCATGTTCATAATTCATGAATGTAACTTGGGGTGAGATAAACTGAATGTATATTGGTGCATCCAGATTATATTATTGAAAATTCAACTAGTGTTTTCTCAAAGATTCTGTGGCTATTTGCTAGAGTTGTAATTGGATTTTAGGTCAGCATTGGGTACAGGTTCACATGTTGAAGTAATTTCATCCAGTATTTTTTTGCAGTTAAGCAATCAACCAGCAATGCGACTGTATAGTGTTTATAACACATTCCGGAGCAATCCTCATTCATTTGATGGACATGTACATGTATGTTACTATAGTGAAACCTGTCTATTAAGCTTACTCAAGGGAGGCAAGAAAAATAGTCTTCATAAAATGGTGGCCTTTATGTACAGTTTGGTTTGTTACACGTTTCAATTGGAAACCGTTTCAAGGGAAAACAAAAATAATGTGCAGGTCTTTATAGACAGCTGGTCTTTCTGTCCAGGTGGTCACTAAAGCAGGTTTAACTATACATGTATCTGCCAAAATACAGTAGGAAGGCATATATAGGTTGTACATTTTACATTCCCGGTAGCTATATAATGCCTATAACATGTGGTGTTCCTCAGGGAAGCATTTAAGGCCCAATTCTATTTACAAGTTAGCTAATAAGTGTTTAATATTAACACCATGGCAAGCACCATAGGACGTACTCCTTTTGCATACCTTTACTGCTAATCAAACAGGATTCTCTCGGACCTCTCTTACAGCCCAAGCGGTGACGACCTGGCGTAACAGGGCCATTCGGTCAAGTATCATACCGGGGGAGGAGGGCTCACCGGAGCTGTCGACACCCCAACCCCAGGATACGCCAGGCAGGACCAAGAAGGTTAGCATGCAGCTAGTTCTTGCCAATTTGATCCATTCCTAGCTTCTTAGGACCAAATTAAAGAACATTAAAATGGTTTAAATATAAATAACGGTGTAACTTTGGATGTCCATTAAGGTGGAATAAATGAAGGTGAACAAAATTGTCTATTCTTTAAATTTGTATGTGAAAAATTTGTATGTGAAAAATTGAATTGTTCCAAAAAATCTTTCTTGAGAATATGACATATCAAAGCTTGCTGCATCTAAATGTATTCAACATATGCCCTAATTCAACTACCGGTAGTCCACCTTTCCTTTCCAAGTTACGAAAAAAGAAAGAAAAAAAAACCCATCAAATTTACAAAGGGTATCAATAATTTAGTTGTTAACTGTACATTTGCAAGTTCAGCAAGAGATGGACGCATGTGTGTCAAGGCATGATCTCCAGAACATGGGAAATTGATGGGGAAAGGAGTGGAAATCATTTGCCAATAAACATGAAAGTCAGTGGTATTATACACCCATGTTGCAGACCTGCCAACCAGTACGATTTAGTCGTATTACGTACGATTTTTAGAAGCAAATACGATAGTACGATTTTCCTCAATAAAATACGATTTTCAAAAAAAAAAAAAAAAATGTGTGTGTGTGTGTGTGCCATTTCCAATGGTAAAATGCCAATTCTGTCTTGTGAAGTATCCTACAAACATCTCACATAGGCAATTTGGGGATGTCCATTGGTTCATCGAACACACCAGTCGTGACGAAATCATGCATATTCAATCAATGACCCTTAAAAAAAATCTTCCTGTATGTAGGAACTGTACGAGGCATTGATCTGCGTAAAAGTCCGTGTTTATTTTTAAGAATACAACTTTTGTCAGTAAAATACAACTTTTGGGATTAAAGTATACAGTTTTTGAACTCCAAGAGGTTGGCAGGTCTGATGTTGTAGTATTGTTTCCTCATGTACTTTATATTTGACTGTGTTTTATAGGAGGCCCATACAAACATCCACATGGGAGGAGGAGGAAAGAAGAAGATGGAGGATCACCCGTTCTTCATCAAGTTCAGGAAGAAGAGCAAGAGAGATCCAACGTCCGATGATAGAGATGGTGAGAAGGATTTGGTTTCTACAGGGAGGATGATAAAGGGATGATGATAAGTGATGGTGGTAGTAAAGTGATGATGAAGATGGTGGCGTGATGGTGATGTTCTACCACTTTAATGGTGATGGTGAGGGACTGACATTAACCCATTGTCTACAGAAACCGGGTGGTCCATGTGTTAGTCTTTGAGTACGAGAAAATTCTGCAGTCAACAGCTTAATTGATGATGATGTTAATGAAGAATTTGTTATAACAAGATTCCACTTTACTTCTTCTTCTCCTCGTTCAGAATGTGAGACTCCCAAGTCGATTGAAGAAGAGGAGGATGCCTCTGACTCTGTGGAAATGACAGGAGAGAGGGAGAAGAGACCAGTCAACAAGGTAGCCGTGGCAGCCGGGATGAAACGCCTGACCTTCCTCATGGATTGCTGTAACCCTGGCAACGTGCCGGATGCAGAGTTCTTGGCCGCCGCTCTTGATCTGGTGGGTGTTGCTTTATAATCTATAGCTATCAATGCAAACCTGCATCAATTAATTTGTTTCTTCTTCTTTGTGGTCTTCTTCTTTTGTTCTTTTCTCCTTTCTCTCTGTTTCCCATTTTTCCATATGTTTTTTTTTCTCTATAAGATGTTCCATAATACTTCAGCTTTTCTGAAGTTAACCCTTAACTCTTCTCTCTTGTGTTACTTTTCTCTTGTTATTCTCCTTTCCTAAATCTTTTCTCCCTTGTCTTCTTTTCCTTTTCCTTTTTTCTTTCATATGCTTCTTGCTCATTTTTGTCCTTATTTCTTCCCAAACTTGTTTTTCCGTATTCCCTTTTCATATTCCTTGTTCTGTCTTTGTCTTGAATCATATCATGGTATAACTCTTTTTCCTCAAACTTGAACATCACCTATTTCTCAACTTCATACATCTTCTTGCTTTATTCCCTTTCCTAATTTCTACTTATATGTACTTGCATATTGCACATTGATGTCTATGTTGTGCTGTGCTAAACAGTGTTCATGTGCAATAATTTTCATGCCATAAAATTTTTTAATTTTTCATACAGTGTGCAACGCATAACTATAAAGGAGAGGTGCCAACTTATTACATGTTAAATGTATACAATGGAGAGAAAAGAATTTTCTTCTCCATGTATAAAGTTTAAAGCATTATTATATTATCTTTTTTTTTCTTACAGCATGCTCCAGTGGTCGCGAGGGCAGCTCTCTTCTTAGAATGCTGTCACTTTGTGCATCGTTGTAACTATGGCGACTGGCCTGACTGGATGCGCTTCAATGTCCGGGGAGCCAGGGGGCGGGGCCTGAGCAATGTGTTTGGTTCAAGGGGGACATCCTCCTGCTACCGTAAACACGCCTCCCTGCAGAGGACGGCTGCGAAGATGTTCTACTTGTGGGCTGAGGTAACAATCTAAGTTCAAGAGAATTCTTATTGATGGTACCCCCCAAAGTGATGCATTTTATGATAATGACGGTTAGATGGTGATATTGATCCTAATGATAATGTTAATGATAGTAATGGAGATGGCAAAACTAAAGTAACTCTCGGGGAACGTGCGTTTGCCATTGCTGCCTCCACATTGATGATGCTAATTATGATACAGGTGATGATGATGATAATTATAGAGATAGTGAAGATGATGTTATAATGTTAATAATTATGATGATAGGGATGTTGATGATCGTGGTGGTAATGATGGTGATGATGATGGGGATGATTATGATGATGGTGGTGGTGATCGTGGTGATGATGGTGATGATGATGGTAGTGATGGTGTTAGTGATGATGATGAATATGATAATTGTGATGGTACTTATGATAGGGATGATTAGAATGCTGATGGTAATGATGATGGTAATAAAAAGTGATAGTGGCTAGAGACACTGTTGAGGATTTAAATGATAATTGTTTTTACGGAAGTGGTACCTGTAATGGTTTTTATGAAGATGATGAGTGGTGGTGATGTAGATGATAGCAATAATGACAAAGCCATGGTGATGATATTAGTGATGGGTACGCTAATGGAGATGGAGACAATTACGATCTATTTGACTATGATTGTGTTAATAATGGTGATTGCAATGATGATGGTGATGGTGTATACAGGAAAGGAAAAAAATGGTGAGGGTACATGGAAAGGTGATAACATTTTTAACGAAACCATTTTCAATCTTCCCAACAGGCCATTGGTACCCGTCTAGAGGAGATTGAGAAGCAAGAATCTCAGAACGTTCTCCATGTTGTCGGAAAGGTGAGAGATGAAGGGCTCAAGAAAAGACTTCGCAGAGAAGATGATGAAGAGGACTTCCTTGATGAAGGTATGAGATTTCTTTGACAAGTTACGTATAGTATATTTGTAAAGCGCTTAGAGACATTGTATTAAGCGCTATATTAAAGCTAAATATTATTATTATTATTACTATAGCCGCTTTCCCACCTGTGCCCCGTCTTATAAAGAGTTGATATTTATCGCAACTTATTTGCAATTGATAAGGGGACTTAATTTGGATCAATCAAAACTCTTTATAAGACAGGACCCTGATGTGTTAAACTGTCTCATAAAGTGCTTTGACAAAATAAATTATAAAGAGTTGATATTAATCGCAACTTATTTGCGATTGATAAGGGGACTTGTGATGAATTTGGATCAATCAAACAGTAAGACAGTATTGTGTTAAACTGTCTCAAACAGTGCTTTGACAGAAAGAGATGAAATCAAAACATTGTGCTTCATATTCCTGTCTTATCTGAATTTAAAAAGATACAAACACCCCATTGATTTAATAGTAATAGGGAAGGAACAGTGTTTTTTTGTAGGCCTGGGGAGATAAGGGAATTCAGTAGCCAACAGTCTAGTATAATAAAATAGAGGCACTAATATCCTTTGGCACGATTTTAACCTGCACTAGCTACTCTTCACCCAAGTGTTAAATGGATACACGGTAGGATACCACCGTCATTGTAGGTCAAACAGTTTTTGAGGGTCAAGTAACACCTGGGTGGAATAATCCACAGGGAGTGTAAATTGTGCACACAGTGTGCGCGGGCAAGTATTGAATTGAATGACCGGGGTAATAGTATATCTGTAAAGTGCTTATTATTATTATTCCATGTTGATGTCATTTCTTCCAGCCACCGTCAACCCTCAAGGAACAGCCTGCCCTCACGCTCTCAAGATGGTCGCCTGTCAGCTCCTCCTAGAAATCACCTCCTTCCTCCGAGAGACGCTTCAGAGCCTCCCCAAGCCACGCAAGATGGATCGAGGAGGTCTGAGTGGCATGAACCGTGGGGCGAGGGACTCTGAGTTCTTGGAGATACCTACCGTTACCATGGCGCCCGCATCGCCTCAGCCACCGACCAGGAACGCCAGCGGGTCAAGCACAACGTCCAGTCCCCCGCATCCCAGACACAGTATCTGCGTCAATCCAAGCGTGGATAGCCCACTCTGTAAGTCAAATCTACAGAGCTCACATGATATCTGTTCAGAGCCATTAAGGGCATTAAAGGCACTGTTTAACAATGTTAAATCTGACATGCATGGCCCTACGCATTATCAGTGTCTGTGACATGGTGTAATATTGAAGCCTTAGAAAAATTGAACTTCAAAATAATCATGAAATGCCTCAAAAAGATAAAAATATTTGAGTGACTGGTTTTACCATACACATTTCTCCAATAGACTATAGTGTAATAAAAACCGTTAGGAAAACAAATGTTGAAATTTTGATTTTCAATCATAAATATTTTGATAATCAGACAACCGATCGGCTTATAAAATGGGGTTTCTGACCGACCTAAAGTTTTGTAATTATCATTTAAGCATGAGCTAAATTCAAGATTTTGTTTCAGAATCTGAGACAAAGATACCCAATCCCTTTAAGGGCATAAATTTCTTGTATACAAGTTAACGCCCTTCTGGCTCCAAACAAATCATATGTTGTCTGCTGAGAGCCAAAATGAGATTTAATTCTATCATTCAACCGCATCTGTGCCACGAACATGTTGAACAATTTTCGTAACTTCCAAGAGTTACCTTTCACTTCTATCGCTTATCTAATTGTCCAGTTAGGCATGAAATATACATGTATCCCATGGGAATACTATTCGACATGAGCATCCTGGTTCAGGATGAAAATAACTTATGTCATGAAATTTTGATCCGATATTATATAACTTTGCAGATTACATGTGTACAAGACCTTATGTACAATGCATATCTTTGGTAGATGTTAAGTTATTGCCAATTTGATAAATTAATCTTATAAATCATGAAAGGTTGAAATTTAATAATCTTTCTGTTGACTAGCATTCATTACCCATGTGATATGTTATTCATCTATATTTGGTATAACATTTCTTATGAGGTAATTGTAATTTCATAATTCTTTATCATTCCCTGATCTGAATCGTTGTCTGTTGAAGAAGAAGTCGTCCAGCTGGACTATAGGCCTACTCTCTATTTTCTTCATTGATATATCTCCTTCTTTACTGTCCATGTAAATTTTGAATTTTAGCTTGATAAATGTACTTGTATTTTCTTTAGCCCAAACTGCAAGGATTGTAGTATCTGTATCTTTGTGAGATGTGAAAACAGTTTGCAATTTCATCATGTAATTTCTGAAAAATTCAAAAGAACTCAGATTTTTCTTTTTATATGTATAACATTAGAAATTAGGAAAAGAATGATACCCATTGGTGTTATCTAATTTTCATTTTAAAAGACCAAAATAATTTTTGTTGGTCAAAGACACATGTAATGAAATAAAAACACTTTTCATACTTTTGTCATGTGTGATTGCATTCTGTTTAACTTATTAATAATCTTTCCTTTTGCAGCATGGGGAAGTGAAAGGAAGATCAGCTTTGCGCTAGGAGGAATTGAGAAGATTGGCGAGAGGGAGAAAGAGAGAGGTGCAGGGGATGACGACTCACAACACAGCAGTAATACAGAACTCAACAATGTAGAACAAGAAGAAAGAAGAGGTATGACACCCATACTTTCATTTAGATATTTTAAAGGTGGATGTTCAGAAGTGTATGCTCCTATATTTTAACAAACATATGTTTCATTTGCCACTTACCGTAATTTGAAAACAGTGATATTAATACTTGTTATGTTATGCCTAATACTACATGTAAATGTTCATGATACATATATGTTTCTAGATGTAATAGGGCTGTTGTTCTCACATATATATTGGCACAACAATTATCTTTGTAATAAATAGAAACGTGTGTAAAGTAAACAACTTGAATGCATAACTGCCTGAAATGTGATATGAACTTTGCTAAGGACATTGTTGACCTGTTAAAGGGGTTTGAATGTAAGTAAGTTTTCAATGTTCCTTCGAAAGTGTGTAAAGATGGAGCCTTGATTGATTGTTTTAATTATCAAAGTACTATAATTAATATTATTTTTTTTTTTTTTTTTCGGGGGGGGGGGGGGGTGTATTTCACCCATCAGGCATGCCAAATGTATGATTAAAAAATGAAATTGTGCTTTCTATTTGAACTCTTGATGACATTTTAAATTCCAGTGGGCATGCAAGCTCGAAAGCCAAGCCGGGGCGGACTTCTCAGACGCCATGGGGTCACGACCTCACCCATGGGACGAGATGCAACAGCTAGACCGACAGGAAGACATCGTAGCAGCAGTAGACCAGATACTTTACATGGTAAGGCCTTCTTCATCACAGTCAATAAACCACTCACATAATGATAATAGTCATTTTAGTAATAATTATAATGACACTGGCACATGTAGGTGTATTTCATGTTCTTGCAGGCTTTATACAAATACACATATGTGCTGTTCCTTTGTTTGTGATGGTAAATATAGCCCCTTACGTGCAATGGCAGCAACTCCCAACCCAAAATTTGAATGATATACATTATGTTCGGACAATAAAAGATAGTTTATTCTTTCTGAAAGAGATGCACATTTGTAGTTTTTTCCATTTTAATGGAAGATGTTTACTGCCTAGTTTATCAATGAAAAACAAATAAATTGACTTGTGTATAGTATCATCCATCTTTATTGATGAGGACTCTATGTATGTACCCCTCAAAAAGATGTAAAAAGCTGTGACATCTTTTACTTTTATGTGTATGTGATGGGATAGATACACCATTGTACATTGTAAGATTTCTTTAAATGAATTTCATCTTAAAATATCTTTATTTATAATCAAAGGTCTGGCCCGATCAGGATCTATCAAGGGGCGTAAGGTGTCGTCCATCTCTATCGATGAGGACTCGACTGGTGAGACGAGCAGCGTATTCAGTGACCAGGTCAGCCCGCAGGAACAGGACCTGTCAGAGGTGGTCTCGACGCCCGATGGGGGAGGGCTGGAGGAAGTGGACTTCACCAAGAACATGCCGTGGATACCAGTGAGTGTATGCATGTAGGCTGTGGCAGCAGAGAAAAATGTTTATTAGTATTTGTTAGAAGGGGGCTCAAACACCAACTTTGGCTTGATCATTCCTTTATTTGCATATTGGAAGGAGAGAGAAATGGGAACAACTGCAGAGTACCCTATGCCACAAGTAACCCCAACCCTAATCCTGTCCCTAACCATAACCTTACGTAAACCCAGATGTTGATCTTGACTCTGATGCTCACACTGACCCTCGCCTTGAACCTAACCACCCTCACCCTTGTTTTCATTCAAACCCTCATCTTACCCTAATCCTAACCCAATCTGTAACCCTAACCCTGACCCTTGCCCTGACCCTGACCCTGACCCTTTGCTCTTACCCTCACCCTCATCTTCAGCCTCACCCTCACCCTCACCCTCACCCTCACCCTCACCCTCACCCTCATCCTCACCCTCACCCTCAGCCTCACCCCCATCATCATCCTCAGCCTCAGCCTCAGCCTCAGCCTCACCCTCATCATCCTCACCCTCACCCTCAGCCTCACCCTCATCATCATCCTCAGCCTCATCCTCAGCCTCACCCTCACCCTCACCCTCATCATCCTCAGTCTCACCCTCACCCTCATCCTCATCCTCACCCTCACCCTCACCCTCACCCTCACCCTCATCCTCATCCTCACCCTCACCCTCACCCTCACCCTCACCCTCAGCCTCACCCTCACCCTCACCCTCAGCCTCAGCCTCAGCCTCACACCCCCACCCTCACCCTCACCCCACGTTCATCCTCACACTCACACTCACCCACATCCTCATCCTTACCCTCATACTTACCCTCACCCACACCCTCACCCACATCCTCACTCTCACCCTCATACTTACTCTCACCCACACCCTTTGATTAAGATTAGGTTTTACATGACGTAGGTCAAAGTTTGGGTTTAGATAAAGTATACAACTTGCTTGTATACATATAATGCTGGTTTAGTGTTGAGTTTCAAAAATAGGCTAGTGCTACAAATAGTGCCTGAAGGAGTTGTGCTGTGACATGTTTTGAACAGTCGAACACATGCATTCACAAAAATGAAAAGTACATGTCATTCGTTGTCATCTTTCAAAATCTTTAATTTCATTTTGTTCTATTTCTAGGTTGTGGTTGAGATTGCCAGTAAGAGTAACTTCCTCTGCCAACACAAGCGCAGCTGCCACCCCAACTGCCTTGAGCGCCAGAAGCGTAACTGCTACCGCCTGATGAAGGCTGTGAGGGCGGTCTACGGGGAGGAGATGTTTCCAAAGGTCAGAGACGAGGAGTTGGAAGAGAAAGTCAGACGATTTGAAGCAAAAACCAAGAGAAAGGTAAAAAGAAATGCAGTCTGAATTCATCATTGTGTTCTTGAATGTAAACCTGTTCATGCTCATATATTTGTTTCTGAAAGATAATTTTTCTTTATCATGTATACATGTCGATGGAATTCTGGACTTTGAAGTTATAGTCTCGATTGTTTTTTTTTCTGTACTTTGTCCTCATCGTTTCGGCAATTAAACAAAAAATATATATTCAATCAATTAACATGTATGAATAATCACAGTACATGTATTGCAAACTAAATCTATCGTCAAATTTTCCCTCCATTTAGAACTGTATTCATTCTGCAATGACAAACTTCTAATAAAGATAAAATCATGCCACTATTTATAGCTGTTACAAATATGTGTGTGCATCCTGCGTTTCCATTGTTTCATCTGATTTAGTTCCCTGTTACCTTAAATACATGCTTTCTTTTTAATGATGATATGGAGTTATGGTGCCTTTTTTTTCTTTTTCACTATCTGTGTAATTTGTTTATTTCTTTTGTTTTGTTTTTATTTGAGTCACAGGAGAGCACCCAGGGTCACTCTACCCTGCGTAGTTTCCGAGAACTGAGGCGGGAGAGCACCTCCTCCACACTGGATCGTCAAGTCAGCATGTTCCGTCACAACGCCACCAGCCGTACCAACTCTGCTGTGGCCAACTCGGCCATGACCCTGCCCTTTGACCTCGAAAGGCCCCACGTGGTAGACACGCCCATCATGAAGTATCTCAAAGTACAGGTACAGAGTCTAATCAGTTTTCTGTCATGGATGGACAGTTTCTAAAGTTTGAAAGTTATAAGGAATATTGAAATTAAAAAAACCTTGAATTTTAATGTTAATGGAAATAAGGGAATTGGTTGTCGATGGTTTAAATTTACCAATTTTTGTTGGTCCCCGTTTATATATACAACTAAAAGTGCTTTTCTGTTTCTCCATCATCGTCTTTATCAGGCTATGGATTTGTATCACGCCCCTCTCTCCCTGCTCGCCAAAGCCGCTCCCATTCTTGGTGAGGAACTCTATGACAACATCTTGCCCCTGTCTTGGGAGCTACTCCTGGATACAAGCCAGCAACTAGCAGGATCAGCCGGTAAGAAAGATGCTGTGTGGTTGCCACGGTGATGTCCTGTGGTTGAGGAGGATGAGAATGATCTTCTTGAAAAGGAGAAGGATAGTGATGATGATAATGATTATGATGTTCTTCTTATCCTTCTTTGGAATACTCCTCACCATCCCTTTATGAACCAAACAAGGAGGTTGATGTTGGTGTAACTGATGATGATGAGGATGAGGATGATGACAAGGGTGTCAATGTTGAATGTGATGATGGTAGATGATGAGGAGGAGGAAGATGAGGAGGAGGATACTGATATCTCCTAGATAATATCCAGAAACTAGCAGGATCAGCTGGTAAGAAAGATGCTGTGTGGTTGCCATGGTGATATCCTGCGGTTGATGAGAATGAGTAAGATCACGATTAGGAGGATGAAGCAAAGGATTATAATAGATAGTTTTGTATATGCTTATGTACTGGAGATAATGATAAGGGCGAGGATGATGATGATGTGGATGATGTAGATGATCATGATGATGTTATTGATGCTGCTGCTGCTGCTGATGATGTTAATGAATATGATGACGATAATGATGTTAAGGAATATGATGACGATGATGATGTTAATGAATATGATGACGATGATGATGTTGATTATGAAACATGTAGGTGGTGATTATGGTGATGATGGTAGTACAATGGTTTCACTTGTGATTTTCATGTGGATTGTAATAATAGTGATGAGGATTAAGGTGATGATGACATTGATCATAATGTTTTGTTGATGAGGATGACGATGTTGATGATGGTTGTTGTATATTGTTATCATAGCTGCATTGGTACTGATCTGTGCGGTCAAGATTCCTGATGCGGTCAACCAGTTGATTGCAGGAGAGATGCACCACGTTGATGCAGGTCAGAGAGTGGAGGCTGTCCAGCGTTTTGGGGTTCTCTGGAGATTCCGTCACCAGGTCTGGCCTCGAATGGAAGACAAGGCATCCATTTTATTCAAGGTTTGATAACATAATCGTCATAATACCTAACCACATCTCTCTTCACATTCTAAAAGTTCATGTAAGCTGCATGTATACAATGTATGCGAATCTTGGACAACCTCCAAGGTTAAGTACTTTTCAGAAAAATTACCCCAAGATACGTGAAATAATTTCAGATAGAAAATTATGCTGTAGATGTGTATTGTTTAGACCAGCATTGCAGTAAATCACATTCATTAAAAACCATGACTTACATTTGGGAATAGATGTACGTGATCTTGTGTTTGTTAAAAGTTTATGAGCAATGTATGTGTCACTCTCCATGGCTCATTATTCATCTAGTTTTAAAGACGATGTGTTTGTTTGTAAAGGTGTCGTGGTCTAGAGGGTCTCACCGAACTATAGATCATATGGCTCATGGTTCGTGTCCGACTAATGTCCTTTGGCAAGACATTTTGCTGTTCTAAATTTGCCACTCTCCACCTAAGTGTTAAATGGGTACCTGGTAGACTACGAACATTAACAATATCAATAATAATAATTAGATCAATTTATATAGCTCAGCAACAATATGAATATACTCTACTGCGCTGTGGGATTGACATGTGTGCACTTGTAAAATAGCGCATGGCTGGAATACTCCCCAGCGAGAGGAGCATGTAGACTATCATGTGCAGATTAGCAATCAAATCCAATGACCGGGGTAAAATAATGATATTGTAAAGCGTTTAGAAACGAAGTATTAAGCGCCATACAAATGTGTCTATTATTAAATGTGTGTGAGCAATACTATGTATGCATCCCATGGTTTATTATTCACCTTCCGTTTAATAACTTTCTACCAAAGCATATATCAATCATTCATAGTCTGGAACATTGAATATAAATATTTGATCCTGTGTTTGCTTCCCATCATTACCATACTCAAAATCACCTGTGGTAATTTCATTTGCAGGTGCCTCCACCAAGCATTGACTTCACCGTACCCTCGCCAACCATCGGGGTGTCAAACGTGCCCGTCCTGGACCCCCCATGGATGCCTGTAGCCCACTCGGAGCTGGAAGAAAAGGTCTCAACGGAGCAAGAAAGCGTAAGTATACATGTAGCAAGACATTTCTGAAATAAATCTGGCTCTGAGAACCGTATCGACTTTTAATCTTTGTACGCTACAAAAATAATCCATACAGGCAATTGGTCAAATGGTCTGCTGTTGTCTTCGATGTCTTCTTATCTCATTTTCCCTAATGTTTATAATTCTCATACGTGTATTTCAAATATGACCCTTTTGCACAGTTTCTTACCTTGTAATACCAGAAGCAATGGTAACCCATGCACATAACTATATCTACACATACGTGGATCATCAGTTACCTTCATGCATTATTCATTCACTGTGCCACATCATCACCCCCCCTCATGAATAATTCATAACTGATATGTTTATTATGTCTTTACATGAATGTAGCAAACAACATTAGTTTCATGTGATGCACACTTAATTATTTACTTGTGGAATGGAAATCACTCTACTGGAGTAAGGAGTTATACATTTTTACCAAAGTTAAGATAAACCAAAAAAGAGTATTTGAAGTTCTTGACAATTTTTCTGTTTTTTTTAATATTTTTTTTGCTTAGTACAAATTCTGAGTTTACCCGGCCAGAAGCATCTTTTAAAGACAACTCAAAATAATCAATTGTTTGAATTGAAGAGAAAAGAAGTTCATATTGAGTTAGTACTAGTAGCTATAAGGCACATAATTCCTTATATTTGAATATTTCCTAGTATTGCGTCAATTCTGCATGGATATTTGTATAGGAAAGTGGACAATAGAATTAACCTCATTATTTTCAATGATTGTTAAGATAACAGCAAAAAGGAATTTCAGAAAGGCAGTAAGTAATCGCAGGTTATTTTTGTGTGGGTACATAAACATGTGTGAATCATCTTAATTTAAATTAATGTTTTATTTTTATTTGAAGTGATTGCTGAATTCTAACCTTGCATGTCAGTAAACACATTTACTTTGAGTGTGAGATTAGTTCGAATAGTTTGAAGCTTATTTATGGTTTGTTAATAAGGACCAAATATCAAGTGCAAAATTTCTTTTATCTCAGTGGTAAAAGCCTTGGATGTTATCTCGTAGAACCTTGCGATGACGTTTGGCACCACCGTTTATAAGCTACATTGTATCTAACAATGGTTTATTCATTTAAAAATATGCATCTCAGCAGAGGGTTTGAATTGTACGATATTTTTACGAAATTATTTACTTGATAAAAAAATATACTATATAGAATCATAATGATACAAAGAAACAATATGCAATTGTAAATTATTCATGAGCGTAATACCAAGGAGCACACGTGAGTCTACCATTAAATGAGTAGTACGTTTTGAGTGTAGGTGTATGGGGCGCCAATCCAAAATCAAAGTGATTTTGTCCACAGAATCGGTGTTGGGAGAGATTTTGTCCGTGGAATCGGTCTTGGAAGTAATTTTGTCCACATAATTAGTTTTGGGAGTGATTTGGTCAACGAAACTGGTCTTAGGAATGATTTTGTCCACGGAATCGGCCTTGGGAGTGGTTTTGTCCGCGGATTCGATCTTGGGAGTGATTTCGTGACAAAATCAATTTGTCAGGTTGCTTTCGTGACAAAATCAATTGTTGATATTGCTTTCGTTACAAAATTAATACGTGTGATTGCTTTTGTGACAAAATCAACCGGTGGGATTGATTTGGTGACATATATAGATGAAGGTTCAAAATAGTATGTGTGATGTATTAAATTAAAGACTGCAAATGGAAGAGTGTAAGCTCAATGTTTTGAAAAGGCAGGTGGAAGAGAGAGAGAGAGAGAGAGAGAGATGGATTAACAAATAAATACAAGGAAATTAAAGGTGTAATTTACAAAAATGTTCACTGAATTTTTAAAATAAATAGATTTAGTAAATAATAGCTTGCCTGACCTTATGCATGGAATATTTCATAAAAGAGAGAATCAACTCGAGCATATCTGATTTAAAGTAAATATGACTTTATAAAATACCCATGACTGTACATGGCCTGTCATTAACACTCATCGTGTTCTTAGTGAACTATCATGTTCAAACTAATTTTGACTAATCACACATGTATTTTCATCATTCATTCATTTTGATGTTTACTTGTACATGGTTGGACTAACTTTTCAATACTGATATTTTTTACATTTTACTTTTTCAACTATAGACTAAATAAGAGTGTATCTTCAAGGAAAACAAATTGAAGGACTTTTTCTTGAAGTATACTTTAACCACATCTCCTATCAATTTGTCATACTTAGGTAAATAGGTAGCTTATTTTAGCGAAATGTAATAGTACAAAAAGAAGTACCCAGAACGCAAAGTTGGCCAAAAGCATAGAGGATGGAAAGGATACTGATAAATCAGAAGTTGTAATTTTATGCATTTGAATGCTAATTTGTGTATTAAGGTATATAGTAAGGGTACTTGCCAGGTCTTTGTCTGAATGATATGGTTCTACGTCAATGCCATACAAAAAAGGATTTCATCAATTATGCATTTTGCAATACGGAAGTGTCTTTTCATACTGCTTCATTTTGCTAAGAAACCTAACGTGAACGGGCTCTGCTTGCTATCCGTAAGGACCGCTATTCATTTAGTCACGCGTTATGGATAGCGGTCTTTATGAATAGTGGTCCCTATGTATAGCGGTTCTTATGGATAGCGAGCTTGACTCACGTGTACATATATGTCCTCGGATGGTCTGATAATGGGCCTAATTGAAGACTCTTCCATTTCTTTCTACCCCAGCGCTCATTTGCAGCGGTGGCCGTCTCACGCACGATCCAGCATAGGGAGCACGTTCGGAAAACGCTTCTCCGCGAGCAAGAGAAGAAACGCAAGGCTCGTGAGACTTTCCATCTCATCAACGTACCGGTCATACAGCAGGCCGCCTACGAACCTTCCCACCACGTGACGTCAGATGACGAAGGTAAGTCGCCACTCTTTATTCCTTCTCTCTCTCGAGTATCCTTGTCCCATTATAAAGCCAAGCACCAAGTTCTATGTCTCTCTCTCACTGAACTATTTGTAGACTATGATTTCAGTTTTCTCAAAAGCAAGTGCCTGATAGTGATGTCAATTTCTTTGATCACAATTCAAAGCAAGTAGAATACTTTTGTGCTCACTAAAAAAAAGACGGCTTTCCTAGAGAGCCGTTCTTTTATTTTCTTTATTTCAACTACAAAAGCTTTGTAGAATATATCATTTCTGTAATTTCTGTACATACAAGCCAATATATGTATCCCTGCTATGCAAAAAGTACATTGGAAATCTTAGATATTAGAACTTGATGTTTATTGCTTTATTTTGAGTTCATGCACATAAATGAGAATTTTTTCTTTTCAAAATCTGATGAAACAAAAAATCTGCATTGCAACATGATGGAGAAAACAAATATCAGTATGATTTTTATTGGAAAATATAATTTTGGAGTGTTTCAAGAGACTAAGTTTGTGAGCCTTTCGGGAAGGAAAGACTTAAAGTTTCAAATTATCTTGAATTTAACTATTTGTATAACCTTTTTAATTTCAAATGACAAGAATTGATTGAATATTGTATACTTTTGCACCTAATAAACTGCTTCTCTCCTAATAACAATGATGTTGATTATGAGATATTGATATATCCCAAACATATATCTGTTTGCACTTATTATTTCATGTACGTTTCACAACTGTGACTATTCAGTCTATTCTAAACAATTCTCATAATATTTTTTCTTCGTAAACTAATCAAAGAAGTTTAAAGTTTTTGACAAGATGGTTTTGATATTAACCAATAATGAAGGGTTTTGTTTGATTTCATCTGAGTAATCCCTATTTATTTGGGTTTGAGTTTGCAAAACACCAACTAACTACCACATTTCACGCTAACACTTACTTCATATTGTCCGATTGTGAACGCAGGTGAAAACAAATCTAGTTCATGCATTTTCTTTTCAAAAGAGTACCCAAAAAATGAATTCTCAAGTAGTCACCGTTTTTCTGCATGCCTTATCTTTTGTAGACAGTTTTCATTTATTTTGAGGAAACTACCGAGTATAAATGCTGAGAAGAAGAAAAAAAAGAGAGACTCACCTCACGTTTTGTGTACATAGCTCACACTAACTAAACCCTTGTGTTGTCACACCCTTTCCCTTTTCCGTTTTCCTCCCTTTTTTTCTCCATCCCCCCCATCACATCACATGCTGTGGTCACGCCCACGCCACGCCTTCACAACCACACACTACACATGACCTAATGTGCCACGCAACTTGTGTCCGTTCGTTGCTGCACCGCCTGCTAATGTCCTGGGCTGTATTCTCTGCTTTTAAACAAACAAACCAAAAAAAAAAAATCACTCACACTGTCACATTATTACACAACGCCTCATCATGCCATACCCCCTCATCATCATCCTCATCGACGCTGTCATCGTCGTCATCGTCATGGGATGAGCAGACGATACGCCAGGGTCCGTTTGCGTGTCGGTTGGCCCCCGTCGCATTTCTATCGCCCCGCCGGCACAGCAGGCTGCGGCCAACCTGAACCGTGGCAGGAATCTGTCTATACGCCGGGCATCCCTCTGGTCTGGTGGTACACTCTCGGCCAGCACAGGTAGCTTGATTTTAGATTGTTACCAATTCTTATGTACCGGTCAACCTATATTTGTGAACTGCTGAATGTATCATTTATGTGTGAACATGTTAGTCTTCCTATTCCCCCCCAAAAATAAAATATCTGACATACTTCAGAAACCAGTTTCACTATATAAAGTTTGGATTTTTCAATATAATGTACTAACCTATCCCTTTAACTTTTAATCGTTGTCATCATTATAAGTAGTATCACTTTTTGAATAACACTCATGAAATGTTATAAGCAATTTCCCAATAAAAGGGGTTGATTAATTACAGTTAAAATCATCAAGAACTGTAAATAAATCATTTTAAATCTAAATTCTAATTCTAGGTCCGCGTATAGTCTCTGCTTTGTCTTTTTTAATTTTCATAAAATACAGTGATGCATTCAATAGTACTTTTATTTTGCGCCATGTCAGTATTGAGAAAGAGTTGTCTGTAATTTGATCAGCATTGACTGAATTGAAATTGTCAAGGTATATAGTGAGGAACTCCCTTGTGGTTACAGATAGTGAATTGAAAATGTTGTACATGACACGACTATGCGTAAATGTACAGTGAGTGTGTTCATTTCCAGTAGTACAGCAATTAACTTTGTGTAATTTGTTCCTTCGGTAGTGACATTCTTTTCAATATCCTTGTGGAAGAATAATACTTGTATAGTTTTTATGTAAACCCCCAATTTTATTATATTTTGATGGGTGAAAAACTTGATACCCCGGGTACCTTAAATCATTCAGATTTAGTGCTGACAGTGGGCAGAGAGTCAAATCTGTATTTTCTCAATTCTTAAAATGAATATACCCATGTCTGATTTCGAAATACATGTTAAATGTAAGGATAATGAAATAAATCTGCTCATTGAAATGAAATTGAATGGATTCAAATGGGATCAGTGACCAACTTTTTAAAAACATAATTGCTCTGGGCTTAATTCGTCACAAGGTACATGGTTAGTGTTAGGGTTCAGGTTCCAGTTGAGTTTAATGTTAGGTTTAATAGTGGCAGGGTTTAATAGATTTTTGTATAGTGTGGGGTCAAGGGTTGAATTTGGTCAGTGTTGGAAAATTGACACGTAGCAATTGTTGCAGAAGCAAGACGTTGTTCAGTCAAACCTGCTTTAGTGATCACCCGTCTACAAAGACCACATTTTTTGTATCCCTTGAAAATAGTATCTTATTGAAACATGTACTGAAGGAACCTGTACATAAAGACCACTTTCTTGTCTCCCTTGGGTGGTCTTTATAGACAGGTTTGACTGTACAAAAGTTTACATGCTGCATTTATATCGTATGTGGTGTCTTTGAAATCATTCATTATACTGTGTGACATTTTAAAGTTATTATTTTCCTTTATATTCATATCTGGATAAAAGTACAGTCAAACCTGTATAGAAAGGCCACCCGTCTATAAAGACCACATTTTGTTGGTTCCCTTGAATATGGTTTCTCATTGAAACCTGTATTAAAGGAACCTCTTTATAAAGCAACCTGCAAATAATGACCAATTTTCATGTTTCCCTTGAGCGGTCTTTATATACAGGTTTCACTGTATAATTATTTTGAAATTGATATTTCCCACTCCTTAGATTCACTCTCATGATGTTTTAGATTTCAAGTTTTATTTGTATTCACTTTTTGATGTACTTCAACTTTTATCACATTATACATACATGTAGGAAATTATACTTATTCATTCATTCATTAATATTACTAATAATATATGAGATGTGTAAGGCCCCAAATCCACTTGATATCAAATGCTCAAAACGTACTTGTGAAGAAAAAAAACACAACACTCTGCGATTACCACAGATGTCTTTCTGCCACTATTCCTATTCAAATGTGTACATGTACATTTACATATTTTGGGCCAATTATTCAGCGGTAGGCTCTTTAGTGACACTCTGTTTTCTCTTTGTTATTGGAGGAAAAAGAAGAAGATTTAAGTTAATAAAGACATCCAATTTGAAGTGGTAGGAAACTGTAGTGGTAATTATAGTGTTTAGTATTTGATATACATCATACATATACTTATACATGTACATTATGTAATCATAATCATAATCCATAGTAATGGTATTTTTGTGGAGTGAAAATGTTTGATAAGCAAGAAATGTTGTCAAGATACGCTGTTGCCCATAAAATTGGAATAGTTTTTTCTTACCTTGTTTCATGAATGATTGTGAGAATATGATTTATTCTTTGTTGATAAGGTTTATATCTTCTCAGAACTTTATTAATCAAACTCTATGACTCTTTTGATTGATTGATAAAGTTCCGAAAAGATATAAAAACCTCATCTATCAAAAATAAATCATATTGTCACAATCACTTCAAGGAAAGAGGTTCCAAAAATATTCAAACTTTATGGGCAACAGTCAAATGTATACCAGATTTATCATCCTTAAATTATCCACTATTTGTGTATCATTTGATGTAGCATAAAATGATTGTATATGGATTTTCTCTGGAAAAACCAAGTTGTGAAAAAAAGTTAATCCAATCCAAGTATATACAGGTACATTGCTCATCTGTAGATTTGCTGTTGCAGTGAAAAACTCTTAATCCAGAATTCACAAAGGTGGTCTAAGTCTAAATCATGGATTAAACCAATTGACTATGATGAGCAGCCTTAAAGGGCAAAATAAGAGACAACCTTAAGTCAACACATAGAACACAACCTTTGTTCTTAAAAGACCAAAGAGCATCAAATCTTTAGATTTTTTTTTGCACTTTCATTATAATGAATTTTTGGGCTTTGTTGCCATTTTGGGTGGACACAGTATAGTGCTGGTTCTTTTGTGAATTCCGGACCATAGACTATAGTGCTTACTATTCTACATGTAAATTTTCATATATACATCCATCTTCAGTTCATGAGTGAGTGCACAGCAAATCATTTTTATCTGCTGAAAGCTAGGAGGGCGTTAACCGATGTACTATACAATTGATATCACAGAAGGCCTGTCATCATCAGACAGAAGTTGCAAAATAACCCACTATTTTCAGAATCGGGACATTTTTTTGACCTATACGCTCATCCTAAACTAGCTCAGACCGGCGCAAAATAACACGCTATTTCGCAAATAACGGTCCATTTTGGAAACAAGACCATTATTTTTTTCAGGATATTTTTTCTCGATAGAGACGCAAATGAGCTGGCTAATTTGGGATCGGGCTAGTTAAAATAGCGGGTTATTTTGCAACTTTGGTCTGATGAAGACAGGCCTACAGTGTAGATGCCCTTCTGGGCTGGCTTTCAACAGACTATTTCAGCTGATTCATTTAATACACATCATCTGTTTAGAGCCAAAAGGATGTTATATGATACCCTTTTACATAGAGTTAATGTCTTTCTGGCTCTCAAGAGATGATATATATCAGTAGATGTACCTGATATTGCAATGTAAAATATAATATTATTATTTGTTCTCCAGTAAATTTCCAGGTAGGCCGAATAATTCAACTTTATTTATGAATTTTTATGGATAACAGTTTATGAGCCAGTCAGAAGATTATGAGATGGTTTAATTTAGAATGGGAGTAATCAAGCTTAAATCTTTAAAATTTACTGTTTTGGTAAAAACATGTATGCAGAGATTTTCATATCTCTGTTACCAGAATGATGTGTGATTGGAATTGAGAATGACTTGCCTAGACTGTTTCTTCAAATACTTATGTATAATCAATGTTAATTAAGCCGAAACTGGATACCTTAAACATCTACGTTTTATGATCGGACTTAGCATTCCATGTTCAAATTTAGTTTTACTTTGGAATTTCTTGCATGATATATGCATATATGTGTTGTTTTGAGTTAGCAAACAGCCACCAGTTTTAAAGCATATTTTAAACATTTGATGCTTATGTGACTGTATAATTTGTCTTTGAATTTGATGACAATACCCCTTTTCTATGAAATCATAAATGAAGAGAAAATGGAATGGAAATAGGAAAAAAGCTAGTTCAGCCCCAATGTCTTGCTTCTCATCTATCCTGCACTAAAATTTCTTCTATGAGATAACTTGGTTATCATACAGATCTTTTTAATTATTCAGTTTAAAAAAGAACTTCCTCATGATAAACAATAATAATTTTTGGGTTGAATATATGCACTGTAATAGAGAAATATTATTTGTAAAAAGGCAAAAGGTTTTCATTAGGAATGAGGTATATCTTTCTGAAATGAATCATATGTGATATGAAAGCTTTTTTTAAACAAATCCCACACAGCACTCCATAGCTTCAATTCATGCACACGCAGCTAGCTGTTTTTTTTAGAAGACTGTACATGTAAATGAAAAGAAATTAGTTTTGGCGATTCTGTGAAATGCATCCCGCATGACATTCGTCTTTTATCCATTTATTTCATCAAAAAATGACATTAAAATCTCTTGAAATACAAATTCCCTGGAATAATGATAGTGTTGTCTGAAAAAGACATTATTCAGTGGTCATACCAAGAGATTTTTATTTTAAAAATGATATAAACGGATAAAAGATAAATTAGAAATGTTGTCTGGGGCACATAGCACAGAATGGCCCTTTTGCTACATGTTTATGGAATGAAAGAAAAAAATGCTACTGCTTATGTTGGCTTGACTTTGCAATGAAAAATTTAGCTACATGCTCGATCATAATTAGAGTCTCTCTGAAGTGTGAGCCAGCGAGTCAGGTCTGATCACAAAGGGTTGTCCAGTGGTTTGGGTGACTGGACCCAAATCAAAGGGTTCAGGGTTCACATCTCGTCTAGCAACTTGATTGCAGGTTACAGTTGAATGGGAGATCTCTGGGCCTTAACAAAGAAACAACTCCATACTGTGACTCCGTTTCCTTTGAGCCCGATGCCAACGACTTGAATTGTATTTGGGATTACTTTTTGTAATCAGAGATTAGCGTCCATACAGTTTTTATTATCTTGTTTTGTTGCTAAGGCTTTCATAGAAATAGTTTATAAGGGTGATGGACACAGAATTATGAAAAAAGTAAAGTACATTTTAGTAGCTGAAGATAGGAAGGGCCTGGAGAAAGGTCATAAGGGAAATTAAAGTCCATCCCAACAGCACATGTAAAATGGACGCTAAATGATGAATTTTAAAGCATTTCCTGAACTCGCTGGCTATGTCACATGAGTGGGCTTTGGTCTTTTTTTTTCCTCTTTTTTTTTTGGGGGGGGGGGGGGGTGGGCTGCGGCAGAATTTCTTCTCTGCTGTGTTTAAATTTCACCTATCTTTTTAAATCTTATTTTGTTTTATTGGCCTGATAATGTGCTTGTTAAGTCAGCTTCAGCATGAGTCTTATACAGGAGAACGGCCGAGAAATCACCCCCTAGATTTGAAGTGATGAAGTGCATTCGACTAATAGCCTAGAGTGGATTGTCAAACCAACTGCAGTGTAAAGGGATCATGATGTTTCATGTAGTTTCATTGTAAATGTCGCATTTCTCATGTTTAATTCCTGTAATTTGGCGATAAAATGAAAAATTGAATTGACTGTAATGTTATAATTATACACTGTAGTAGATGATCTGATACGTTTATAGATATTTGGCGCCTTTGGAGCCTGTAGTTCTTCATTTAAGAAAGAACTTTGATTTAACATTACTTGTTCATCTAAGATTTCTGTATGTGTGGAAGACTATCATTATTCAGTTTGAATAGACACTTGTTTCAAGAGGAATTATATATATATATATATATATATATGAATGAAAAAAAAAGAAGATGTTCCTTTGATTGACTATTGTGCTAAATATACAAATTGAAAAAAGGGGGAAATTTCTAATCGGTTGAGAATTGTAAATTACATGATGATTCCTGGAGAGATGTAAATGATTATTTTTATGCCCAGTCAAATTTTTGACATGTTAGGTCCTGAAAATTTGCCAACACGGAAATTAAATCTTGTCTAATTTTTAAAGTTGCCAACAGATGTCCACATTTTTGTTTCAAAACAAGAGAAATAAGAGATTTGTCAATAGTCTTATCTCTAAAATTGTCAAATTTGCTGACAGAAGTCCCCCCCTCTCTCTGTTGCTACAACCCTGAGTACATGCTTTGAATTACTTGACTGTACAGTAGAAACTATTGGGTTTGTCACATGGTAGATGTTTCGTGCAAGAGCCTTTTGTTCCCTTTCCCTGTGTTACTAACGCTTTGACCTTTGACCTATCAGCGGAGGATGAGACCATGGTAACGGAGCGAGCTCATCACACACCGCCCACGTTCGGTGTGTTCTTCCCATCGTCCATCTGCTCGTCCATGGTGCATCTGACCGCTCTGCTGGACGATGCAGAGGTCAATCTGGAAGGTGTTTCAGGTCAGTTCGATTTTCATCTCAAGTAGAATAGGGCTAAGCCTTAACAGATTACATGTAGCAACATGGAGTATGCACATCACAAAACTACATTGGTAATTGACTGTACGGTGGAGGGAAAATTAAAAGGAGATTCCATTTCAATTTCAATTCTCATTTCAGCTTGGACTGATTTCTCAAAATGTATTGTCTAAAGTTAAATAGATATAGTCCCTCTAAATGTTGAAGTTATATCACTAGCAATTATTTTGTATATATCGTGCAATTAAGTAAAAATTCTACATTTATTATGATTAGAGATTGTAATCTTTTGTTCAACCAAATTAAAAGTTGTAACAGCTTGTAGCTAGTTTTATCTTGCAAAGAGTGTTTCTACATCTACTATAGATTAGCTTTTTGGTACAATGTTTGAACAATTTTTCATATAAAGGAAATGATGAATAAATATGGAAAGAAATCTATATAGATGGTTATTAGTGAGAGAAGTTTTTCTACATCTACCATAGATTTGCTTTATGTTACACTGTTGTAATATTTTTTCTTTACTTTGAAGTCGTAAAAATGAAATGATAGACAAACACATACAATAAATCTTCCTAGATGGTTACTAATTAGAGAATAAATGTTGTGTTTAAAAGAGTGTTTCCATATCTACTATAGATTAACTTTAATGTTGCAATGCTTTCGATATGTTTTTTCTTAACTTTGATATCATAGAAAGGAAATGATAGATTGCTATGGGGGAAATGTTTACATAGAAGGTTATCAGCGAGAGGCTATTTTGGTCTTGAAAATGGTTCTTCTACATCTACTATAGATTTGCTGTATTGATTGCTAAGAAGTCATAGAAAGGAAATGATAGATTAATATAGAGAAAACAAATCTGGGAAATCTTATTAAAAATCTAATGGCTTCCCCCCCCCCCCCCCAAAAAAAAAAAAAAAAACGCAAAAAGGATTCCCCTTACAACCATAATAATGAAACGGCACATACAGAATACAAACAAAGCACACAACGATACTAAGATCATTAGCACATCACAAATATTGTATGTAGAAGATCAACTCATATTCATGTGAGTGCACCCTGGTTTTCATCATGTTTTCTTTCTTTCTACCAGTTGGTGAAGTTGCACACAAGATCATGTGGACGTGCCTGGTGGAAGAACCTGCCCTCATCTTGAGGTACATCCTAGAGAAGATCACTGCTAAGGATAAACAGGTAAGAAGGATCAAACATTAATCATGTTACCTAATAAGAATATATACAGTCAAATCTGCTTTTTAGTGACCACCTGTATAGAAAGACCCCATTCTTTTGGTTTCCTTTGAATATGCATGGTTTTCCATTGAAACCTGTACTAAAGGAACCTGTACATGAAGACCACCTGCCCGTAAAGACCATTTTTCATTTTTCCCTTGAGTGGTATTTGAAAATGGTTAATCCCTCAAATGCCACTAGGTATACCAAACATTTATATTCAACAAATCCCTATTTAAGTACATAGGTTCAATTTTTTAATCTCTGTTATTAAGTGTAGATTTGTCTCGCCATGGGGACATACATATATCTATGTCACAATGAGTGAGTTAAATGAGAGTTTGATGAGAGATATTTTCATATTAGAAGAAGTTTCCAAATATTGAAATAATTTAATCAGTTTTTACGAGACACATAAGGCTTATATTCCATATTAATATACATGATTAAATCCATATTTGATATCTGCAGGAAGAGCTGATTTTGTTGATGAAGAAGCTGTTCAGTCACACTGATGAGATACCTGCCCAAGCTGCTCATACGCTCTTCAACTATCTGGTGAGTTCTGATGACAGTTTTGATTAGCCTGCCCAATCTATTAGTAGATTGCAAATCCAACAACAGAGCAAATGGAGGAGGGGTGGCATTGTATTCTCTGAATAGACATTGATTGACTAATTGATGATAATGATTATAATTCAGGTGATTTATTTATGCTTTTGATCAAAAAATCAGTTGCTGGTCAATTATAAATTTATCTTTTTGTTGTGTGTTTGACCTTACAACTTCTCCTTTGCTAAGCCCAAGGAGCATAGGCCTTGTAAGTGAACATGAAGTTATTGTCTAGGGCCGGTATTCAATACTAATGTCACAAATATGAGTATATTACATTGTTTTTAGCTTAGATTAAATACTTATCCAACTTCAGTTCAAGCTTTTTGGCTAATTTTTTAACCCTAATAAGGCCGGGCTATTTGAGGTCTTAGTATGGCCGGGGGGGGGGGGGGGGGGGGGCATTATGGCCCCCCTTAAGATCTTGGCCGCAAAGCGGCCAATCGCCGCGAAAATTTGCACGCATGTCAAGTGAAGTGTATAGAATAATATGATAATTTCAATTTTTTGAAAAATCACTCATTTGCATATTTATGGTAATTTATGCAAATAAAGTCATAAAACTCACATTTTTACCCATAAATCATATATTATTCGTGAATAGGCATTTTTTTTCACTACATATATTCATTAGACCATTCTGTATAATAATACAACAACAAAATTTGGAAGAGCCAGCTTATTTCTTATGTTATCCCTTGTTTTGATAATTTCTTATGTTATTCATTGTTTTTTTAACTTATGTATTTCATTGTTTTTGTTGCTTTATTTCATTTCTTACTACAATTCAACTATTTTGACACCCAAAACAACCACCTAAACTCTAAACAAGACCCAATAACCCATGTTTGATCTGTTTTTAGGAAAAATGACTTTTCCATATGTTTTGTACACAAATCACGAAAATGAGCGATTTTCGGGCTGACATGCAAAGACAAAAGGTCACGTGACCTTGTGACCGTAGGTCCGATTTTCAAAAAAAAACTTTAAAAGTTGCGCAAGACTCGAAATAAAAAAGTCAGCAAGTGGCGGGGCACCATCCATATGCGTTCTCGAGCTATCAGAAAAATCGTGGAGGGGGGGGGGGCCATAATGCCCCCCCCCCCCTGCCTTATTAGGGTTAACTCTAAATTTAAGACAGCTTCATAACAGACTTAAGCCAATTATTTGGAGGCCTTGATTGGCAGGCATATGGTTTTCTAACAAAGTATCATAACCTGCGCATAAAGTTACATTAATGTGCATTTAATGTGATGTGTTAATTGCAGATTATTTCGGATTGACAATGTGCCGTCACAATGACTATCAGTTAGTATTTTACTTTCAAATTGGCTTAATAAATTTAAATTCTAAGATGTAATCTGAATACAAGTGAAAGACATATTACTATTAAAACCAAGTAATATACCGGTTTAATCCACATACTGAATTGAACACTGCCCTACGTATGTTTCTTGTTATAAAGAATGACAAATTTCTCTTGTCTCACTCAGATTGGATTCATTATCTACCACTGCCGTGCACCACACGAGGGAGCTAATGAAGCCATCGCCAACACGTTGACTGTTATCTGGCATATTCTACCCTACGTGTCGGGCGTCTCTTTCAAAGACCTCAAACAAACCCTCAAGAAAGAACAATGTGATGTAAGTATTGTTACTTCTTGAATTTAATTGCGTGCTCTTACATGTATTTTGTATAATTATTCTGTAATATATGATTAATTAGTTATGTAATGATTTAAATAATTTGGTACAATTCTTCTGTTAAGATGATATTTTTTTTTGTGTTTCTGTTTTAGTGTACATGGCCAGTATTGATTTTCCTTAGTGACTCATGCAATGAACAACATTATTTTCTTTTAGTACAATATTATTTCAAAATATTTAGTTTTCTTACAAATTATAACTCTACCCAGGTATTTTTGCATCATTATTGATCAACATTTCTTGATATGAGAATGGTTGTAATCACTAGAGTGTAGCAGAGGGACATACATGTAATATCATGTAACATATCATTGTTTTGTATTTTTTCCTCACACAGCCAACCATCCTCATTACAGCAAATGTACCTTGTGCAAAGGTGAGTACTGTTTTGTGATCCCCCCACCCACCCCCCTTCCCAAATATAATTACATTCTTCCTACAAACGTGCAGTTTACAGTATAAATGTTTACAGCAATTTGCTTGAAAAGCTATTAGGAGGTCAAAGTGCATGTGCTTTAACTTTATGAAGTGAATGTTTTAATTCTTTGGAAAAATATGTCAATAAGGATCGTGTTCAAGTTTCTCATATTCTTCTCATCTTGTTTCTTTTAATTGTATTCATTTGTTGATACATACATGTCCTTGTATATTGAAAGTGTAGTAAAGAAAACAGGACTTAATTGGTATTTGAAATTGACGGATACATTTTTATTAATTGTTGTTAAACAGAAACTGATTGTTCATGGTCCGAATGAGAGTGATATTCCAACACAGCTCCCTATCAGTGAGGTAAGATAACTCAATCATTCTCTTGGCGTTTCTTTTCTTTCAATATATCACATAATTCTTTCCTTTCAATATCACGTTGACCTATTTCAGCTGCGCATGATGGATATGTTTTCTTTGCTATATTTAGTAAAGAAACATTCAACGGAAAATTATCCCTCTTGATATTGTGATAGTGGTAATCAAATGCAGAACCAATACTGACTATTCCATTCATGTACTTCTACTTGTTAATCAATATACCTTCTCTTGTAACTATTGAAAAGTGGAATCTGGCCTTTTAAAAATATATACTGGTATCATTCCTAATTCAGCTCACTTGTAACTTGTTCCTCCACAGGATATGCAATTTGAGGAGATCTTACAAGACTGTTTAGAGTTCTTTAACATCCCTCCAGCTCAGCATGGATCCCACTTCTTGGTGGATAAAAAGACAAGTAAGAAATAGATAAAGAGATAATTGCTACAAAATAAAGGATTAGCTTGAAATAGACACATGTTTACTGAAGCTTTGAGTCTTGCTAGGCAAGATCTTCACCAAGTCTGTATTTATTGATATTCTTAAGTAAAAACAAACAAACAAATAAAACGTATGAAAGAGCATCAGCGCAAAGGTTGAAACATCTTTAGAGAAATAAAGTTTAATATGGAAATGGGTGAAAATAGTATAACCTTTTGTAAGAGTAGGGGGAAAGTCTGGCGTAGTGGTGAACTTGCAGATCCATTAGTTACAACGGGAGGAGAGATTTGAGGATCACAGTGTGTGTTTGCTCATCCCGTCTCAGCCAGAGGTGATGCCAAATACTTTAACTTCATAATACAATAACATTTATGCAATATGTAAATGTACAAGGAGCTGCACATACCTAACAGTTTATTGCATTGTTGACTCTCATCATGTTGGATTGTGTTGACTCTTATCATGTTTTATTGAAGGCAAACAATTCTTTGGTATTTTATCTTCAATATGCTGTAGTATAGCTTCAGGCTTTAGAACAGTGGTACATCATTGACTTTTCTGACTGATCATGCTATTGATTAATGATATTTTTACGTTATTATGATCAATCGTGATAACACAAAAATTATTTTATGAACATATATCAATATAATGTACATTTAGAGTAAACGTCAATGTCAATATATTTTATTATAAGTAATGTCTCATAAAATTTGATGAAACTTAAACTTTATAGTATACAGAGCCTATTTCATCAATATCTTACCCGGTAACTATACACTATCTGCTCTAGAGCCCGGTTAAACATCAAACATCTTCCATTTTAGAGTGTTCTGAGTGGAGTGAACTTTATCTTTTTTTAATGATTTTCTAGATCAAATGCTAGATGTGAAGTCCTATGTGAGAGACTTCTATGCCTACAGACGTTCACAGTGCCCTGAGCTCATACTAAAGAAAATGGATAAGCAGCTCGGACTGGAGAAACTCCAGCGACAGGTAAATAGATTGTAACCATCTTATTTTCAATTCAATTTAATTCAGGTGTTATTCAATCCATTATCTAGTTCTAAAACGTACAGTTGTAATTCCAAACTAATTATGTTGTTGCAAAACAGTCAACATCTCAGCAATAGTTTACATCATATATATGCTTCCTTCTGCTCTGTGTGTATAGATGTTTGTATGTAATGATACCTCACACACAAAAAGTACTCCTTGAGATTGCTCTTTCAGTTGCGCCGCTCAAAAGATTTGGAATAACCTACCAATAGACATAAAAAGCCTCATCTTTTGCTGTCTTCAAAAAAAAATTCAGGATCTTTTTAATTTTTTTCTTTCTTGTGTGTCTGTAAAGTAACACTGTTAGGATTTGTGTTTTCATCACAACACAGTTGATATATACATATGTGCTGCGCTTTATGCATGTAAATTGATCTAATTATTATTATAATCATTATTATTATTATTATTATTATTAATATTTTTATTATTATTTACAAACAGGCCTTCACTTTGAAGTTATCTGAGCTTGGACGAGTCTACTTCTCAATGACAACACTGCAAAGTACACCAAAGAATAATGTAAGTACAATTGAATAAACTATAAAAAAAGGTTTGAATGAGTGTATGAGCAATTTTGCAAGACGGTTGAAGTAAGTACATGAAAAGTGCTGTACTCACAGTATACCTGTATAGGACATGTTTTGGAATTTTTATTTTATTTAGCAAGCAAAGTGTCAACTATTTTACCTAATTTAAAATAAAATTGAAATTGTTGCCCTTAATCACTTTGAATCTATTGTTTAGGACCATTGGTTATGGTGGCTATTGGTCAAGCCAATTTTTGCACATTTATGTTCAGTGATAGGAACATGTACATATTTGCTTTTTTTCTCCATATATCCAATCCAACAATTTTATTGATACACATCCAATATCATACGCTTTTCCTGAAGTTACCACATGTTTCATAAATGGCTCCACATTCATAACAACTTATAACAATTTATAACAACAAATTGTCTGTAGTAGCAAATCTGTGGTAGATTTCACATTGATTGTCAAATCATCATGCATTATTGTCCTCTACAGATGAACATCCATAGATTTATAACAATGAATTGTCCATATTAGCAAGTGTGGGGTAAATTTCACTTTGATTTTTGTATCGTACTGCAATAATTTCCTCTACAGATGAATATCCACGTCTCGTTCCTCCATGACGAGTTGATCAGACTGCCGTCATTCCCAAGGAAGGCATTGGATGCTGAGTTCTTGCTTTACTCTATACAACAGATGGGGAAGGTGAGTCCTTTAATGATGATGATGATGATGATGATGATGATGGTGATGAGGATGATGGTTATAATATGATAATGGTAATGATGATGATAGTGGCTTTAGATGCAGAGTTATAGCCTTCTTCTGTACAACAAATGGAGAAAGTGAGTCGGTGAGTTGTGTGATTAACAGTCATCATTAAACTTAAATTACAATAATAACAGTACACATGATAATGATCCCTTTAACAATTATCACGATGATAAAAATAATACCACAAAAAACAATATGTTGTACTCAATAATACCAGAAACCTTGATAATACATGTAATACTTCATATTCTAAACATTCAGAATTTTGCTGCAAGAAACTTTCAAAAATATGAAACACTTTGAATTGATTTACATTGTAAATCTTTTAACGAGGAAAATATTGAAAAAAATGTAATCATCTTGAATTGTTTATCTATCTGTAGGAACTCTTTGGTCTCGATGTTCTTCACAAGTTCATGTGGGTGAAGGTAAGAAATGAATATATCTGATTGTATAGTTTGCCAATTTCAAAGTAGCATTTAGCCTGGGTTATTCAGGTATTTTTTTGCCCATTTTAGAAAGTATTCTAAGGATATGCATCATGACTATGATTAATAAACTAGTGATATGATACAGGAAAAATCCTTTGAAATGCCTAGTTTGTGTTGGGTATGTCTTGAATCTCTTTTATTCATTTTTTCTGTTGTCAGTTATTTTATCACGTTTTCGAAGAACAGTCATTCTTTTGCAGTATCAAGTCTATCTTTGTGCATTTCAAGTGATCCAAATCCTGAATATAGTAATAAACTGCAAATGTTGTATAAATCTGTTGATAACTTACATGTATGACTACACATAGGCACATTCAATTCCACTGAAAACTGCCATGGAGAAATTCATTTACAATGATTTTACAACTTCTTCTTAAAATAAAATTCAGATGACTCAGACTGTGTTCAACCACATGTCTTCTGACTTTCCATGAAGCTGTTGAATGCATTCATCTATGAATACACATAGGCATGTTCAATTCCACTAAAAATTGTCATGAAGACATTCATTCACAATGATTTTATTACTTCTTAAAATGATATTCAGATGACTCAGACCGTCTTCAATCACATGTCGTCTGACTTTCCATGGAGCGGTGACATCCAACTCTTCCTCAACGTGATCAACGGCGCCCTTCTGCTTCACTGTGAAGACATTTCCATTCTCCGTCTCTGCCTGTCGACCTACATCAACATCTCCCGCCACTTCAAACACATCTTTGCTACAAAGGGGTAAAAATAAAGTTCTTTGCTCATTTCTTTACAACTGAGAGTAAGAGAGTAAGGGTTATATCAATAAGCAATGGCACGAAAATGACATTCTCTAACGACATAAAATTTATTCAATATTTTTGTTCTTACTTCTTATTTTTATAGTTCTTTATCTTATTTTTTTACTTCATTACCACTTTTCTACATCCAATTTTTTGTGGGTGCTACAGTGATGTGTACTTTCTATTTTATTTTTGTTTGTAAACTTAAAGATTTACTGCTTTTTGATGAAAATTTGATTAAGAAAAAAGGAACAACAGAAGGAATATGTTGGGTTGTATCCATCTCAATCATGTGCCAAAATGTTAATCACAATTGTTCAATAACTCAAGTGTGTTTGTCTTTATTCATTTTACTTTGCAGTTTCCAGTACATCATGCCTACGATCCTACGTATCTACACTCATCACCAATCCAATCCGCTTGTCTGCAGGAGTATAGAGGTATTCACCAATGCACACATACTTGCACAATATCATTTCCATGCAACACATATGTTCAATTTTCCAAAGTGTTTGAACTCTGTACCTGTCAAATATGTAGGCATACACATTTGTGTATGACTGGATTCCAGTTACATAGAGAGTCGCATGGAATATCGATCATGACAAGAACAATATATTTGCACATGTTCATGTCAGAGTATAATGCACATATTTGAGATTAGACTTTAATGAATGCACATTTATGTAAATGATTATGTTATATATTTGTTTCAAGTTGGCAGTTGTTGTCTAGCATTTGTTTTTCTTTAACAAGGTTAATTAGTTAAACCTTTTCTTAGATTTTGCATGGTGCATGATATTCTCAATGTAGCATGAAATCAATATGTATGATTGAACATGTTAAAAAGCGTTATAGAATTTTCAATTCATTTTTTTTTTAAAGATTGCTTCCTTATTATTAGACTATTTACAGACTCTTTTGTTTGTGGGAAGAGACAGAAATGTATAAATGCATTGTATGTGAAAAACAAAAAGGAGACGGCACTTTTTGAGCTGTTTATAGTGTGGGTTTATGAAGAATGTTATTAGGCCATTTTTCCTGTCATGTCCAAATTTGTAGAAATATCTTCTTGCAATTACACTGTACAATTTCTCCTCCAAGCTTGTGTATATTATATTCACTGCATAAACATGTAAATTGAATAAATAAATCATAAAAATATGAGAGATAATTGGTTCACTAATGACATGAAAACTATACTCCATGGACAGATTTTTGGCCGACATCACACAGACGATCATATGCTATGAAGTAAAGTCGCTTTTATTTTATTTTCCTGAATAGGGAGAGGCAGTAATCATTAAATCATTTGCCTAATGACATCAAGTACTATTTAACTGGTCGTTAATAATTTTCTTGGCTGGTGATATGATAAAGGGTTAGCATTCCTTTTTTTGTGGTTTATGTATTACACATACTTTATTTAAATGCATGATGATTTAATTTGATTTAATTTAGTTGATGTCTTTCTTTCTAGCACTGAAAAAGGGAAGTTTGCCTGTGTTTCATTTGGCATGCTGCATGATGTGTTTCACAAGTTGTAAGTGCTTTTATAGTTTTTTTTTTCACAATTGGGGTAAAGAATGTGCTGAGAGAGAGAGAGAGAGAGAAAAGGGTATCGACTCGCATCATTCAACTCCTTTTTGATTGTCAGAAGATAACATAATTCTATTCCATACCCAAGGTAACATCGTCAGTTTTATTTAAATCAAGATATATAGAGAAATTTTTTATTTTGTATTTACTAAATTTCTTTTGGCTAAAGGTTTTAATTTATTACCTAACATTTTGTCCAAAAACAAGTCATGCTGTCGTCACAAAATTTATTTTGCATGTATGATTGTTCATGAACAAACACTTCCTTTCTGATAGCTGGGCTGGTGAGATAAAACTAATATTATTTAAAACAATTAATTGTTTTTTATTCATTTCATCAGTATGTTTTAAAAGATGCATGTCTTTGTTTCATATACCCACAATTATAGATTGATAATTCTATTTTGTCTATTTAGTTTTTGTTAAAGTCATTCTGCACTTTTATAATAGTCAAAGAAAGCTACACTTATTTGTTTCCCGTAGTTAACTAAGTATCTTATTTCTTTTTTCTCACCAATATTAGGAGCTTACCTATGTGAACATGAGCATAAGGCAAAGTGTCTATTTCATTGTTACGCATGTTTGTAGAGTCAGGCACAAGCTGATTTATTTTAACTTTCATACCAAGCTCATCATCAATACAAACCATCCTGAGAGATTTCCAGAAATTTTGGATGTTCAATTTATTGATATACACCTAGCATGATTTTTCTCAAGAATTTATATCTGGATTTATCCATTTATTTTTGCAGTATGTGTGTCGTCAGTTCTACATTCTCCACATGAAGCCGTTTGTCCTTCAGCTGTTTGGAAGCGCTGCTCCTATTTTGAAGGTTGGCTCTGAAGAGGCTCCTAACCCCCTAAAAGTAAGTTCTCTACTAAATGCTATCTTTCTGACCCTAAATCTATCTCGTCTATAAGCCCTTATTGTTACATAAAGCCATGATAGGGTTGCGGCTGGAGCTGCATTCTTGACATAGAGCCATACGTCATTCAGCTGTGTGGAAGTGCTGCCCTCTGTCTTAAAGGTTGGCTCTGAAGAGGCTCCTAAACCCTTTGAAATAATGCCCTTTGTTTATAAGGTTAGGGTTAGAGTTGAAGCTAGGGCTACATTCTTCCAGGCTCCTGTTTGATAATTTTTGTTATCTATAATAAGTACTAGTTTCTAAGCTAGTGTAACAAATTGCCCTAAAGGCAATCAAATTGAAAGATTTTATTGATTATACAATTTATGAAATAGTCCTTTCAATTGTGTAGGTTTATATCCCACCGCTGCCACCACTCATGGTGAAATCTTGTTTTTAGGTACAAACACATTTTATGGGAAAACATAATAGTAACCACTATGTTACCCATCGATAAACTGTAATTTATCTCATTTATATGTCCTTCATAACTCTTGTATTTATTTACAATTTGGTAGTCCTATCAAATTATCACTGATTAGAAAAATAAATTGGCTTGAAGTGATATCCTTCGTCCCGATGCATTTAACATTACTGACATTAACTTGACACAACATTGCATACCTTAATGCATTATGGTTTATCTATCTTTTTAGGCCTCTGCAAAAGCACTGTTCAAGCTCCTCCTCTCATTGGAGAAAGACAGCAAAGATACTCTGGATCTCCTGGAGTTGGTTAGTGGTGACAAACCACTCAAAACACTTGTAAGTATTGTAAAAAAAGAACCAAAGCTTATACAAAATCTCTTTCCTACCTCATTGGCTAAATGGCTACTTACTTGTGAAAAGCTTAACCAAAAGTACATTTTTAAAGCTTCAAAATTAAAAGTTTCTGTGAGTTTTTTGATAGTGAGAAACATCTCACAACACTTGTCACTATGCTAGAAAGGAACCAAAGTTTATAGAAACTTATTGACTGACTCATTAAATACTCAAGTGTGAATAGGTCAAGAAACAGAAATATAATCATAAATCTTATTGGTTGTGTATTCTCAAGATAATGATAAAAAGATGAGGTAACGCTCACTTTACACCTAGGCCCCATCTTACAAAGAGTTGCGATTGATCCAAATCAATCACAAGTTTGCAATCTCCTATCTCTTATGTACATACATAGTTGCGATTGATATTAATCGCAAATAAGTTGCGATTAATATTAACTCTTTGTAAGACAGGGCCCAGGTGTGGCATTAATCAAAACACTTGTTGAGATACAAAACGATCTACCAAAAATTAACAGAGAAGTAGAAGTAGTACAACCATGTAACAAAAACACTTGAACCTCTATAGCACAACACTTCTACAGGGGATTTTTACCTATTCTACTTTTCTTCCTGGTACAGGACTTCTGTTACAACAATGACCCTCTGGCGACCTTCAACATCCCAGAAGCCATCAGGTTGTGTGTCGTCGTCGTCGCCTTTGCGCCTGAATCTGTCCGGAGTGCCCAGATGCTGGTAAGTTGTGCTGTAATCAAGTGTGAATGCAAGGGTGTTCCGGCACAAGTACTAGTGGCACCCAAGAACTACATATAGTATATGTTTATGTATGTAGATATTGTTGGATGGAGGGGGTATCAGGTTATCTCTCCTCCCCTACCCCTCCTCCACTCCCTTATTTAGACCCAGCCTGGCTCCTTTTACCAAAGGTGGTGCTGGAGTTATTTTATTTGACTAATTTAACCAGTGCATTTTAGAATACTCATTTCGAAATGATGGAGGTGCTCCTTGAATAGTGTAGCTTTTCACTTACCTTTCAACTGTTCTGTTCTAGGGTGTGTTGGATGCCATAGTGCCCCTCTATCTACAGCATCTGAAAGACCAGACAAAGAGAAGGGACAACTCCAGCGCTGCCAAGTTAGAGACCACGGCCATCACCAACCTAGCGGTCACTATCAAGGCACTCATCACAGGTGCTGAGACTCTGGCGAGGTATGTGTATTTACAATACAGTCAGACCCATCTATAAAGGCCACTAAAGGGAATCAGAAAAGTGGCCATTGTAGACAAGTGGCCCTTCTAGGCAGGTTCTACAACATATATTTCTTTCCTGCAGTAGACAAAATACAAGGTCAATTTAGACATGTGGCCTTTATAGAGAAGTGGCCACAAAGATAGGTTTTAATGTTTAACAATAACACTCCATCGCGGAAATTGAGCACAAGCAGAAATTGTACATGTAGCTTAATTGTTCGACAGAATTCATTTATATTGTGTCTTAATGCTATACTCATACATTCATGTAAAAGCTTACATTGTAGCTGGTAGCACGATGCAGGGCATATTTTTTTTCCTTTCAGTTCTGTGCTGTCAACACACTTAATGGGTCATGTAGCAAGATGAAGAGGGGAAAACAGAGACAGGAGTAGAGAATAGTACAGAGCAAGGATGGGAGGGAGATACATGAAATGTAATGTAGAGAGAAAGGGAGGGAAGAGATAGAAATTATGGTAGAGGGTTGATAGACAATCAGGGAAAGAGAAAGACGAATAAATTTCCAATATTATATATCACTCTGTGTACAAAATTATAATGATAAAGGTTTTATCAAGGAAAATATCTAGAGAGGGATTTGAAGCTTTATGCAAATTTTGTATCCCCATATATACATGTATATTGACATGATTCCTTGAATGTACCTTTATTCCATGATTACGCAAACATTTGTATCCTCTTTCCAGGAGTACCAGTGGACCAAGCCGCAAGATCGACACGTCCAATGTGGCTGCCAGTTTCAAGAGCTCTTCCAACTCCCAGCAGAGCTCGGTCCGCAAGCATAACTCGCGCAAGTCGGGCATCAACAACTCAAACAACATCGACCTAGGAGACGAGGATATGAGGGAAGATTTTAGATTCAGGTAACCATTGAACGTTGATTAGTATAATAATAATGATAATGGGTTCTTGTATAGCGCTCATGTCTGTCCGCTGTTGTCCCCCCTATCTTTGGCATGGCTGCTTTTTCGGCACTCTAATGATTTTCAAGGAATTAGTTGCTGTCAGGTACCCATTTACTTCAAGTGTAGCAAATGTGGATAGATGTCTTGCCAATGGTCACTATTAATTAGGAACAAAATAATTCACTCAATAACTCATAAACGAAGCTCCCCTAAGCTGAGGTAATGTAATACTGTACCCCATAATCTTATTTGCAGTGTTACTGGGTAGATGGTGCAATATGAATGTCTATTATCATGTTTTCTTTAATTTCATTTCTTACTCCAGAAGGTTTAAAGATCTTTTATGATCTTTTATGAAGTGATATCACAACCTCCACTGGCAAATATCATCTTCTATTCATTAAAATACAGATACAATGACGATCGCGTCCAGCGTCGTTACGAGGACGATTCTGAAGAATCAGAGACCATGAACGAGTTCTGCAAGCCAAGAGACATGCTGCTGAGCGTGGTCTCCGAGTTCTACTGCCACGGACTGGCCAGGCTCAAGGAACTCAGACCGGTAGCAGAGTCCAGGACCCACAGCCAGACTGAAATCATGGACCAGAAATGCCATATGGTATGTGGGCTTGGTAAAACCTTTTTCACATTATGCCACGGTTAAAAGCGGTGGGCAAACTTAGCATAGTGTGCTTTATGATTCTGTATCTTACACCACACAGATGTAATCTTTGAAGGCTTCCATGGTGAGGATAGATTTGAGCGAGGTTCGCGGTTACACCACGTATACTTTCAACAGGGTTAGTTGGACCTGAAAAGGGCCCACTCATGCTCTATCTCCGCGTTTCGATAAGTTGTACCTATCGTCTTTAGCTACCTTGACATCATCCTGAAGACCTCCAATGTCCAATCTTTATCAATTTGCAGGTTATACATTATATTTCATTAAAACTATATTAATATACCTTACTTAAGATGTACTCTGTACCATGATGCTGTATGTAGAAACTGTTGTAAATATTATCTTTTGTGGTTACTTCCTGGCAGCGTATTGCGGAAGTTGCCCTGACCTTACTAAAGGTCGCGCCTCATGACCCCGTGACCATGGGATGCAAAGGACTTCAAAGGTTAGTAAATTTACCTCAAGAATTTTGTAATTTTTTTTCTTCAATGGATTTGTTTACTAACGTATTCAAATTTTATGCATACTTTTTTTAAAAGGTTGTTCTTGACAACTTGAAAAATTCCTGAGGCTTGCCCGACATAGCAACATGTGATGTATGTAGACCAGATTCCAAGTATTGTAGTTCATTCATTAATAATAGGTTAATGGAGTAACTTATTACTAGGTCCCCAGGTAAGAAAAAACCATAAGTCCAAATCCATTCATTTACCTCACCTAGCTTGGTCAAGTGTGACAAATGTAGATTAATGTCTTGCCAAAGGACATCAGCGCCGCTCCAGGACTTGCACCGCGAACCATCTGATCCACACTCCGGTGACGTATCCTGTAGACCACGAGACCTCCATACATGTACATGCAGTGTGAACTTCACTTCCTGGTTAAGATACCCCACTTATAGACGATACTGGAAATCATACTGAATGTTAACTTCACTGAACATGAATAATTCATCATTGTCTCTTATGAAAATCACAGATACATCTCCAAGATGATACCTCTGACCGAATAGGGAGTGTTTTTTTTTTGCGATAATTTATTGCAATGATCGTGACATAATAATAACAGATACTCTCAACCACTCTGTTAACTCTTATCATGCCGTAATGAATACAGACCAGTACCACAGGGCTAATCCCCATTGTGCCAAGCCACAAATCTCCCCTGTGCCAAGTTTATTTTGAGAAAATCTGATAATCTGATGGTGCGATCAATAGCCATGCGAAGCACTCAGCACAGTACAATGAGCATGAACAATAACTGCTAATACGAATGCGAGAGTGCATGTATTAAGCAGCTAAGCTGTGGCTCGCTTGCGTGAATTAAGCAGCCAATCGATAGCGTGCTCGCGTGTACAAAGCACTATAACGGTAGCGTGCATGCAGCCTTATGTCAGGATATGAGTTAAATAAACTGATCATGGATGATATGTCATTGTCTCTTCTGTCGATCACAGGTACATCACCAAGATGATACCCCTGACAGACTGGTCCAACCAGGACCTACGCCCCGCCCTCATCACCCTTCTCAAGAGACTGGACAAACTCTTTCAGAAGATCCATAAGAAACCTACACTCATGGTGAGTTAGAATAAGAACAAGAAATAAAACCATATACTTTCAAAGGGAGAGGGTCGTCAGTTTCCAAATGCAGAAGGCCATAATTTGCTGACACCAGACTCAGAGGAAATACCTGTAATGGGTGTACCATATAAGTTTGCACACAGAAAACCCAGCATGGTCCCATCAAGAAATAGACCCTAGTCTCTTGGAAAGTCTTCTGGTAAGAGAGAGTTAGAAAATGACTTCACCAAATGGGGGAATGGGTGGAAAATACAAAGCTTTACATAAAGCCTGTTGGTCATAAAACTGAAGGCTTATCCTGGTGATTGACAACACCTGTTATTGGGTAAACACCTGGATGGTGTCCAAGCTCCATTAGAGCCCACTACTATGCATCTTTAAGTCAAGCTCTTTCTCTTGCAGTGGTCTATGCATTACAATCCAAGGACATAATGTCTTCTTTTCTTGATAATTATGGTGATGAGAACTCTCACATTGTTGAGATCAAATGTTGTATTCAAAATAGTATTGTACAGTTTTTTTAATAACTTCCACAGGCCATGAGATTAATTGATTCCTTTAAGCATGAGGTAAACTTGCAGTCGTTTTTATTTTATTTTGATATTTTAGCGCCACATGGACTGGGAATCAGCCGCAAACTTTCTGAAGGGAATCTACATCACCCTGACGAAACAGAGCATTATCAGCCATCTTCCCCATTTGAAGGTAACATATAGAATCAAATCCCAAGAGGTATATGTTATACAAGTCAAACCTGTCTATAAAGGCCACCCAAGGGAAAAAGGAAAACTGGTCACTGTAGACAGGTGGCCTTTCTTGACAGGTCCTACAACAAATGTTTCTTCCTAGAGGGAGGCAATACAGGTGACCATTTTAGATAGGTGGTCTTTATAGAGAGGAGGTCGCTAAGACAGGCTTTTTCTTGCAGTTACATAGTGCTGCACTCATTACTCCACAGGTCGGGGCCATTTAACAGTAACATTTCACTTTAAATAAGATGTGTGGAGCCAGTATAGTACATTTGTCCTTTAAAAAAATAAATGGAACCTCAGAAGTCTCTTGAATTGATCAACAGCTAAAACAGTCTTTAAAGTAGTAGGTAGCTGGTTCCATAACTTACCTGCAACGGATGGAAAAAGATATTTCTCCTGCATGTTTCTTAGCGACGAGATGAAAATGCTGGGAAATGCTGGGAAAATCAGATTGCAGGAGGACGGTACAGTGCACTGTAGGCTGAGGCTATCATCAGTAGATATGAAGCCATCTTAACTCACATACCTCTTAAAGGTTACTACCTGTCGTAAAATTCAAGAAGATAGGATGACCTAGTAATTCATTTAATTTAGATTGAAATTTGATGTAATACATGCTCATCAATTTTCATATTTTAAATGCTGTGATCAAAGCTCATACATGTAGAAATGAATCTAAGCATTAAAGCCCCATTGCACTACTATTTGTACCCTCTATATAACAAACAATGCCTAATCATAGACCATTGGTCCCTATGCTGATTTGATGAGATAACCACCTGTCGGTAACCATGCAGTGAGATTTAATCCCTTTTGGCCAAACTAGTGCAGTGGGGATTTAAGGTTATAAAGTATTTTGAAGAGAATCCAGTGAAGTCTAATATTTTTTTAAATTTTTTGTTAATGACACCTCAGTCCCTGCTCAACATCTGCCTCGCGCTCCTCCTCTGCGATGGATCTGCTCCTGGTGGAGCCGATGGTCTCCAGCTGCTCAACGTGGCCTCCTCGGGCGGGGTCCGCTTTACCCCTCCACCGGTCTTCTGCTCCTCCGTGGTCCGACTAGTCGCCATGCAAATGCACTGTATGAAGGTGAGAACAAGCTAGGTCACATGATCACTCACCCCCTGTGTGATCCACCCATGACCCTCTCAAGGTCACCAGAAGGTCATTGGCCGTTTCTTTTCGCTCTGTGTTTAAAAAAAGGAACAAAGCCGTAGTGCTCATGAAACTAGATGAAAGTTGGCACAAAGTCGTTGACGTGTGTTTCACTAGCTTTGTAGATTTAGTAGGCAACATCGGTGTGTATTAACCCAGTGTGAGTGTGAATGAATGAATGTGTATCTCTGTGTGTATGATATGCTGTAGTATCAGGGTTCATTCAGACCTGAGGCATTCAACCCCTTAAGAATAAGCCCCGACAAAACTAAACTGGATATATAGTATAGTGTGTTTCCATTCTGTTTCTTCAAATCAACACACAGATAAAGGAATACACATTTGAGTAAGGGCCATTTTTTGTGCTGCTTTGCTTCTCTTTTCCTTTAATATTGCCTCCTGAAATTTGAAAATGTTAGTTTTGCCTTCTCTTTCGGAAGGTGCTTTTTTTGCCTTTGGGACTGAATGGGCCTTTATATAGGAGTGCATCTGTGTGTGCGAGGTTAATTGTATGATGACTGGAAAATTAATGCCTTTTTTCCCAACACAGGTGTAATTTTCTGCATTAAGAGGTAGAATTCTCTAACTAAAACCTGTCTAATCCTATAGTTGAAAATATTTCTTGCTGCTTTCTGCTGTATTTGTCATTATCAAATGCAGTTCAAGGATTTTAACTTAGTTTTTTTTTATTATAGAGATATAATTTTCACATGTAGTGTGGATCAAGGATAAAAAGTATGCACTAAATTTGCTTTCTTTGTAAAAGTCAGATAAATTCCTGTGTAGATTTACTCTAACATTTGAAAGTTTAATTATACATAATATAATAAATCAGAGTGTAAAGATGTAATGATTGATTTAGAAAAATTCTTGTCATGAATCTGTGGTAAATGTTTTCTTTAGTTTTACTAAATCTTAAAGGTACATGTAGCTTATCGTTTCCATTAAAATATCCCTCATTATACATTCTTTCAATTTGAACCTCTTTTTTTTTAAGTTGAAAGATTTGTATTATTTTGTTGGCATAAACCATTACTGTACTTTATTAGGTGCCTGTGACAAATAGCTATTTATTAATTTGAATTAGCATCAAATTTATTCAGCAGGGATGATTCAGAGAGCCGGATGGGACATCAGTGTAGTATATATATACCCTCACATAAAAATTCTTCCTGTACCTTTTTGTTGACGGGAATTTGATTTCACAATTGTACCATGTAAACTTTTTTCATAAAACCAATTACATGCTTACATTAAAGGGAATAGGTATTGCTAGAAAATACTATGATATATTTGGTACAATGTATAGCTGTATAGTGATGAAGTTATTGTTAGAGACTACAATGTAATTTTGTGTACAAGTCACGCTCACAGCATTACAGGCACATGTACACTACTTAACTGAGCAAAAAAGATGTTGTATAACTTAATTTTGATTTTAAATTTCAAATTCAGTTTTCAGAAATATCGGACTTAGAAAAAGAAACAAGAAAGAAAGAGGACTAGATGTGAAGAAAAATACTGTCAATTTTTTTTAAACAAAATAAATAACTTGTTTCTTTTACATTTGTGTTGCCATTTCATTTGATCATTTTCCGCACTACTTACTGTTATGTCGAGGTACATTTATGGAGACGAAGAAAGAGAAGGTCTATGATAGTTTTTATATCACTTTTATACAAATACATCTCAATACATAATTTTACATTAGACGTGACTTATACTTCAGCAAAATAGTTCTCTTATTTTGAAAGTATTCATATTAAGACCAATGTTCTTGATTATGTTAAATTTATCTTCAGTTACCGGTACATGTTCCTTTTGCAATCATTCTTTTATGTTTTTCCCCCAAGGTTATGTTCAATTCTTATTTGTTGCATACACCGCTTGATAGATTCATGTTGATTGGTCATTTTAAAAAGAAATTGCTTTCATTAACAACTTTTATTTTTCTTTGTTCATATAGATGTTCATTAACCAAAAGTTGAGCTCAACTTCTTTCATCTTCCCTATTTTGCACAAAAAAGGTCAACACCTTTTTGATTCTGAAGTCATGGGTTTTTTTGGAGATTATAGTTAGAGTAAAAGTCCTCACCAAGTAGATGTGTGAATTGTAAGCTCAAAACCAGCAGTACATGTAATTCACCTATATTAAGATGTCCTCAGTCTGACATATCTTCTAAATCTAGAGGTTTGAGACTTTCAAATAATTGTAGTTCTTGAAATCCAAACAACAGCTTTTCAGAGAAATTGGTTTTGTGCCATTGCATCACATACGGAACAAACATTTCCCTGGTAGTGATGACAAAAAAATTCTGTAGCTCAGCGGCCTCAGTCTTTATTATCAAGTGCACTGAAGTGACTCAATATTCACGTGAAAACAAAAGCAAAAACAAAGAAAGGAAAGAAATGTTTGAGCTCAATGTGTAGATTTTCCATTGCTTTTACAATGCTTTTTAGTAGTAAAGTAATATGTAGAGAGTAAAATTACTCACATTTTTCCAAAATCTATATCTACGAGGTGCGACAAAACTTCCTCAGTTTATAATTCTGACATTTTTTTTTCTCTCACAAAAGACAATTGCCATGTTTCTTATTTTCCTAGCGAATAATCTAGAAGATGATTAATAAATTTGATTTTACATTAATAGAAAAGAGATATTTGGGTTTGCATTTAAAAAACAAAGTAAAATTCAATATGAAATTTCAATTAATGGATAATTTTTTAAATTATGGTTCCCTTTCTTCTTTTGTGTGATACAAACAATGTTTTATTATATCACACTACTTTCAAGCCTGTTCTGTCAACATTGATGAGAAACGCAAGCTTTTATAATTATAATTATGTAATAGCCCCAAAATCTGTAAAAGAAATGGAAGACTTTAAGTATGATTTTCCATCAAGCATGCTAAAATTTTGTTAACTACTTAGCATAGGAAACATCCATTTCCTGTAAACCATGGGTTAGATTTAACTTACATTGAGGAAAATACGGGACAGAAAAGTTTTGTCGCACCTTGCATAGTACATGTATCTCTCTCTTTCTCATTTCCTCTCTTCATTGCTGTACCGCCATATTGCTTCACTCTCCTTTCCTCCCCAATATCTAATCAAACGAAAAAACGAAAAACCAAAACAAACACTATGTGCTGATCACGCCATGGTCTCTTTCAACCCACTCTCATCCTGTGTCATAGCATCAATACTGGATGAAACCGAAGGCAAGTGACATCATCTATTGTTTTGTTTCTTTGTCTGTCTGTCTGTCTGTCCGTCCGTCCATCCGTCTGTCTGTGTGTCTGTGTGTGCGAGGGTAATGTCTTTCTCTTGGTATGTCCATGTAACGATTCTACTTACAGATACAACTCTCCTTTCTCTACTTTTATATATCAGTTGGTTCGGTTCGATGACTGTATGGTATATTTTCAAGTCTAGTATAACTTCCTTAACAATATGAGGAATGGACTCCCACCTCTCGTGGTTTTATTATTTTTGTTTTCTAGTTCCACTTACAAGTGTTGGTTGCATGCTGGTAACCGCCCGAGACTGAAACATACAATTGTAGTTCCTTGTTGGACCCCTCTTTCCGACCTTGTTCCCCCCTCTTTTAAAAAACAAAACCTCAAGGAGAGAAGTTGCCATTGAATTTATGTCTGGATATGCGATTTTGTTTGAAATTTGGTTGACAGCTTCTTGGTTCTACCCAATAGTCAACAATAAAACTATTAAATTAAGTAGTAATGCATCTTGAATCCTAACAAACCTCTTGTCAGTGAAATAAAGTGCCCGTCTAGCATGACATATTTTGTATAGATATTTTGGTTGATAAGAATTAGTACTGCATGATGCATTGATATCTAAAGTACCCATATATTTCTCCAAAATAATTCATTTGGTATGAGATGGGTCTTTCCTATATGCATGTTAGTTCCAGCAGTGGTAAAATGCATCCTGTTGCCAATTTTATTAAGTTCAACTATTAAAGCTCAAATATAAACAAATAAGGAGAGAAGACATTATCTACTGTTTCACGTTTTTCAGGAGTCAACCGCTCATATTTTTGTGACAGCTTTTTTTAAATGTCGCCTGATAAATGCCTGCATCCTGTGTATTCAAAAGCCGTTTCCACAATGCTCCTATGTTGAAAACAAGAACATTAATCACTCGTTAATGACAAAGTTCAATTTATTTTTCCCAGCATGTTTGGGTCACACCCTCAAGTCTCGTCTCTAAAAACAGCTCGATCATCGATCATTGTTCCACTCGCACAAATTCTAGTGCAGCAACAATTAATCCATTCTAGTTTTTCAAGAGCTGGTTGGTGCTTGTCATGATTTTGATTAAATAATTGATTCCTTAATTTTCCTTTTCTTTTCATTTCCTATTTATCACCTTAAATTTTATTTCAGTGCATTGATTTTTTTCTTTCCCTGGATCACCTGGAATTCCTGGAAAAAACGCATGAGCTATGTTTTCTAACAAGCATGAAAACCTTACTTTATTTAAATTCCATTCTCTTTGAATTGCATCTAAGAACGAAACAGCATGAATAGGACTGATTGAAGACTTGGTAAACAATAGACTATTAGTAAGCATGATTGACAACCATTATCAATTAAAATACAATTAGTCATTTTATCCTGAAAACTAACTTTATTAGTAGAAATTGGAAATACCCAGTGAAAACATAGAATTTGTGTAAATGATAACATTTATCTTATTTTTGAGATGTTTGGTTCTATTCTATGATCAGCATGGCTTTTACAAGAAATGCAACATTCTTTTTAATACTTTGTACTCACATTATTTCCTGCATTTTTCTTTCTTTCAGGGAACAGTTCTCTTCTTGACAATTCCAATGATATACCAATTATCATATCAATTATTATCTAATTGAATGTTTTCGATATCATTTCATAATCTCTCTCTCTATTATTTGACAATCTAGCATGTATGACTGCCAGCATGTATTATTGAAAAAAGTCATGTGACTGGATAATTTGGTATGCAAGTGATATGACCATATTTGGTAGTGAAATGCATGCTGGATGCATATAATTAGCATGTTAATGAAGGTTGGTGGAGGTTGAACACTTGAGAATGGAGCATGCATGGTTGGGATTTAACCTATGTTATGCTGAAGTTGAATGGATATTGGGCATCTTGATACCATTGTTATAGTAACATGTCTTTATAACTTGTCATGTGTAAGTAGATATGATATCTTTTACAATTCGTTCCTATTTTCATGAAGTGACGGTAGTGAGGAAAATCCGCATGCAAATTGTATGCGATTTTAATTCACTACCGTCACTTCGTGAAAATAGGGACGAATTGTTATCATGAAAACATATTGCTCAACTTTTTCCTCAACTTTTAATAGAACACAGTCCTTACCCTAATTTATCAAAAGAAAAAATATGGCAATCCTTTTACTTTTGAGCATGTTTTTGCTCGTACACTTTGTTACAATCATGTTGTAAAACTTTTTTGGGGGTATAATTTATTGATAACTTGCAAGAAATACTGATAGGTTACTTTGAAAATGATAGAAAACTACAATCAAAATCTGGTGTGAAAAAAGTAAATTGTGAATTACATCTAGTCAGATTCATATTTGTACACTCATGTTGTCATGTGTGTTCTTTATGCCACATATTGTAAAAGAGAAAAAAAAAGATGAAGAAGCATCGATGAGAATGAAAATGAAAACAAAAACACATTACTTCTGAAAATTACCTTTTCTTTAAATTTTTTTTCACAGGATAAGATTGTTATCCTATCTTATTAGCTTATCGGTAACCTTTTTTTTAGAAAGCTGTCAGGTTCGAAAAATACACAAGGCCAATTAATAAAGTCTTTTGATCAGAAAGAATAAATGATGCAACGAGCTACATTGCATCGAGAAACCCTGAAACAAAATTGAAAGTTCTAACACCATGGTAATACTGGTTTAACATTAAATGCTAACAAACAATAGCAGAAAAAGTTCATTATTTTTCAACCATTTTCTCTATATAGTACACAGAATCAGGAGTATTATTTTGTTTAAAGAACCTAGATTAATTCTTTGTTTGGAATATCAGAAATAAGGAACTGAATATCATGAATATCCATGACTTAATCTAATGAATATGTACAGTTATGTTATGAATAAACATGATCTCATGAATTATTGATGATGTGCCCCTATAGGACATGTATACGTTGGAGCAGGTGTTTGGTGGGACGCCCATGTTCAACTCTCCGGAGAGGACTGAGACCATACTCCTCTACTTCGTCCTGCCCCTCTGCTTGAGGGTGGGTTGTGGCAGAATTGGTGAGTAATGCTGAAAGGACATAAGTCAAATTAAAGGGACTTGGTAACATTGTTCATATGAGAGAAAATGGTGCTTAGATAGTGACTTCAATGCTTGATGTGGAATCAAAGATAATATGAAAGTTTGAGTGAAAACAGAATATTATTAGTAATAAAAATTGGGAAAATTACACATTTTTTTCATCAACCTTCAACAAAGTTACTGAGTCACTTGGATAATTGGTTAGGAGGGACATCCATTTTTATTTAACTTTCCAGAGAGGACAGTATAACATGATCCTTGATCTACTTTGTCCTGCCCCTCTCCCTCAGGATAGGGTGTGCTGCAAGTCTGTTTGTTTTTACACTGTCACAATAGTCTAGTGATTTTTAAAGGCATCGTTTAACAATGTTAAATCTGAGATGCACGGCCCTACGTGTGATAAGTGCCCGTGATATGGTGTAATATTGAATTCCTAAAAAATTGCGCTTCAACATGATAAAGAAGTGCCTCAAAAAAGTAAAAATCTTTGAGTGACCGGTTTTATCATACTCGTTTTCTCCAATAGACCGTAGTGTCATGAAGACAGTTAGGAAAACGCAAAATTTGATTTTGATTTCCAATCATATATATCTTGATAATCAGACAGGCGATCAGCTTGTAAAAGTCACGGGGTTCCTGACTGACATAAAGGTTTATAATTATCATAGCAGCATGAGCTAAATCCAGGATTTTGTTTCAGAATCTGAGACAAAGTTACCCAATCCCTTTAAGGCATAGATTTGCATCCCACCGCTGCCATCGTGTTGTTAAAGGAGATATTTACAGTGAAAAAAAAGTTCTCAAATACAGTCAAACCTGTCTATTAAAATCCACCCAAGGAAAACCCAACACTTATAGAAAGGTTCTTCAGCACATGTTTCCTTCTAGAGGGAGGCAATACAGATGACCATGTGTGGGTGTGTGTGTGTGTAATTGGGTTTTTACAGACTTGTATCAATCAGATATGATTAGTTGCGTCTGGGGACTGACCTTTAACGTCACCATACACTATAGATAGGTGGCCTTTTATACAGTTAGCCAGATTTGACTGTACAACATTCTACTGGTGGGTGTCCATGCTGCAAGTACCCTTAATTGCCGCGTTGTAATATAGCGATGTTATATATCCCACCGCTGTCATCATTCTAAGAAGAGACAGACTCTAAAAAGTACAATGATGTAGCTGTGGAATTGAATAGCCATGTTCCAGTTGTTCTTTATTACTTAGTTGGTAACAACTGCATCTATTCTACCAATGTGTTGTGATAAGAGATATTGATGAAATGCATAATGTAAGGACTCTGACACATGTATCGTTGTTTAGTGGTGGGTAGCCATGTTGCAAGTGCCCTTTTGTTGCCTTGTTGCTGGCAACAGTATACATCCCTCAGCTACCACAGTATACAGCCGGTAATAAGTTATACACCTGTACCGATGACATAATATAATGTTTAGAGGTAGGTAGTCATGCTGCAAATGTTTGTCAGCATTGCAAGGTATTGCACCGTTCAAAATAGTAATCCTTATGTTTACATGGTTTCATATCCTACTGCTCTCCCAATATTATTAGAAGAAATGGTGATGAAATCTTGACAATCAGCAATACAGCGTCCTAAAAGTATTGTAGATTTCTGTTATTGCTTTGTTGTTAACAACTGTACATATCCCACCACTGCCACCATCAAATAAGAAATTTTGAAATGATTAACAAATCTGACAATACAAGATTTATTCCAGCTTTAAATTGAGACCCTGTAGTATTTGAAAAGAATGCATATCTTTTGAGAAACTCTTAAAGGTCATCAATATAATTGCAGTAATATGTATATACCTCTCACTGTAGTTTATTAGCTCATTAAACTGGCATTGGTAATCAATCTCCACGTACAGACTCGCCCAAGATCCGACCCTCGGACATCTCCTTTGCTCTCACCATGATCCTCAACGCCCTGCTGCCGCCCCAGAAGCAGGCAAGGCCAGCGGGAGGGGGTAGCGGGCTCCCGAAGCACAACTACTCCTCCATGACAGACCTTCCTAGCCATACCAGTGCTTCCTTCAGGGACTCTACAGGATGTGTGCCAGATTCACTCTATGAAGCGGGGTACCTTGGTGAGTGTCAGTGATGACCTGCTATGTGTGTCATACAAGCTAGGCCAGTAGTGAGGTGCATAGTTAATTATCTGTTTCTGCTTAATAAATGTGTTAACCTATTTCATGAGTTTTGTCTGGTGCTGTCATATTATCAAGCAATCTGCTTACAATGACAGTCCTTCTTCCGCAACAAAACTTTATAATGTTTTATAATGTTTGGGGATATTTAGTAGTTATGACAGTTTATCATTTCTTTTTTTGAAATAACAATTGATATATATATATATATATATATATGTATTTGCTTATTTATGATTCATCGTCAGAAAAATACTTATTGTACATTATATTATTATTGTTATAAAAAAACTGTGTACTTACATGAATGCGGAAGAAAATAAAATAAAAATGAAATACAAAATTATGAGAGGTCCTAAAACGCACATGCTCAACTCTTGGAGCTCCAAATTGTGTCCTCAAACATACAATTTTGATGGGAGAAAACTATACATGAACTTGACATATGAACGGGTGCAACTTCCGGTTACATAACTTTATCTCCTCTACCAGAGCTATGGTTCAGTGAGTTAGTCACCGTACGGTATCCTTCGTCAAGAGGCCATAGTTTTCCTAGGGGTTCTCACTCCATCTCTAGGTTGATACAAAGAAGCAAAAAGGACAGAGCAGGAGAGAGAGAGAGAGAGAGAGAGAGAGAGAGGGAAATGATACTGATTGCTATTGAAATATACATATATCTTAATTTGACTTCCCATTGTTGTGATCAGACAACTTATGTGCCATCAATTATAAACTCAAATTAAATGCCCATGAATTGATTCATTTGCATTTGAAGCTGCCATGAGTTATTCTATCATTTCAAGTCACAATCCATTTGCTCAAATCGAGGTCATGGAAAGGTGATAATTTGGCAATGTGTCTTGCTCAAAATGACTGAAACTTGATGGGATCATTTATGATAGTAATCAAATGTTTATACAAATATGTCATTTATGATTAAGGTACATTTATGAAAAATAATGATCAATTTTTTTTCTGCAGGTTTGAAGATCATGTTGGTTTGTTTCCAGTCACAACTAGCCAGAGAATGGCATCGCATAGCAACTGTTGTCAAGGAGTTGGGATCACACATGATGGGTAAATATCACATCACACTTCAATATAAAAATCATTTTAACAAAAAATTATTTATATTAAAATTAAAAAAAAAAAAAATTAACATAGTTTTTCAAAATTATCTAGAACGAAGTTGTGCAATTCATTCAATTTTTATTCCTTTCATTTCATTTCATTTCCTCTTTCATTATAATTTCATAAATCATAATAAAACCATAAATTACGATAACACCAATGACTGATGTAGGTGAAAATGTATGTGTCATCAAATCAGTACACAAACAAAGAGAAACTCTTATGATTGCAATACTTGTTCATTTTTAATTCAAAGAACATTTTTTTATTGAATGAATCCATGCTCTATTTCTGTTGCTTGCAATCTAACTACTGCGACGTGTATGTGTTTTCACCAGGTTAGTATAGATAACTGAATTCATATCTGAATTTATGAAGAGTATTTAATATTCTTAGGATTATGTTCACTTTCAATGCAATGTATAAACAGTGTTTTCATTGTTTAGCCTAATTATAATTATTTTCTCCTTTCAGGCGGAGTAGCTCTTTGGAGTTTCTTAGATTTCCTCACTTCGGTGAAGACTCCGTTGTATGTCCTGCTGAAGCCTTTCATTGCCTTCAAGGTATGCTTGCAATGTACATTCCCTAATGGCCATGTTAGGGCAAGTCCAAAGTATTTCGTTTATATTTTTGTTTTACCTGACTGCTAAGAAAGCATGTGTATACTTGTAAGTAAGCAACCAGTGGCCCAAGGGCTTAATAAGTTCTCTCTGAGGGACTTGGTAATGAGGATTTATGCCTTTCCAAAGTGCATTAGCACATCGAATCTGTTTTGAAGCCGGTACCTTCCAGTTTTGAGACCTCTGCTCTACCACTGAGCCATTTGCACATCAATTTTGTCAGGTATTTTTTCCCATACGCTGCCGAAATGTCTTCAAAGTTTTCAGTGTACCTGGGTGATTCCATAAAGTTGATCATAGCCCTACCACGCAGAGACCTTATCAGACCAAATATCTAGAAAAATGACATTTAAGGTGCAATTTCTTCATTTATTATGCTTTTTCTTGGTAACGTACATGTTAATATATAGGACACCAAATGACGAAATATCTTAGACTTTCCTGTTAACTCATTGACAATTGAATTCTCTCCAAAACCACAGAGTTTCTGTAGGGAGTGCTGTAAATGCTAGATACGAATGGGAATGTTGTTGTTCGTATTCATCTAGTCTTTACATTATAGTGTCAGTCACTAGATTGGGAGTATTTCCAATGGGGAGAGCCATTTTTTGCCTTAATAAGACAGGGTCCATATGTGTATTCCCTTTTTTGTGTGTGATACACCTCAGATAATAATCCATTAAACTTAACAATCTTTATATACATAGCTTTACATAGGTATACATTGAGCCATAGAGCCATATATTGTATATGTAGTACGCCAAGTAATTTCCTTCCTTTCTCTTTCCGTGTACTTTAGGATGAAAATGGCTGTTAATGAAAGTTTAATTGAAATTTGATTAAGATAAACCATACTGGGAATGCTCCCTAGGGAGTGGAAAATGTGCATACATTGTGTGTGGGTAAGCCTGAATCCGATATCTGTAAGGCACATCGTTGTATCGATGTATTGGGCGCTATATAAAAGCAGAAGAATATAATACTGGTCCTCATGCATTTATTTATTTAATCTTTCAGATGCTGCGGATGATCTGTGAGACGGATTCAGAGGTCATGCTGCAGAGGTACATAGGTCTAAAGTTGAGAGGTCACCACTGCCAGTCACCGAAGAGCATGTCGGATAACATGATTGAGCTGTGCAACGAGCTGAGGCATCTCAGGGACAATATGTTTGTCCCAAGAGGTAGGAGTTGCTCTCCGAGTTCGTCCATAGCTAGCAACCCTAAAACCCCCAGGGTACAAGGGACTTGTCCCCCACCCCCTCCTCCCCATCACGCCTTCCTTATCTCCACTGGGCATTTGGATATACAGTTAACAACTATTTTTTTTTTTTCCCTTTACCAAGTTTTGTAATTTACGAACGTTTGCGCTAAATTAACTTGTTCCTATCTTTGCTCCTTGAGAAGTTAACATATCAAAGGTTACATCTCAAAGTATTCAGCAATGGCCCTGATTCAACCAGTCTACCTTTCACTATTGAGTTACGAAAAATACAAAAAACCTCAAATTTACGGATAATGTATGGATAATTAAGTTGTTAACTGTTGAAAAATATTGCATTGTAGACATTTCAGTTTGAGACCCCTTGACCAGGATCAAGAAGAACATCTTCTTTCAATCCGTCATTTAGCATTGTTTTCTACGACAAGACAATGACGTCGACATATAAAACTAGAGAATTAGATTGGTCCTGCTACGTGTAGATCATTCACTGTTAGTTAATGTACATGTAGACGGTACAACTTACTGTGAAGTAATTGAGTCCAAGGTGTGAAAGACACTGCTTTGAGAAATTTGAGATATCCATTGCATAAGAAATAGAAATGTTACAATCAGAAGCAAGTTAAGTGTAACAGGACTACCGAGCCAGTGATTTACTACAAACAGCACAACTAGTTTTATTTATCTTTAAAGTTATCATCATGTAGTGTTAGCAAATTGACAATTAAGTACTGCACTAGAATATGTTTATGTATATATCCAAAAGTGTAGAGAATTGAATCACTGATAATACTTTCACCTGTTGTCAGGTTTATTGATAGTACTAGTAAATAAAATAATGTTATTGTTCACTATTTCACCACTTGTGCAAGGAATCCAGATCACCTTAGACTGATACGTACATGTATAATGAAGATAACGAATATTGTAGCTTCACATTAATAACATGCATAGTGGAAAATGCTTGCAGTTCATATTGTTATGACCATTTTATTCATAGAAATGAATGAAATCAACATGTAGTATCACGATTTGTAGACATTTGATGTCTTTATTGAAAGTCACAAAATGCAATACTAATATGCACTTTGTTTTTGTTGTACTGTCATTTTCCATCCTCACTCTCTTTGTTTGTGATATGTTGTACCCCATCAATAATTGTTATGAAATCTTTCTGGGTCTCTCTTGCAATCTCTCTCTGTCTTTCTCTCTCTCTCACTCTCTGTTTCTCTTTTTCTCTCTACCTTTCTGCCTTTTTCTCTCTTTTTTCTCTCTGCCTTTCTCTGTCTTTCTCTCTATCTCTCTCTGTCTCCCTCTCTCTCTCTCTCTTTCTCTCAATCTCCCTCTCTCTCTCTCTCCTTCTTTCTATCTCTTCATCTCCTTCTCTCCTTTTCCCTCTCCCTCTCCATCTTTGTTTTCCCTGTCTTGTTCATCTTGCTTTATACCTTGTGTTGTGTTCATTTATGTTGCAATTCTATATTGCAATCTACATTGTACACTTATACCTAAATCTGTCTTTTACATCTGCATGTTGTTCTGGTTGTTGTCATGTTCATGTAATGTTTTTTTATGTTTTGTGTTCCATCGATCTTGCTTTCTTTGCTCTCTTTTCTTTTCTGTCTACTTCTCTTCCAATATTCTATGATCATTGTTAAAATGTCTTAATTCAATGTACATGTCCGACTATATCTGCCTTTCTATTTGTCTGGCCATTTATTTTTCCGACTGTCTGTTGCTCTGCATGTCTGTATGCCTATCTATCTGTCTATCTGTACGTGTTAACACTTTAGATCAAGTACGTTTCACAGACGAGTTAGTTGCACTGGCGGGAGAACGAGTGGAGAGCGTAGAAGGCATGCAGGTCATGTCACCATTCCAGCAACGTAGCTCCATCATCTCACGACTAACTAGAAAAGGTCTGTTTCCATGGCAACTCACAATCACAGTCGTGAATGGGTCACAATGTTAGAAACACAAGGTGTTAAGTCAGTGCCATATCCATTTTCATGTTGTCTTTCTTTATCTGAAGTATGCAATTTCTAACCAAATGATTATTAAACATTTGACATTTTTATCACCAAAAGGAAATCTCATGTGTCACAATGTATAATATCTACCTAGAAAAGGTCTGTTTCCATGGCAACTCACACTCACAGTCATAAATGAGTCACAATTTCAGAAGCACAGGGTGACAAGACAGTGGGACATTCATTGTTCCATTGCCCTTTTGCATCTGAATTATGCAATTTCTAACCAAATGGTACAGAACATTGGACATGTTTATCACCAAAAGGAAATCTCACAATATATAATATCTAACTAGAAAAGGTCTATTTCCATGACAACTCACTCTCACAGTCGTGAATGCGATACAATGTCAGAAAGAGAAGGTGCTAGCTCAGTGGAATATCCATTGTCCTACTGCCCTTCTGTGTCTGAAGTATGCAATTTCTAACCAAATAATTACTGAAAATTTGACATTTTTATCACCAAAAGGATATCTCATGTGCCACAATGTATAATATCTAACTAGAAAAGGTCTGTTTCCATGACAACTCACAATCACATTCGTAAATGAGTCACAATTTTAGAACAAGAAGGGGCTAGCACAGTGGGATATCCATTGCCCTAATGCCCTACTGCATATGAATTATGCAATTTCTAACCACATGATTACCGAATAATTTACTTCTTTATCACTAAAAGGAGATCTGGGCCCTGCTTCATAAAAATTTTAATCAATAACAAAGTGCTAAAATCCTATGACAAGTTGGCTCTTAGCCAATCAGATGCCACAATTTTAGTAGCTTATAACACTTATTACAGCCTGTTATTGATAAAAAGTTTATGAAACAGGGCCCTGATGAGTCACAATAAACTTTAAGAAAAGACATTTGCAGCGATTATTAAGCCTTCCTGTTTTCAGATTCCCTTTATGATACAAATGCCATTATAGCCCTGCTGGTTCCAAGAAACCATGGACAAATACTTTTAAGGTCAAAGATTAAAAAAGAAAACTGATTTTGTACCGTTGACAGCATGTGTTGATATTGTTCGTCAGGCAATTAACACCGATGTATGGAGATTGTTATAATATATTTAGATGATCCAATGATAGTCACATTAGAGATGTCACAAGAATATTTTGAATGGGCATATGGATGGATTAGAAGTGTTACGGACAGAAGAGAAGGAATTCCGAACAATGATAGACAGGAATTAATTTCTTGAAATGCTAGAGCGCCGCAGTGGCTGCCTTGCTAAAACCAGGGAAATAATCGGGGCAGCACCAGGAGCGTCACAGCGTGACGAACATGACGGACATGTGGCTATATAAGAAGCCACCATTAGTATTATTATTATTATTACACAAGTGTAAAAAGGATTAACCAACAATACTGCAAGAGACTAATAAAAGAGGCCTCTGGTAAAAAGGGGGTGCAACTGCCTGCGCTTACTGTTTTTCAGGAGTAAATAGCTGCAACTTAAACTGGGAATATACAGTTTCAGATACTGCATAGAAACAGCTGCCAAACCAATTGAATGTACATGAACATATATGCATGTATATGTTTAAGTTGTTTTAGTTTTCAGTTTTAGTACTAGGTCAGTAATTACTGTAACATTGCCATCTTCCTCACATAGCCACGATCACGTCACGTCGTAGCTCCAGCAGACAGAGCTCCCGTCGCTCCAGCCGCCGAAGTGCATCGGGTAGCCCTCAGGATCAGGCCGACCTCAACGCCAACAGCTCCACGGAACCTTCCCGCATCGCCCGCTCCAACAGCCAGTATAATCGCAGGAGCTTGCGTCACACCGAGGAGTGCATCACGGAGGCGGACGCAGAGGCAGAAGCGGAGGACGTAGTGGATAACGAGGAGTGCAAGCTAGGGCGTGGCTTCACACGCAGGCAGAACACCAAACGCATCAGGTGGGCCATCTTGAAAATCATTATGCGCATGTTTGTTTATTATTTATTTTTATTTTTTTCAAGTGTAGGGGGTTTATCTCAAACTGCAAGAAATCAAGGCCAATTATGTATCAAGAACAGATTCCCATTTGCATCAGAGACAGATCTTACTTCCATGTGCTTTAAAGAAATCTCAGTACATGTACCGGTATATGTATCTCTATAGTAAAATATACACACTACAAATAGCTACATTGTATTTGTCTAACCATGAAGGAGAATGTTGAGTTTGAGTAAAAGTAAGAGACATTAAATAGAAAAAAAGGTTGTACTATTGTATGCATCCATATCATTAATACTAGAAAATATTTAGAAGATCAAGAACATCTTGTCTCTTTACTCGTACAAATTTGTGTAGAGATATATGTAATACCCTTTTAGACAATATGTGTGCTGTCCAAGTACATATACCTGTACATTTAGATTTTAAACTTACCGGGGGTATTTCTTTTGATTGACTCTACTGCCCCATTTCTTACAAACGTCCCCCCAAAAAAGCTTTATACACATCTTCATACATGTACCTTTCTCGATATCCTCCTTTGATCCATCAGTCGTAGCACCAGCCAGCGGAGGCATCCGACGCGGGGTCGTGACAACGCCCCAGGCCTGATAGGTGGTGCGGTCATACCCGGGGTCACCGAGAGTTCTCCCGCCTCCGACAACCCCAAGGTGACGGGTCCAGAGGGAGGGGAACTGAAGGAGAAGACGCAGACGGCAGACAAGAAAGAGGACCATGTGGAGGCCAAGGAGAAGATGGATACAATCGTCCACAGTGAGTGGGATCATATCTATTTTGGTTTACTTCTAGCTATGAAAGCAAGTTCATGTACACAACATTTAAATGCTTGCAGATAAACAAGCAGGGGACTTGCAGCTTTCTTTGTTGACGGTCCTATCCAAGTTCTTATCCAAGAGACTTAGATTGTTAGAGTGTGGATGTTATTTGACCTGACTGCTAAGAAAGCATAAATGCTTGTTAGTAAGCAACCAGAGGACTGACTGCTTTATGTCCTCTTCAAGGGACCTGGTGATGAGGATTAATGCCTTTAAAGGGCACTAGTGCATCGACTTGGTTTTGAACCCTGGTCGCCGGAATACTAGACCACTGTTTTACCAACTAAGCTATCACGCCTTGATAAGTGACAATATACAGTTATGCTTAGGCGCCTTGGATCAATTCGAGTGGCAGTAATCACGCGTGCTTCCTGCAACACTATTGAAAGCCGTTGATGACTTTATTCACATGCCCCAGACGTATGGAACGCGGCACACATCTGCTAAATAACAGGCAGACGTCTGCTAATTCACCAATCACCGCCTGTTTTTTAGCAGACGTGTGCAAGGTCCGATAGCACACGTCTGCTAGTTTATAAGCACACGTGTGCCCTTTTCTATACGTCTGGGGCATGTGAATAAAGTCATTAACGGCCTTCCATAGCACTGCAGGAAGCACGCGTGATTACTGCCACTCGAATTGATCCAAGGCGCTTATCCAGAGGAAACAAACACATTGGCAGGCTTGAAGACTTTCTTGAAGACTTGGTGAAAGTACTTGTTACATGGATTATTTTTTCTTTCTCTTTCTCTAAATATCCTAAATATCCATGCATTACATTCACAGAGAGAGAGAGAGAGAGAGAGAGAGGGGGAGAGAAAGAGAGAGAGAGTGTGTGTGTGTGAGAGAGAGAGTGAGAGAGAATGAGAGTAAGAGAGAGAGAGAGAAAGAGAGAGTGAGAGATAGAGAGGAATAGAAAGGAGAGAAAGTGAGAGACAGAGAAAGAGAGAGTACATGTGTGAGAGAGAGGGAGGGGGGAAGGTGAGAGGAATGTATACAAGTATCTTATAAAAGTCTTTAAACAATCTTTTTAAAGAATTTTCATCTGCAGTAGATATGAACACATTCTTTGACAATTTTTTTTTCTTCATCAGTTTATTTATTTCTAAATCACTTTCTTCAATTCACTTTGTATTAGGTGGTATTTCCATATCATACTAAATCCAAGTCATTAAGCAATATTAGGCTGCTTTTTATAACATGAGATTTTATTTCTTATATTTTTAATTGTACATGCTTTGATATTCTGTACATTGGTTAGTATTTTAAAGTCCGCTCCAAATTTTGCGTGTGTACTTTTATATTTTTAAGTTATGCAGATATCATGAATGTCTTTTTTGTTCCTATCTATGCCCACTATATAGTCGGAGATGCCATGATAGGGAAGTTTGATCACGACGAGGAGGAGACAAACGAGGAGAGTCGTCTGCTCCAAGACACGTCCTCACCCCCGCTACTCAAGGCAGCCCAGCACAAATTTGTAGCCATGGGACCACAGACCGACACCGAGGAAGAGGATGTCAGTAACGTCCAGGAAACAATGAGGCTCCTGGACCTCGCCAAGCAGCGAAATCCTGTTATCATCAAGGACAGAAGAGGCACTTCCTCAACAGAAGACACTCATGTCTAGGACTACGAGAGGACCCGACACAAATTTGTTGCAGTGGGACTGCAATGTGGACATACTTTGATGTTTGAAAATTAAAGGCATAATTAATACAATTTAGTAGGCCTCGGAGTGTACACGTTTCAATTTAATTAATGGAAAGATCCCTCAAAGTTGAAGTATTGTACGTGCAGTATTCATAACACACTTTGGGGAATTTGTTTAGGGGATTCGAAAACACAAACTTGGTCTGGGGGAACAAAGAGGAACTCTGCAAGAGACATTTATGTGATATGTATATGTTCCTGGGTAAAAGACAAGCGGTATGTAAATGAAATGATTTTCTCTTGTTTTTTTATTTTAGATAGGAATATTGCATATAATTAAATAAAGTATGTACATGTGTATGTACAATGATTCAGAAAAAGCTTTAAACGCAAATGTAAATAAACACAAATTTGCACAGCTGTTAATACAAGCTCCTACTTAAAAGACCTCAACCTTATTGTATCAATATTCATCATTTAAAAAAAATCATATATGCACATGTACATGTACCTATGTATTCACAGAGTTGTAACATGTTATATTTTCAAAATATGTAACAAATTATTAGTAGCCAAATGCACATGTTCAAAACCTTGTATTATTTTATAGAGAGATGTTACTAACAATTATATTAACTAGGTGCTCAAACATAGCTATATGGAAACAACAAATATATATACAATTTCAAATATTCTACAGGTACTTTATTCAAATATGTATTATCATAGCATGCCAAATTACAGACCGAATGTATTAAACTTATACACTGTAGAAAAAGAGAGAGAGAAGATATATTTAACAAATTTGATGTATATTGATTATATTGATAGAATTTCAAAAGTATGAACAGTGCTATAAACGTAGATTTATTGATTTGAATGTAGCATTCTATTTCACATTTTATGGAAAGTGCACAAAACTCTTTCTTGTTAAATACTCTTGTTGATGTTATTGTGCAATGTTTGTACCGATGTGAATATGTTCATGTGGTGTACGGTACGTGCAAAAGATTATGAAACGGATAACAGTAAACTGTTTATTTTACCTTGTATTTAATACCTTTTGCAATTTGACTTTTGAAATGAAACTGTTTTGATCTTGATTTGTCTCATGTTTATTGTACAATCTTCAGTGATGTCATCACAAAAAGCTAAGAAGTATTTGTTTTAGGATTTGAAAGAATACCAATTTAATATGGGGAGAGTGCATAAAGTGTTTATATTTGGAGGGTGGTATATCCTACATTTGAACCAAAATGTATATGTAGAATTTATGTACACATTATACAGTTTAATTAGTTCATTAATTTATAGTTCACAACAGGAGTAGATTTTAATGAGTGTTAGAGAACTGGCTGAAGTATCCTGATAATGATCATTATTTATTCAGTTACCTTTTTAAAACAATTTTCAAGTAATTTATTGAATTATTGTAGTGCTTGAATTGTTGCATTTAAGTACAATTATGTATTTTCTGATCATGTAGTAATTGAAAATCCTCATATTGAATTGTCATTTAGATCGGTAAATACCAACAAAATGACCAGTCGGTTGCTTGCGTTCAAAGCCGCAACACAAACATGTACGTACATCAATGTAGCCTGGCAACTCTCTCCCTAATCTATTTATTACGGGGCTGTCATATGTCTATCATGCTCATATATTTATTTGACAGATATACCTGTACAACTATTTGCTGAGAATCAGAAGGGTATTAGCTCATAGCATTTAAAAATTTAGTTAAATTACCGGTAAGCCTTTCTGGTGATCAGCATATGGTCCATCTGTAGTCGTATCTTTTTGCGTAATATTTGTTTGATTGTGCAAGCATCTTTAAACCGTTGTCGTTCCCGAAATTTAAGATTACCATTTATTGCAGCCTTTAATGATGTAAATAGACCTATATATGTTAATATCTTACTCTGAAAGATGAGAATACTGAAGAAGGGAATTCTTGGAGCTGGTCTTCTAAGAGGGAAAAAGACTTGTTCGTTGAGAATCAAAAAGGCATTAACTCATCAACTACAACACAGAACTAATGCCCTTCTGGCTCTCAACAGACAAGCTTAACTTATCATTGTGTCTTCTGTATGAATGTGTGTTTCGCGGGTGCCAGCAAGAAGGACCTTAGAGAAATATATTGTCAGGGCATTAGTTGATGTGTTTTTTTGTCTGTTATTATATTTATTATTGTAGGTACTTTGTTTTCTTTTATTCTTTGTTATTGTTATACTCCTTATGTTCCTGGAAATAATATAAAATAAAATGAGAAATATCAGTATAAAATAAACTAACAGCCTTATTGCAGGCAGCGGTTGGTTTGTCTTTTTGAATTTAGGAGTGTTGAGACTGTATGACTTTGTAAATCTGAGAAATCGTCCGTCAGATGTCTATTCTAAATTCCACGCTGGACTACAGTTTAACATCACTCTGTACATTGTCATGTAACTTTATTGTTTGTAATTCATTTTTGGATTACTGTTGTATTATTCTTGCATAAATTCTGATTTTATGTCATGAAATAATGTATGTTTCAAAATAATAGCCCTCTTTTTTTTCTATTTCAAATGAAAACTTAACTGTACTGCAGGATCGGAAGGAAAGGGAAATTGTCTGTTATAACTAGCATTTTTTGTTAAAAGATATTTAGCTTGAATAATTAGATTTTGTAAGGTTTCATTGTTCTTAAAGTGAAACTAAAATGATTTGAAAGTGTAAATGCTACTGTTTTTTTAATGTTAATTGTACAACACACGGCTGAAGGGTCATGCATGGTACATGTATAAGGAGTGTTAAGGGTATCAGCCCAGTATTGCTTAAAAACTTGTCTGTATAGAGCCAGAAACGTGACGACTCATCATTCAACTTCTACACAAGAGTTACAAGCAACGTCCTTCTGGCTCAAAACAGACAAATTATGGTATCTGCACTTGTACACCTCTTATATTAAGACCCCACCCCCGTCCATGTAAATTTATATCATATATTTCAGCTACAGGGACAATGAATTGTCATATATGTGCAAACATTAGGCATACCGTACATTTAAAAAGTACCCATGTCCATATACATGTATTGCACCCACTTCGATGTCATTGAAAGAAAAAATAGTGACTCGCAAATCAATTTTTTGTGTGTGTAAAACTATACAAGATATTCCATGTTTTCAAGTCTTATATATTTATTGTTACAAGAAAATTCAATGCTCAGCTATTTTCAAGTATTGTATTATCTTTGTTTCCCATTTTTGGAAAGTTGTAAAATGGAAATTGTATTTTAAATCATTACAATTTCAATGTAAGAACTTGTGTCATGTGAAGTTAATGAGATGTAAAAGTACCTTGTTGAATGTAAAGAAAATGCATCACCTTCCTATAAATAAAACACTTAAAATGTAAACATGTTTTTAATTTCTGAATCATTTATTCTTTGGCTAGAATTGCAGTCTTATAGATAAAATACAAATATCTCATGAAATATATTTCAAATTATCATGCAGAATTAAGATTTTTACTTTCTCTCTTTTCCAAAGTTGAAAAATTATATCTCTTTTACATTTTTAACATATCTACACATCAGATTTTGCAGCAGGGAAATGGAAGGTTAGAGTGAGAGAGAGAGAGAGAGAGAGAGAGAGAGAGAGAGACTTGCCAATGTGGCAATGTAGTAAAGAAAGACTATATAAAATTAAAAATATATATATTATATGTATTTGGTACAAAAAATATGTTACCTGTAACCAAGTTATTACCTAGCCTGAGATATTTTGTATTATTCTCATTTCTTAAGGATATTGCAATACAATTTATTTATGAAATCCAAGTAAAAAAAAAAATAATAATAATAATGTATCCTCATGATTTGGGTATTTAAACTAACCCAAACCTTATGGGTTGCTTTGCATGTTTTAACAAAGTATAGTGTTTTCTTCTGGGTATTGTCGAAAAAGCAACGAATGCACATATACTATTAAAAGCTTTCCTTCTTACCCTCATCAGAGTAAATCGAAAGAATGAACAAACAGCCCAAAACAGACGATATACATGCGGAAGCTAGAGGAATAAAGTGTGCCAAAAGTATGGGCTCTGATCAGCTGCCGGAAAGTATAACAGCTTCATGAATTGTAGAGTTGAATCTTTAAAGGATATTCAAACCCAATTTTAAAAAAAATCAAATTCCAAAAATTTCTAAGAAAAGCTCATTTATTTCAATTTCCAATAAATAGTACAGCGCAAAGAAAGATTAGTATCAAATGCTACTACTATCATCATCATTATAAAAATTTTCATGCAAATTCTACATATTCATATCTGTACATTTGTCAAAATGCTGATAAAAATGAATATACATATGACATATAATTGGCAAGCACATTTGAACATTAAATCACAACCATAGCATGATTAACATAAATATTTTATTAATAAAGTTCCTAGAATATATTGTGAATTTACCTGCACATGTGTGTGCTCGTAAATTACATTGTACATGCATGATCTACATGTACAGTATTCATTACGTTTAGCACTACATACTTTTGACACTCGATATACTGTAGGTGGGTAGAGGAAAATGTACAAGAGCTGAGATGCTACCGGTGTGTTGGCTGAGTCAGTAGAGCGTCCGCCTCACAATCGGGAGGTCGTGGGTTCGAACCCCGGCCGCGTCATACCAAAAGACGGGAGTTGCTGCTACCTTGTTTGGTGTTCAACAATAAAGGGATAGAGCAACGTCGATCTGGCGCTGCTCAGTGGCTGCCGGGCTCACAATAAATTGGGCAAAAAGAATTTCCATTTTCGGTTTAACTTAATAAAATTTGGAGTGGACTTTAAAGATTATTAATTATTATTATTAAACAATTATGTCATCACAATCATTGCACAGAGAAACGTCAAATTACATTATTAAAAATGTCCATCAGATCACTTCTGTGTGCCCCTGGCACCAACGGGGTCAAGGCACTTTCTCTCATTACTAGAATTCTCAATAACCTAATAGACTATAACTATTAGCAACCAAAGTGTAATTACGAGGAGAAGACCAAGTACAGTTAGAACACCGTAGTGTGCTAGACCAGTGACAGACACCTTCCGTACCTCAGCAGCAGCCTTGGACCATCGGTTCGGGCCTTGGAGCCGATACTGGGCCGGTCCGCAGGTCCCAAATAAAAGCCTGGAATATGAAAGACGAATATGTTAAAGATGAATAGATATGAGCTTCATAGCAATACTGATCAACCAGCTTGGAGTATACCGTAAATCTCTGTGTATAAGACGCACCCCTATTTTCTGGGGGGAAAAACAAACAAACACAAAAACACAAAAAATTAACTCTGTAGGCAGCAAGCCAGGTCCATGTTAAAAAAACACACGCGGGGAAGGACCTTTATCTTACTGCAAATTGCAGTTGAAGGCGCCAATTTGTGCTTGTGAACTTGTCACAAATAATAGTAACTATGTCGTTTTTAAAACTAAAGATGACCAAGTGGTGAGTCAACACACCGTGTATGACTGGGAGACATTGCTAGGCTCAGTGCTAAGTGAAGGGGCATAATAATTTTTTGTTGGTGTTTTTTTTTGGTGTTTTTTTTTGTGTACCTTTGTATAAGATGCACCCCCAACTTTTGATATTTTTTTTTTATTCGGTGGAAAAAAGGTGCATCTTATACACAGAGATTTACAGTATATTTGTAGATAATTGAATATGATTATCTGAATTCCATGACGTAGATCAAACATCATTGCATTTAGCATGGATCAGCATTGTACTATATTAAACACATCTTATGATCATAGTTTCTATAGTGTGTGACACCAATGGGGCACTGCAAGAAAATCTATTGCAACTAAACTTTCTTGCAATGCCCTGCTAGTCTCCTAAATTACCTAGAATTTTGTTGGGATTAAAGTTTTAACAATTGAATTAAGTTAACTAGATCTAGCTTTTATTCCTCTCCCCCTAACTCTCTCTTTGTCTATCTCTCTCTCACTAATATGGCTTGCAAGAAAGTTGAGTTGCGATCAATTGTAAATTTGTAATTAATCGCAAGACTTACGTTTGATTTTGGGGATTTGCAAATTGATTGCAACTTTCTTGCAACGCCCCACAAGTGTAACACTTATAGCTCTATTTTGAAAATCAGTGATTGTGTAATTTTCAATTGCAAATTAGGAATACATGTAATTGCGACTTGATACATGTTCTTGATAATTGATGGAAAATAATTGATTTAACTGATTGATATCCTTTGCTTCTGTCAATATAATCAGTCCAAAGACTTATTTCAATTAGTACAAAATATTGGTGAAACTGATTTACCTAAAGATTTTATGACAGATCAAAAGCAAAGGCAAAATGTTCTTGGTACACTGTACCAAGTTTCCTCAGTGACATGATATGCTTGATCTTTATTCTTAAAACTAATCTGCTGAATGTTGCATTTACCGGTATGTGATAATTTTCAGCCTCAGTTCATAAATATATGTTTTGTAAAGTAGACCCTATATGAAAAATTCTTGAGTTGCGAGAAAAACACAAAAAACACATCAAATTTACAAGGGGTATGAATTATTTAGTTGTTAACTGTACGTACCTCCATGCTAGGGTTGGGTTTCGCCACAACTGAGGGCTAGCCCCAAACTTGTGGGCGATATCATCGCAGTAGAGTATAGGATCCTTCTGAATGGTGTGTCTGGCGGACTTGTGGTATCTCTTCCTACTCTCCTCCTATATCAACAAACAATAGACATAATGAATAATAATAAATATCATTATTAATAATTAATCAAAATTTATTAAAATTAAACCTACTGCTTTGTTTCTAGGCGCTGTAGATGTTATTACCCTAGTCATCAGATCCAGGCTTACCCGCACACAATGTATGCACATTCTACACTCCCTGGGAAGTATTTCGGCCGGTCGCCATTTTACAAGCGCACACTTGCTTATCCAACCACATTAACTTTCGCATCCTACCGGGTACCCGTTTAATACCTTGGTGGAGAATGGCAAATGTAGATTAACGTCTTGCCAAAGGACATTAGTGACGCGGCGGGACACGAACCCTGCACCGTGTGATCTGCATTTCGGTGACTTATCCACTAGACCACAACACCTCTACATACCTGTTCTTCATCTATGTCTTGTCTCATTCCTGCTTCTGATGGGAGTGTGATTTTCTTCTTACAAAGTTCAGCAAACCACCTCGCTTGGATCTCCGACATACTGACCACGCCCCCAGAAGCAGGCTGGACAAAACCGATGAAGGCCAGCGAAGAACCGACGTTTGGCGAAAAGACGTTCTTGTAAAGCTGTGGAGAATACAAGACACAAACCGATATAACCCATCAATTCAAGGGGGTGTTTCACAAAGACTAAGATCGACTTTAAGTTGGACTTAACTATGGCAGGCCGTTCATGCCACTGCTTGCTCTCACGCAATACTGGCATTGGTTTCTGAGTGGACGTACAAATAATTCTCACAAATCTACAGAATTTACATTTTTGATAATTCACGATTGAAGGAAAAAAATATCATCTAAAATCATAATGGTGAGAGCAAACAGTGGCATGAACAGTCTCATAGTTAAAGTCGATCTTAAATCTTTGTGAAACACTCCCCTCAATTTTTAAATTTCCATTGGATTATAACAGGAATCACCAGGTTCCCTTTAATACACAGCAAGATATTAAATATAAAGAAATCGAAAGGATGATGCTCGGTGAAAAGACATTCTTGTAAAGCTGCGGATCGGGAATGAGATGTTACACACCTTTCATGAGGAAGAACCGAGTATTCATCTCGATGGGTTTCACAATTTTGGTACAAATGACCTTTATCTGCCTATGCTCAGATTAGTTCTACAAACTTTGCAAAATACATATCTATACATCTAGATGAATAAACAAAAACCCTGAGAATTAGGAACATCAGCAAGGCTTCTTGGTATCAATAATGTCTGTACATATGTATTGCGTCAGGAGATCATAATTATCAGTAGTCAGAAATTAAAACAATTTTTTAGCATATGTCCAATTCCCAGTATCTCACCTTCAGGATATTGTTGCCGTCCTCTGTGACCTTTGACCTGAGGTCGTTGCTAAGGAAAGGTAGATCAATATGGTAGCCAGTGCAGAAAACAACAGAGTCCACCTATAAAAGGATAAAGGTTAAGGACACACAAGTTAAAATGATTAGAAAGGAAATGATTAGGTTGCCTGTAGGGTCCCTTCCCCCCTCCCCCCCCCCCCAAGGATCTGTAAGTCATAAAAATGAAACAAGGTTAATAATTCTGAAGACTTATGATTCGCAACACTAACCACAAAATGAGGTCATTTTCAATTTACAAACCTCTGGAATAATGAACCTTACAGGTATTTCATTTTCGGAACTACAAAAATTTAGAATAATGAATCCTACATGGATTGATACATCTTTGGATAATAATAATCAAACCTTCAAAAAGAGCAGCCCCACAGAATATCACGCAATACTGAATTGGGATGAAGAAAACATACCTCGACCGATGTCCCATCGTTGAAAGTGACTCTCTTCTCCTCCATCTTGGCGATGTCTGAATGGACAATGATGTGCTTCCTCTGGAGGTGGTTGAGCAGGACGGGGCTCACCGTGGGCTGCGTTTGAAGAATCCGCATCTTTGGGTTCAAGCCATACCTTAATAGCAATAACAGGGTACAATAACTATTATCAGCTACTAAAAAATCATCACATTTGATTGGCTGAGTGCAAATTTGTCATAGAATTTCAGCACTTTACATTGATGATAATAATATGTGCCACTTATATATTTCTGTCCTAAAATATATCAGTGCGTTTTACATAAATTACATAATTATTACCTTATCTTTAGCTCCGGCAGCCATTATCAGCGCACAGTTCATATCAAGGAATAATCCTACCAGGTACTCATTTACCTCACCTGGGTCAAGTGTAGCAAACGTAGATTAATGTGTTGTCAAAGGACATTGACCACGACACTCTTGACAAGAAGTTTTATGTCATCTTTGAAGGCTTCTTTGATGGTGATAGATTTGAGCGTGTTTTGCGTTCCAGCCACATATTCTTTCACTCTACCTTGACGTTTCGATAGGATGTACCCATTGTCTTCAGGGTGAGTGTGTATGGTTGCACTCAGTCAAAACTGTATGCTAGTCGAAAGAATACGTGGTGTAATCGCAACCTCGCTCTAATTAAGTTTTGTGAACAAGGACCTAGTACCCACTTGTTTGGATGACCGTGTATGAGGGCCACTAGGGTCTCGAAGACAACATTCATGAGCGCGAGAGGCAGCTTGAGAACCACTCGACTGCTGTAGTGGTCGATGGGACGCCCAAACAGGTAGTTGGGGACAATCCACGCCCCTGAGCGGGTACTTAGATGAACCTCTTTGCACCTGAAAAATGTGAAATGTAACACACACCAAAATTCTCATGTTTGATATCTCAAGACTAACGGTAAGTAAATATACAGTTACCAACTAAATTATCCATATCCCTAGTTAATTTGATTTTTGTTTTGTTTTTCATAAGTCAATAATAAAGGTGGATTGGTTGAATAAAGGCCTTTGTTGAATACTTTTTAGATGTACCGGTAAGCGTTAAAATGTAACATTTTCAAGAACAAAAAAATTGGGAAAAATTACAAAACTTGGTAAGGGTATGTTCGATTTAGTTGTTAACGGTATGCATTTGAGATTTGGAATTAGCAATAATTAGCCTGGGGGCCATTACTCGAAAAGGTCATAAGTCTCAGTTCATGGACATCCCATAGAAATGCATGTTAATTATTTAACACATGTTTCAATAGGATGTCCATAAACTTAGACTTATGACCGTTTCGAGTAACTGCCCCATTGGTGCCAGTGACCACCTAAAGTACTGTTAGAGTTGCCTGTGTGGTAACTGAAACATATCTCACTTTTAGTTTCTAATGTGGAATTGTCACATTTCACTGTAAAATGTACATTAAAAGCTGAATTTAGTATCCTCTAGGCAATTTGTAATTTTGTATACATAAAGATTACACAATTGGCAACGTGAACAAACAAAATATATGAAAATGAATGTAAAAGAGCTCTGCATATAAAAGTACATGTATGTTACCCTTGAAACAGTGATAACATTCAAGATTCAAGATTGAAGACTTATCAGAACGTACTTTGCAGCTATTTAAACTACACTGGTTGATCCATGACCAAACTTCAATATTTGAGAGAGATTGTATTATAGACTTAAATTTAAATGATATTTTCTAGAACAAACATATCTCTCTCAGATAACATGAATGCAAACAACAAACATGAGGACAGATTGAGATAAACATAGTCAAGTGGCAGACCTCTTGACTACAATGTGAAGGTCGTTGCGTTCCCAGCACAACACCAATGCACGTTCGTAAAGAACCTTGGCGGCAAGAAAAGACGTAACGTAACGAAAAATGCATAGTTGTTAAATATGATAATGTTATTACACAAGAGTTAGGACCATATTGTTAGGATATGGGGCTGGTAAATTACATATACACCATCTTGATGAAGCTTAGTGTTAGCTAAAACATCATTTACAACTTTGAATTTATAAGCGTTATCTAATAATAAGCATTTTGCGTTGTGAAAGCGTCTTTCCGTACCATTTCATTTCGCTAATGCCTGGATTACATTTGCCCCGGGCACCATACAATAAATTAGTCTACGATTTTTTGTGGACATCGTAGGAGCTAGGCTACGATGTTTGTGTTTACATTATCTACGAGCATCGTGCCATTTATTGTATTGGCCCTCGGGGGCAGGCCGGGGCAAATCCGTACAGAGGCTGCTCGGAGATTGTACGGAAATCGTGCAATTTGCAGGCAGTAGCCGTGCAGTCTCTGCACGGAAATCATACGGAGCCCGTGCAGCTTCCGTGCAAAGGTTGCGCGGAGAAGGCGCGGTGACCGTACAGCAACCTTGCGATAGCTGTGCAATTGCCGTGCGAATGCCCCATGAGTCTACAATCTCCATACGATTTTCTTTTTCCCAATGTTCACCGAAAAATCGTACGTTTGCTGCACAATCAGTGCTAGGCCTCCGGGCGATGCCCGTGTGGGGATTGTGCAATGCCACCTACGACATGTATACGGGCTACGGGCTTACGATTTTTTCAAATTTGTTTAACTTCTCGCGAAACAAAATCGTAAAGGCTGCGGAGCCCGTGAATCCGTACAAAAATCTCATGACCGCCTCCTGCCAGCGCACAGAGGCCGCACGGAAAAGGGGATACGAGCAGGATACGGGCTCCGTAGACTAATCGCAGGCGAAATGTAATCCAGGCATAAGCTACCTAATGTATGGAATTACGAAAAAATATAATTTTAATATCTCAAAGTTTATTGAAAGTTCTTCCATCCCTTACCTGCCAACTGTTGCCAGGTCGACGGCAGCATCTACAGCACTGTTCCCGATCCCAACAATGAGGGCTCTCTTCCCTACCATTCCGTTGGTGATGGCATCTTTGTAGTCCACGCTGTGAATGATTTCACCTGAGTATCAAAAACAAAATGACGAAATTCAATAAATACAGGATTAATTATCAATTTAAAAGGAAAAAGATAAGTATTCTTTCCTGGTAGGGACTATGTACATAATGTAGGACACATTGATCTTTAAGAACTGGTAAAGGCTCGTTCAGATGTGATGCGGCAAAACCGCTGCACTTTGATTTTATGACTAAACGTGTAATATTTTACATTTCTGTTTCTTTTGACACAGATTTCACCAAGGTGTAGTAAATGATTACCTACAGTAGTAGGAATTTATTCCTTGAATGCTTTTAGCGCCTATCTGGCAGCTTGGCTAAAGCCAGGGTATTAATACTACTTTGTAGGTGCCTTGAGCATCCCTTGGGATGAACATGTGTGCAATATATAGATACCTTCTAAATTATTCATACCCCTTGTATTAAAATTTGATGTATTTTTTTCTATTTTTCGTCATTCAAGAATGAAAGGTGGAGTGGTCGAATTAGGGCCTTTGTTGAATACTTTTAGATATTACCTGAATATGTCACGTTCTCAAGAAATACAAATTAGGACAAGTCAAATTTTTCATATGCTTAAAAAGTTACAAAACTTGGTAAGGGAATTAATACCTAATTAAATTTAGTTGTTTAACTGTAAATGTAGCTATTATTATCTACATGTATATACACCTTGTATATACAACTCACCTTTGAAATTCTCCTGTCCTGGAAATTTAGGCCAGCTTGGCTTGGCATGATGCCCCGTTGCTATGGCAACAAATTTGGCAATGAGGACTTCTTCTTGTCCGACCCTCTCACGACCTTTCCCATCATCCTCCACTGCAACGGATGTGATTCTCCACCCTTCTCCTTTATTGTGTGACAGATGTTGAACAGAAATACAGAGCGCCTTTAGCAGTCTTTTAGAATGGACGTGTACACTTTATAAGAAGATTATTATAAATATTATAAAAATATTTTAATACAATGGTCATATTTTGAGAAAATTCCAGAATTGCGCCACACCCTCATAAAAAATACCTGGATCCATTCCCTGAGTACATTTAATTTCATGGAAAACACATTGTTTCAGTGAAAATGGTAAATATTGTTTCATAGAAAATCATTTCTATGAGCAAGAACTGATTTCTTTTGAAGTCAAAAGCATTCCAATTTTTTGGCAAACTACAAAATGAAATAAAAAGGAATGTCTTTAGTCTCTACCTTCTCTCTCTAGTTTGGTCACTTTCCAATGATACCCGATGCACTCACTGATGTTGAAGTGACTTATTTAGATTTTTTCCCCAGAATCATGTCCCCTCCCCCCCCCCCCCCCCCCCCCCCCACCCCCATTAAAAAAACCTGGATCCAACCCTGAATACATTTGAATTAATTGAAACTCTGTTTCAGAGGTAATCATATCCTGAAGCTGGAGGTTAAAGCAACGATGCAATATTTTCCCCAAGCCAAATATAATTCCATTTTTGTAGAAGACTACAAAAAGTAACAAGGAGCTGTAATAGTCCCATACCTTCTTTCTCAAGTTTGGTGACTTTCCGATGATACCTGACGCACTCACTGATGTTGAAGTGATTTGTGTAGTCTCCTATGTACTTGGCCATCTCAGAATTATGAGGGAATTCCGGGCTATCTTCTGGGAAAGGGAAGTCTGAGAAGCAGTAGTTCTGTTTCGAGACATTTCTGTAAAAATGAGAGAGAGAGGGAGCATTTAAGCACATAAACTTTAATAAAATTGTTACTTTATATTTTTTAACAGTCTCATACCTTCTCTCTCAAGTTTGGTAACTTTCCGATGATAGAGAGAGAGAGAGAGAGAGAGAGAGGAGAAAAGCACATAAACTTTAACAAAATTGTTTTATGTATTCTGAAATACACTTAATTTGTATCACAACTGAAAAATACATCAAACTGCGAAATTATAAGTTTTTGGAATGATCTGTAGAACAAAAAGGGAAAGAAAAATGGAAATGACAAACAATGATTAACGGATAGACATTCTTGAACACATATTTCATATACTTTGTAATGTTGTACTGTACCATTGAAAAATTAAGTGAAGTCTAATGTAATAAAAAACAACATGAACACGGTTGTATTGTATAGATGAAGCAAAAGCTACAAAAGTCACACTTTGAAATGTATCTAATTTACTTGCATCTATTTGTGTCCTGCTTCCAGACACACACCAATACCATGTTCCTTTACAGCAGACAATGGTTTTGTAGCCCCCTGAGGAATCTTTTACCTCATTTTTATACTGATGTACCAGGATTTATTGTAAGGTACAGTCAAACCTGCTTTAGTGACCACCTGCCCACAACAAGCACATTTTTTATTTTCCTTGGCCGGTCGCTGTAGACAGGTTTGACTGTATACATACGGTACATGTACAAGTCCAAACATATAATGAAGCATCGCATAGCGAAATGTATGATTGAGCATTATTTTGAATAAAAACTCAATAAAGAATCAGGATCTCGTTCTAGTATAAACGTTGTGGAGTGCAGGATGACGTTCTGCTTGAAGCCGATGCTTGTGATGTCGCAGGCGTCGCTTTGTAGAAAGTGTATGGATTAGGCCGCTTGAGGGCGTATTGGATTTGTTGCTGATTTTCCTTGTCATGGGATAGTTTACTGCCCAGAGTTGCCTAAGTTTTCGTTTAATTTTGTGATACAAGCCCAATGATGTAAGTAGAAATGAATGTGGTATCTTGAAGTTTATGAGTTATATTGTCGTTACAGCTAGATAGCTTGATGAAATATGATGTTTATGACACTAATATGAGGTAATGAAATTATGACATGAATGAGTTGTTCACGTGAAAGATTGTACACGTGTACAATGAAGGTTACGTAATTGTAGTGCACGGTAGTGCGTATTACATGTACGTAGTAGTAACATGAATGATATGACCTTGAAGAATGACAAAGTCACCGTCGGGGAGTCATTAATTGTTGCATGTATTTACTGTAGTCAGATATATAGTAAAGAAGGCATTGTTTGTTTTCCTTTGTTATGATAACAGATATTTATTAGGATTGTCAGGGTATATTTAATTTGATACATGATATGTTATTTTCATGTCAGTTTATGCAAGTTGACTTATTATTGTTTATCCTTTTATTAAATTGCAGATTGAACCTTGCCTGCTACAGTGTTGTAACCAAATTACAGCGGTGCATGGTGTCTTTACTATGGGTCTTGGGCAACCGGGTTGGTTCACCAAATCATACACCACAAACGTGGTATCACATCCGTACGGGCTTTATACAGTTTAAAGTCACATGCAGCAAGCTGATTATAGGGCAATTGTTTTGAAATAATGCAGATTATATCATCAATGCTATCAATATGAGCAAACAAACTCAGTCAAACTTATTATTATCTATAAGTGTGTCAAACTATTGACCTCATATTATTAAAGTATAAGAAAGAGAAATAAAGCGATGAATGATTTTGAAACACTAACAGATTATATGTGCTACCATTCTACAAAAAAATGAGTAATCTCAATTGATGATAATGATCTTATCATATCTACAGTAAATAGGTTCAAAGCTGACCTAGTTTGTGACAAAAACTACTTCATGTACAATTCAGTATGCAAAAAGACTTGTATATATATCCTATTGACACATAGTCCCCGTCCTGGACGATTTTTATTGATGCGCAACCCCCTCACATAACCAACAGATGGCGCAGTCATCTTACCGAGCTCATTCACACTGATTCACTTACAGGTACTCCAGTGATTCCCTTTCCCCGAAATATATTCTGCATATATGCGTATGTGCGTGTGTGTGTGTGTGTGTGTGTGTGCTATGGGGTGTGCACTACTCAACCAGATGATAGCGAAATCGTGCACAACAGTCCAGGGGGTGGACTAATTGACACGTACAATTGAGTGTTTATTCCATCTACTGTGGGTTTTCCCCTCCTGCCTATTGCTTTATGAATTGATCTTTCAATGGGACACACCCAATCAAAACCTTCGTATAAATTAAATTCAACAGAGAGCAGCATGCTGTAATGATAAAACACGAGGGCAATAATGTAAGAATATTATTTAAATTTACATAAATTTTGTCCTAAATCCCGATCCCACTATTCTAAAACAGTAATATGACCCAAAGTAAAGTGCATAACATTTTTTAGATTTGTGATTTCACACTGATTTGGGTAGTCCTGAAATAATGGACGGTTGGGTTTTTGAAAGGGGATAGAAAGTAAAGAGAGAAGGAGGGAGAATGGATAAGTATTCCAACATGTTTCATCTTATTGAGGACTACTTGAAATTGTTTGGAGAGAGAGAGAGGTAGAGAAATTTCGGAAAGGGAATGAGAGAGAGAGAGAGAGAGAGAGAGGTAATCTTTTGTGTATAAAATCTGGAATAGGACTGGCGAACTGAGTTATAAATGAGGAGAGAGAAAAGAGGAGACTCAACTTTTTGAACAGATTAACTGTTCATCATTAGGAGTGGATTACATACTTTGGGTTTATCATAAATCTACCAATGTACTTTTCCTTTTTGTTTTCAATTTTAGTTCTCTCACATCAAACACTTTTCCCCCTAAGACAATCATTCCCATATGACAGCTGCCCCTAGGGCGATTCCCCATTTGGAAAATTATCCTTGGTTAACTACATTTACCCTCTTAAACCATTATCAAAACTACAGTGTATATCATTCTAATGGGTAGTTATTGTTAAACTGAACTGTACATGCATCTTTCATTGGGGATAGTTAAAATAATGAAAATAATATAAATAAAAAATAATAATAAAAATATAGCGTTTAACTAATACCAATGGTTCTAAGTGCCATACTAATATTTCTCCGGCATTAGCCATGTGGCCCTGATAAGGGACTCTGGCATTCAAGGGATATAAGGGATTTCTTTTTACCCGATACCCATCACCTGGGTGAATAGTGGTAAATGCAGATAAATATTTTGCCAAAGGTGGTAGGATTTGAACCTCGAATCATGTTATCCACAGTCCAGTGACGTATCCATTAGTCCACGACACCTCAACACCCCAAGTTATATTGGGGAGGGGGTAGTTCTCTGGGGGTAGTGGTCTGAAGGGGGGGGGGCAGACTTTTTTATAAGAAGGAAGTCATCTTTAATAGGAGTCGGTTATTCTCTTAGGGCAACTGTCTAAGGGCCAAGGAGGGGGGGGGGTAGTTATCAAGGAGTGGGTAGTTGTCCTAGTAGTAACAGACTAGGGAGATTCATGTACGTGCATGTTTAGGGAGAAACTGTCACAAGGGTAAGGGATACTCCCCATTTGTCATAGAATATGCGGCAGAAAAAACCTGTAAAACTGCGCCGAAACTTCTGAAATTAAGGTTTTGCCACCAAACTCTTCATTTCTCTTTGTCATTTTGGGATTTTTCTCTTTTATTAAACAGAAACAAAATTTACTTGCATTTCAATGACAGGCAGAAATAATTCTTGAATAATTAAGAGTTAAAAAAATAGAGTATATCTAAGTGGCCCCAAAGGGCCAACCCCCCCCCCCCCCCCTACTCTACGAGTACAATTCCATGTAAATATCACTATAAATTTGAAATTTCCATCGCTAAAAGTGTAGACATTAAAGATGAAACTTATATTAATTAATCATTATGATTGATGATCATCATCATTATTTAATTGTCATCATCAATGATTATCCGGTCATCATTAGACATCTATCTAGTCTCTAAATAATTCTAGTCACCTGTCCTCCTCAAAGATTTTAATCAATGATGTATTAATACCCATCAAATTATCTTCCATCATACTCACATATGAGTAAACCTCATGACCCCATAGTAATTTTCTCTGAAAACCCACAGCCCTCCAACTTCTCCTGTGCTCTCGTACATCACCACATCGAGGCCAGCCTCGCGGAGACACTTGGCCGTCGCTAGCCCGGAGATTCCAGCTCCGATCACGCACACATCTGTTCGATCCGGCTGCGGCATTTTTCTTGGGGTCAGTTTGTCCTTTTTCCTCCTTTGTTCAAGCTCGGCCTCGAGTTCTGATGTGCTAAGAATTGTTTGCATGCTACCAGAGTCCATATAGGATTTGTAGGCCATCGTGTCTGTGGTTACTAATTAACCACCAGTGCCAGATTAACTCATCATCCCTGAATTATCAACATTACATGCTTGTTATCTTCCGGACGTAAACATTGAACTATGGAACGCCAAATGTTTCACGAAAATGCCCGAAAGTTAACAGGGAGTTGGAAAAGTCAGATTGAAATATTTCATCGCAAATTCTAAAGGGCCATAGTGAAGGTAAATAAATAAACACCTGACTTTATGATTTATGGTGAGACAGGTCGTACTGCAACTGATGTTTAGGTAAAATGTAGAATGGTGGGTTTGGGGCTAAAAGTAGTTAAAGGAAGTCATTGTAAATATTCATTTAGATTATATAATCTTGTTAAATTATTTATGGAAATAGGTAGGCCTACCCATCAGTCTCAATTATCTAAATTGTTGTCATGTGTAGAGAATACATTAAATAATGCTGGGATCGGAAATGTGTGGCAAAAGGCAATTAAGGGGATGGATTCAGTAATACATGGATTCAGGTTGACTGATGTCAAAGCAAGAAATATTGTCAAATGTTTGTTCAAATCGCATTTGTGTTAACTACGGAATTATCAAGAACGAAATTTCATTTGAAAAGTATTTGGTAAAGTTGAATAGAAGAGTTGCGATCACTTTGTGTGGATCCCGATGCAGATCACATCGCTTACCAATTAATAATGGAAGGTCATGAGAGTAATCCCGAAGAAAGTAAAATTGAATGTCCTTGTTGTAATTTCAAGGTTTTTTGAGATGAATTTCACTATATTTTTGTCTGCCCTTTTTTTCAAAAAAGAAAGGCAGTTATACTTAGATGGACAGTTTGTTGTGAGTAACCCTAGAACATTTCCCATGGACAATTGTTTAATAGATCTAATCTAGTGTTAAACAATAATTAAGAAAAATTGTAAAATTCATAACAGTATTAAAGGTACTATGTCCCTTTTGCAGCCAACCTCAAATTCTGTAGAACTTTGCAGGAATTATGAATATGTCATGTATGTCCTATCTGTGAAATTTAAATGTTAGCAGTGTCCTAATATTCAAATTATGCAAGGAAACCTGTTTACTTGCTAGACTTCACTGTCAGACACTATTGAGTGACTGACTGGCTTTTTTCTTCTTTGACAATAACATACATAGCATGAGCTGTAAAGGGTACATGAGCATTTGTCTACATCAATAACCCATTTCTTGTGATGGCCAAAATTAAACTGATTGAATGTTTGCGCAGCATTAAACGTATGACCATTCAGTACAATGGTCTGAAAATCAAGACTATTACTTATTGGCTCTATAGCTCCTGAGTCGATTTGACAACTAATAGTTATTATTTTTCCAATTGAAGACATTTTCAAGCCCCACCTTTTTTAGGGAAGTTCTAAATTAGTATTATCTTTCAAATGCCGTTGGAATTTAACCTTTTCATTTTTTTTTGGCCTGCAAATGGGACACCGTACCTTTAATACAGTTCTTTTCGTTGGATCCTAAGGCTGAAAGGCATGGTCAGGCATGGTCCTATTTTTGTTAATAAAAGTGTAGTTACTCGTGGTGGTATAGACAAACCAAACTATGTGATATTCAAACTTATATAACTTTAAACTGTATAGTGTATACATATAGTCTTTAGCTCATGTTTATCGTGTTTTAGAATTATAAAAATGTATGATATAATGTTTATGTATTTTATTATCATATCTTATTTTTTTATTTTATATATCTTTCTGTATTGTATTGTAAATAATGTGCTCTCATACCCCTGAAGGGGGTCGATAGAGTCAAATAAAAGCTTATCTTATTTTATCTCTGGAATGGACTCTCTGCATGGTTAAACCTAATTTGTGATCAAGCTTCTTCGAAAGCTTGAAGCTATGTCCCTCTCACAATCCAAGTCGGGCGAGGTGGCAATTAAATCAGCGATCAAAAAGTTGTATTTTTGTCTACAATATTATACTAGATGAAATGTTAACTTATAGGCCTATAGTACTCAAAACATGATTAAGGGAGTGCGATATATATAGGCGTGAAGAAAATGGTCTAGGAACTGAATGTGAAACGTAGCTGTAGTACTTTACAATTTTATTACGAGCTTTCGGCTTGTGAGGCCTTCTTCAGTTTCTGAAGTGCAAACACATACAAAAACAGGCATTGTATATGAACAAATATATATACATGTCATACAAACTTAATATCACTCAATCATAGTCAATAAATAAGATCTGGCTATTTGTGTCAGTCGATCAGTAGACTTCAACAATGATCACGGTCTGTAAACAAATAAGATAAAAGAAAATACCCTTAATTAAGATCAAACTATCCTCTAGTCAAGCATCATGAACATAGCAAAAAATAGTACGAGAAATACTTTCGGAATAGATTGAGAGAGAGGGAGAGAGAGAGAGAGAGAGATAAGCCTGGGGGGGGGGGGGGAAGGTTGTCCAATGAAATTACGGATGGGGGTTTACAATTCTAGGAATGTGCCCCACGGAAAATTTAAAATTGGATGTGAAAAATAAATTAGCCATAAAATCTCATATCTGCCCCCTCCCCCATAAAAGAAAATATTTTCTCCCGAGTAGACCAAATTTAAATGCTTTTTTGTGTGTAGGACTATGTATATATTTTTTGGTAATTCTTGCCACAACCATAACTTTTTTTCTTTATATATTTCATCTTTACAAACTGAACTGAATTCTGAAGGGTGTTTTAATCGAGAAAGTCTGCTCTTTGACTGTGTACAGGCCGTACTTAAATGTATAAATTTAGTTTACATATATGCCTACAACCACAATACGTGATGTTTAGTAAAATGTGTCACCTAAAGATAACCCTCGTGTAATCATATTATGCTTGTGTAAATATGTTAATTCAGATACCCTAATTTATATATAAACCTAAATCGGAACCGGGACCTACATAATACAAGCTTTGCTTTTTAGTAGATCCCCCGTGCACTTTTTGATTGATGTATATGATTGTATTCTCTGTTATAACTATTCATGTACATTATGTTTTCTATATTGTATGTTTATACTTACAATAAATACCATTGTTCATTATGTTCAATTACGTTATCTTTGATAAAGTGAAATAAATAAACTTGAAACTTGAAACACTACCCCTCATCAGTGGCAGATACAGGGGGGGGGGGGGGGGGGCCTCCCCTGGCAAAAAAAACAACAACTAAAAATACGTTAATTTTACCATTTTTTGTTTAAAGCCACACTGCACTACTTATAGCTACTTGCTCCCTCTATAACAAATAATGCATAATCGGTGGCCATTGGTCCCCCATGATCCTCTTTTTCATATGTTAATTGAGAGCTGATCACCTGTCCAGTGACCTTGCAGGGTAGTCTAATCCCCTGTTCACTAGTATTGATGGGCTTTGAAAAAAAGAAGACTCAACAGCCACCCCCACCTCCCTTGAGCCGATTCGGTAAAATCTATGTAGCGAATTAAAATACATGTAGAGTAGTCGAATTCGGATTCGATTGTCAGATCAATTACTGGCGCGGTAACTGTTGTCATGACGTCAGCACCCGCTGGTATGGCTGGTATTGGTAGTAGCAGGGATTGTGATTGTTTCCCACATTGTTTGGTAAGTCAAAAAACTATTTCAACCACATTTAGCATCGAGTATTTTTTGGTACACAGGTTTTCTTTATATTTATCTCAGATAACTTATTACATTGTTGCTACGTTTTCATTATGAACTAATTGCATTTTTGCTAAAACAATTTCTTCTTTCGGCATTCTTTCAGACTCCGCTCAGGCCACCGGCCGTTGTGTAAGCGCTAGGCCTGGCGCCTCGGCGCGGCGCGGGTCGTGAACTGCATCGTGAATAGCTTGGATTGGAAGACGCCATAAAATAAGTTAGAATAGGGAGATTCTAGTAAAAGAACTGCTACAGAGTAGGCCTACAGTGCTAGCTCGAGTGCTAGCTCGAGTGCTTAAGTTTAGAATAGAATCTCGGGTAAAGGTAATACCCCACCAATAGCTAGGGTTAATGTACATAAACGTTCCTAGGGTCTAGATTAGGTTTACTTAAAAAGCTGAAGTCTTGAGATTTCTATGTCATATGATTTAGCTTATTGGTGATCGAAGCATTTGGTACCCTACGGCAGTACGGGTCAATTTTTGTGGTGGGGTATTCGAAAGTTGCTCCAAGCTGTCCGCCCTAGATGTACATTGTATTCGTTCTCAGTGTCATGACGCCAGGTTTTTTTTTACCCACCTTTCCAACAAACTTGCAAATAATTTCCCTGCGTCAAAGTTAGGCCATGTAAAAAAATATACATGTTTAGCTTCCCCGCCCGCTTCCTTTTTGGGGGCCGCCTCCTATTTGTTTTTTGTTTTTGTTGAATTTTTTTTAATTTTTTTTTTTTTGACATTTTTTTTTAATTTCTTTTTTTTTTTAAAGAAAAAAAACATGAAAAACACTGCTAAAATGGTTCTATTTCTGATTTAAAAAAAAAAAATTAAAAAAATGTCGGCGGCCATCTCGAAAAATAACCAGACTGTCAGGGAAAATGTACCGAGCGGCCATTTTGAGCGGCCATTTTGAAAAAAAAAAAAAAAAGGGCCTCCTTCTTATTTTTCGAAAAAACAGGAGGCTAAACATGTTTTTTTTTTTTTTTGGGGGGGGCCTTAAACTTCAATTTCAAACTTTCAAATTCAAAGACAATTAATATTTTGATTTGGCATTCGATCTCACTCTCACTATCATCGACATCGCAAGTTAGCATACATGTATGTAAATAGACATTATTTGTACATCTAGCCCCGTCCGGACAGTTGATTTAAAATAGCCAATAATACTATTATTATCTTCCAGAGAGCCTTCCAGGTTAATTTCAAATTAATTAGTTTTAATTAGAGCTCTAATTAATTTCTGATTCTGTGTCTGTGCAGCCACCATGAAGATCAAGCAAGAGGTGAAAAGGGAAGAACCATTCCAAAGTACAGATGGTCTCGCACTCGAAGATGGAACATGGAAATTAACAGATACTGAAGGTAAATTAAATAATAGAGCAAATCAACGATACTTCAGCTCCTATAAATGCTAAACCCTTTAGAACAATGCAGACAGTTTGAACTTCCCCAATTTTAATATTGGTATTTTATTCAATCTTATATATTTAGAAGAAGCAAGGCTCACATTATTCATCTTTTTTGTTTTTTGTTTTTGTCTAACAACTATACCATATTTAGACTTGAATAAAAAACCACCAGCAATCTTTTTCAAATGTAAGAAGTATGTATTGTGCAGTTGGATAGAATGATGTCGGTATAAAGTCATAGGAAACAACAAGGCACAAAATTTTTCATGTGATACTGGTTTGTAAATGTGATGGCAATCTATTGGGTTTACTTGTATCATAAAATTTGATTTACATGTACATGTAGGTTCAACGTGCATTTTTCATAGACTCCAGCACTATTATAGATACATTGTATCTCAGGCTTGGTACTCAATGGCTATATAGTTGCAGGCAAACACTACATACCAGAAAATCTGTATGGAACATACAGATTTGCTGGATAAGATATTCCTTAAAGGTAATACAAAGTTTTGGGAAATTTTGAAAATTGGGTGGATAGTGATAGTTTACAATTTTGATATATTTGGATGCCCCTGTGGATGTATTATAAGCTCTAGAAAATTTAGCCCCTAAAACACTCCTACTTTCGAGAAAAATTGAATATAAAAATTTACCGGTGCTCCCGGTAAATTTTTTATAAATTTCACATAGTGCCTACGGCTGTTCAGTGGTAGCTACGACCACGAAAATCTCACAATATGTAGTTATGATATATAATTGTCAAACAGGAATAGCTAATCGGTCGATTTTAGTCAATAAACATTGTTTTATAGCTTAATTAATATCTTGACCTTAAGATGGAGCTATACAACATAAAGAGTTTATTATTTACAATTTCATAACTTAAGACTCGATTTCAACTGCGACAACGACCACTGAATATTGTAGGATCGCATTGGCTTCCAATAAGTTCATTTGAACCAAATTCAAGACCCCATACCAAAACTTTGTAATACCTTTAACCTGCATGAGCAACCACCAGTAGAAAGACCATCTATATGTATCATGAACAGTGTATCCACATTAAAGATCATATTTTGTTTCTCTTGATTAATGTTTATAAGGAGTCTATATGAAGACCACATGCCTGTAAAAATAACCCCTACTTTCCTTATCTCCCCTAAACGGTCTTTGTATACAGGTTACACTGTTCATATGTGAATTATTATTTCCCAATGTATTGCAGGCATGAACCCCGTCGATGTCAAGCAAGAAGAAGTGGAGATAACAGAATTATTACCCCTCCCGAGAATAGTATTAATACCCCTCCCTGGAATAGATGCAACAGTGGAGCAAGATGTCGATGTCTTGCGAGAAGTGGAGAGAACAGTATTATTACCCCTCCCAAGAGTAGTATTAATACCCCTCCCAAGAATAGATGCAAAAGTGGAGCAGCCTGATGAACAATCAACTACTGAAGGTACAATGCTTATGATTATTATTATCATTAGGCCTCAACAAAAAAGATGTTGTATTGCCCTTTAGGTGCCAAAACATGGAAATCTTTAAAAAAAAAAAAAATTAAAAAAAATGTTTTACTTCCTCTTTGGGCTGATATTTCTCAGTTTTGAATCCTTTATTACATTTTTTTCTCAAAAAAAGAAGAAAAGAAGCCGACCATAGATTTCAAGATTTTGGGGTCGGTTGCAAAGGCCAACACAACATATTTTGTTTAGGCCTTATTGTATGTTTATCAAAATACTGAACCTGGCAGCCCTTGGGCTGAATTTACATTCAGTTTACAGGATAAGAACACCTGCACTTGCACATATCCTACAATGTGTAAACATTCAAAATTAAAACATTACGGCAATTAAAGTAATGAATTATTCTTAAAACAGAGTCAAATTATGTTTACTTATTGCACTGAGAGGTATAGCAAGAAATATCAATTTAAGAGAGAGTAGAAGGAAAGTGGGGGAATTCTTTTTCAAAATTTAATATAGATAGTAATTCATTTGGTTTGGATCTAAGTTGCCAGTTGTGTGCAATGTATCCTGTATGCCACGTCTTTATCTAATAAAGATCATTTCAATTCTATTTATTTCAATTCATTTCAATAATTTAAGTTCAATTCAATCCAATTCAAATCATTGCAATGTAATTCAACCATGAAAATTCAGACATGATTGATGTTCACTAATTTTTACATTTATTTCTTTGTATTGTAGGTATTCAAAGTACCAGCACCGAGCAAGAGGCTGAAAGTAGTACATTACAACTGTCCCCTGATGAACATGGAGTATGCAAGGAAAATGATCCATCGACTAATACGGGTATGATTCAATTAAAGGGAGAGTTTAACAATGTTAAATTTGAGATGCACGGCCCTACGTGTTAACAGTGTCTGTGATATGGTGTTATATTGAAGCCCTAAATAAATTGGGCTTCAAAATCATCAAGAAGTGCCTCAAAAAAGTTATCCCCAATAGACTGTAGTGTTATGAAAATCGTTTGACAAACGCCAAATTTGATTTCGATTTTCAATCATAAATATCTTGATAATCAGAAAGGCGATCGGCTTGTAAAAGTTATGGGGTTCCTGACTGACCTAAAGGTTTATAATTATCATGGCAGCATGAGCTAAAACAAGGATTTTGTTAAAGGATCTAAGACAAAGTTACTGTATCCCTATGAATTTAATTCAATTCAGTTCAAGTCAGTTTAATTCAATTCAATTAATATAAGTTCAATTGATATAAGTTCGATTCAATCCAAATCAATGCAATTTAATTCAACCATGAAAATTAGGACACAATTTATGTTCACTAATCTTTACATTAATTTCTTTGTATTGTAGGTATCAAAAGTACCAACATCAAGCAAGAGCCTGAAAGTACATTGCAACTGTCCTCTGATGAACATGGAGCACGCAAGGAAAATGATCCATCGACTAATACAGGTATGATTCAATTAATTTTAATTCAATTCAGTTCAGTTCAATGGAGTTCATTTCATTTCAATTCACCTCAATTCACTTTAATTTCATTCAGTTCAGTTCAATGGACTTCACTTCATTTCAGTTTTAGTTCGATTCAATTCAGTTCAATTAATTTCAGGTCAGTTCAGTTCAATTCAATTCAGTTCAATTAATTTCTGGTCACTTTAGTTTAATTCAATTCAGTTCAATTAATTTCTGGTCACTTCAGTTCAAATCAATTCAATTCAGTTCAATAAATTTCAGGTCACTTCAGTCAGTTTGATTCAATTAAGTTCAGTTCAATGTAATTCTATTCAAGTCAGCTTAATTAATTTCAAAGATTGTTAAAACATATTATTGCAGCCAAGTGACAGAATTACGAACACATTGAAAATGAAAATGATTTAATGTTCCTAAATGAATTCCAAATCAGTAAAGACGTTCTTTAGAAGCTTTATTCAAGCTTTGAATATAGATTCTGTTTATCCATTCATGTATATATATATATATATAAACTGTCTTTATAATCACAATTGCAGATCTATGTAAGATGATGATGATCATCATGTGAACCGGTATACAAATAAGTCAATTCGACTCTAATAAAAATCCTAACTTAGTGACACAGAAAGGGCAAATAGAGAAAATTGGCCAAATCATCTCAAACTAATCATATTGATCTCTGTTGTATTATAGGCAGTATCGTAAACAACATCCAGCGTGAAGTGGAGGATACACAAACTACCGCGCACCCCCTAATGGAAGCAGTTAAACAGGAAAACGACCAACCGAATAAAGAAGGTATATTTTATTTACACAAAAGCTAAATTAAGTGCTTTTACTTCCATTTTGAACCAGTCTGTACTGATTTCCTATATTTAATGATATCCTATTTTCTCTTTAATTCATTCTACGCTACATTTATATTCCATCTATTCAGAGACATAGCAGCATTAATTGACTCTGTTTATGAATTAAGTCCTTGTGGCTCCAAAGAAGCAATTAATTCCTTGGAATGCTTTTAAAAATGAATCACGATCATGTTTTGTGTTATCTGTGTCTCCCCTCTCTTTCTCCTTTTCGCTCTCTCAAACAGTCTGTGTATAAAAGTTTCACTGTATGTTATTTACATTTTATTTTTGAAGGTCAATTAGAAAGTGACCAAGCAGCAAGTGACCAAGCAGCAAGTGACCCAGCAGCAAGTGACCAAGCAAAGAGGGACCAATCAGAAAGTGGCCAAGCAAGGAGTGACCAAGCAAGAAGTACCGGTAACCAAGCAGCAAGGGACCAATCGGAAAGTGACCAAGCAAAAAGTGACCAAGCAGCAAGTGACCAAGCAAAAAGGGACCAATCAGAAAGTGACCAAGCAAAAAGTGACCAAGCAGCAAGTGACCAATCAGAAAATGACCAAACAGAAAGTGACCAAGCAGCAAGTGACCAAGCAAAAAGGGACCAAGTAGAAAGTGACCCATCAGAAAGTGACCAAGCAAGGAGTGACCAAGCAAAAAGTGACCAAGCAGCAAGTCACCAAGCAGAAAGTGACCCATCAGAAAGTGACCAAGCAAGAAGTGACCAGGCAGCAAGTGACCAAGCAGCAAGTGACAAATCAGAAAGTGACCAATCAGAAAGTGACCAATCAGAAAGGGATCAAGCACAAAGTGACCAATCAGAAAGTGACTACTATTCCTGTAGTGAGCAAAATGACAAAGGTAGAGTATCATAGTCTGATCAAACCATTTTATAGAAAGTATGTACATCTACATGTATTGAAAGCTTGTTGGCTAGCTGTTCCCTCGGGTACAAGGATCAATGAGAATTGAATACGTGTAACTGATGGCACGATTTCATATGGCTAAAAGCCATTTCTTTGTTTCCAGTTTCCGGGATGGCATATAACATATCCCTATATTTCTCCTTGAATGACAAAATTCTTTGCATGAAACCACCATTATTCAATGGTCATGGACATTCTTCGTTATTGGATGAAATGTGGAAAAAAAGACATGTTGTTGCACGAAATTGTCCTAACTAAACCGGACCTCAAATAACTGACTCTAGTGCATTTTTGGAAATGAAAGCAATGGGGGGGGGGGGGGGGGGGGGGGGGGTGCGGCTATGGGCAGCTGAAGCCTATTTGGGAGCTCTACTCCTATTGACACTTGACAGCTTGCACTCTGGGTATCAGCAAAAGTTGTAATAAATGCTTAAAATTATTGATTAAGGCTCGTTTACATATGTTACAGTAAGCTGCCATATTTAAACAAAAAGAAAGTTGACATAAGTGCAATGTGCTTCATGTTCCGGTATCTCACATCTCACATATAAAATAAGTGAGTATGTAAAAGGACTATCGTTTCACGCACCTATTTTTTTCAATCCCCTCTTTTCGTTCACTCTCACACAAAATAGGTCCGGTAAACCACAATGGTTTCCCGCATATGTGAAAAACCCTTTTGAACATTTTTTAAACTTAAAAAATAATTATTTAGCATGCGTAGGGTAAGATTGTTAGAATCACTTTCACATAAAAGAGGTACCGTAAACCACCATGGTTTCCTGCTTCTGTGAACAACCCTATAAGAATTTGATTGGCTATGACAAAGTATGCAAAGTGTGTTTAAAATTTTTTATTTTTATTTAGTATGCATACGGTAAGATTAAGTGTAGCATCAGCTCTAGGGTTGAAACTATGGTTACAGGAACTTTCTCTCCGTTTTATCCACAGATGAAAGTTCAGACGACCATGACAAGAAGATCGGTTTTCGCCGTATGTCGACCCGCAGTGGACAGAAACGTAGTAAGAGACGACAGGAGGTACAGAAATCAGGTGAAAGTTCAGACGACCATGACAAAGAGGGCGGTGTCCGTCTGTCAACCCTTGGTGGACAGAAACGTAGTAAGAGAGGACAAGCGGAACAGAATTCAGGTGAAAGTTCAGGTGAAGGTTCAGACGACCATGACAAGGAGGTCGGTTTCCGTGGACAGAAACGTCGTAAAAGAGGACAGAAGGGACAGAAATCATATAAGTGTCATCATTGTGGTGAAAAATTTGCGCGTAGAGTATTTCTTAAACGTCACCTCCGAACTCATCCTTATGAATGTCCCCACTGTGATGATGAGTTTACACGAAGGGATTCTCTCAACGTTCACATGAGGAAACATCCTATAGAAAGGCCTTTTGAGTGTACTCATTGAAAGAACAGGTACCCTCGGAAAGATATGCTGCAAAGCCATCTAAGAATGCACAAAAAGAAACCGTATCAATGTTCCCACTGTGAAAAGGGTTTTTATCACAAACAGTTTTTTACTAGCCACGTCAGAATTCATACTGGCGAGAAACCACTTCAATGTTCTTTCTGCGATAAGAGGTTTACTCTAAAATGCTTACTCGCAAACCATTTGAAAATTCATACTGGGTATGGTGATGAAGAGTTAGTGTGTGTTCACTGTGATAAGACGTTTTTAGATCGAGTCAAACTCACTGCCCATGTAAAAACTCACCGGGCTACAGATATGCCTCTTCAATGTTCATACTGTGATAAGAGATTTTCCTTATCCAGTAATTGCAATTACATTGTCCACCTTAGAACGCATACAGGTGAGAAGCCCTTCCCCTGCTCTCAATGCAGTCAGAGATTTAATTCGAAAAGCTCCCTCACATCCCATCTTAGGGTACACAGTGGAGAAAAACTGCATCAATGTTCCTTTTGTGATAAGAAATTTGCGAATACAGCCACTCTTACCACGCATCTTAGGTTACACACCGATGGGAAGCCCTACAAGTGTTCTAAGTGTAACCAGAGATTTTCATACAAGGTCCAGCTCGTGGTCCATCTAAAGACGCACCCCGACTATGGTGAAATGCAATTTCAATGTTCCTATTGCAGTAAGAAATTTCCTTTCAAATCCCTGCTCACGTCTCACCTCAGAAGCCACACGGGGGAAAGGAAGTATGAGTGTCCACAGTGCAGTAAGACATTCCCTGATAAGGGCCACCTCAATTCGCATCTAAAAACACACTCTGGCATCAGGCCACATCAGTGTCCTCAATGCAAGAAGCGATTCCTTCTCGAATCCAATCTTGAACGTCATGTTAAAACACACCTCGGAGAAAAAAACCATCAATGCTCTTTCTGTCAGAAAAGGTACACCGAAAAATCAACTCTTGACCGGCATCTTAGGGAGATACCGCAGCCTTGTTCGACTTGCGGGAAGAGGTTTTGCACCAATTACGAACTAACCAGGCATCTGCAAACACATGATCCGTGGCAATGTTCTTTTTCTGGAGAGGGACCCTTTGAGTGCATTCATTGCAAGAAGACATTGTCTCATAAAAAAAGTTTTAAATCCCACTTTCGTCTTCACACCGGTGAACGGCCATATAAATGTCCCCACTGTGAAAAGGACTTTGCTCAACAGGGTGGTCTGACCAGCCATCTCAGAACGCACTCTGGCGAACGGCCATACAAGTGTTCTTATTGTGACAAAAAGTTTGCTGAACACGGCACTCGAGCCGCTCATATGAGAAGGCACACAAGAGAGAAGCCATTTCAATGCTCACATTGCAAAAAGAGATTTCCTCGCAAACGTACTCTCACTCTTCACCTCAAAACTCACACCGGTACAAAGCCCAGTCCAAGTTCCCCTGCTGGTGAAACAAACTCCCCAAGAAAACCTCTTGAAAGGCCTTTGAGAACACAAACTAGACGAAACCTATATCATTGTCCCAATTGTGATATACGATTCTTTAAACAAGATGATCTTACTATCCATTTGAGAACACATGCTGAAAAGCCACTTCGGAATTGCTCCGTGGTACTCCGGGATGTTCTTAACACAGTAGTCAGAATGTAACTTGTTCCCAATATTAAAGGGATTGGGTAACCTTGTCTCAGATTCTGAAAATAAATCCTGGATTTAGCTCATGCTGCAATGATAATTATAAACCTTTAGGTCAGTCACGAACCCCATGACTTTTACAAGCCGATCGCCAGTCTGATTATCAAGATATTTATGATTGGAAATCGAAACCAAATTGTGCGCCAATTGCCAAACGGTTTTCATAACACTACAGTCTATTGGGGAAAACGAGTATGGTAAAACCAGTCACTCAAAGATTTAAAACTTTTGTGAGTCTAAGGCATTGTTTAACAATGTCAAGTCTGAGTCGCACGGCCCTACATGTTATCAGTGTCTGTGATATGGTGTAATATTGAAGCCGTAAAAAAAAAGCGCTTCAAAATGATCATGAAGTGCCTCAAAAAAGTAAAAATCTTTGAGTGACCGGTTTTACCATACTCATTTCCCCCAATAAACTCTAGTGTTAGAAAAACCGTTAGAAAAATGAATTCTGATATTCCTAATTTCAATCATATGATTGCAGCATGAGCTAAATCCAGGATTTTTTTTTTAGAATCGGAGGCAAAGTTACCCAATCCCTTTAAAATATAAATCTCCCTTTAGAGATGAGGGGAGTGATGCAAGGTGGCTCAATGGTAGAGCAGTGATCTTGTAACCGGGAGGTCCTGGGTTCGAAACCAATTTGATGCGCTAGTGTCTGGTGGTATGGTATCAATCCTCATTATCAAGTCCCTTGGAGAGGACTTCCCCTGGCTGCTTACTTACAAGCATACACACGTTTTTCGCAGCATTTAGGTAAAATAAACGAACCAAGGTCGTAACTTCAAATCATGGGATTTGTGTGCACCTTGTACATGGATGTGAAGAATTATTGTAATTATGATTAAATTTGTTAAATAATTGTGCCTATAATTAACATTTTAGCTGTGTGACTTTTCACGGGTATGGTAATTAGTGTCAATTTTTGGCATTTAAATTAATTGTATGCTCTTTCAAATTTGACACTCAGTTTTTCATCATCTCACAAATTTTTTTCTGTAGCGCCCTCTATACCAAAATTCAACTATCCCTTTAAGATTTGATTTTTGTTTTCCAGCTACATTTCTTTTACATGTGTAATGCAAATAAGAGTGCTATTTTGAATACTGTATACATGTGTGATGTTCATCTACAGTACTTTGCTCTATGTACATATATCATTCTGTAATATTGACAAGTGGAAATTAGATTTAGCCGGATAGTACAATTTTAGATGGATGCATGTGCAATCAATGGATTGATGATTGTTATGTTTATATTAATTGAGTACAGTTAAAGGTAAAGACCAGTTGTGGTCATGCGATTGCATTGTGAAAGAAACGTTGTGGAATCGATTAGAAAAGGTTGATCATCTAGCATCTAGCATCTGCAAGGTTCTGGACTCATCAAAATGATAAGAAATTTGGCCCTTTGTAAAGTTACAAGCACTATACACAGAAAGATGTATATGGGACTACCTATATCTCTCACAGACCATGAGAGAAACAAATTTACCAAATATATGAATTAGTAGGCAGTTTCCCGGCAATTTTTTTATCATCATGTATTAGTCAAAACACATTCTTTCACATGATTGGTAATGAGAGCTTCCATTTCATTTTTTGAAATTGGGGCATTTCCAATACTGGTCTTTACCTTTAAACCTGTATACAATGTATATAAATAGGCATATGGCCTTTATGTATATGTTCCTTCAATGTTTAGGGAGATCAATTTAAGGGAAACAAAAATTGTGGTCTTTACAGTTTACAGTCAGGAGGTCTTTCTATCCAGGTGGTCACTGTACTTATGTTAAAATGTGTATTTTCTACCTCATTTTTATTACAGGAAGATACTTTATCGCAATATTTGAGTGTTACTGAAACCTGCACCTTAAATCTGGGATACGTGCTTCTACAATGTACATAGATGCAATTCACTCCAGTATTGAAATTTGATATATTTAAAGCTGAATTGTGTTCACTTAAATATCTGTATTTTAGAGGCATAAAGTAAAGATTTATTCCAAGTGCTCTAGAACACATTCATCATTACATGTATCATGAAAAGGCTGAATATGTTACACAATTCGGCTGTGTTCAGTTTTACGGGTACAGGTATGCATTGTTACGGCTGTGTATTATGTGTGTGAAGTAAGTGCATTCATTTATGATTAATTCTATACTTTTTTTTTCTGTTCTGATGTTTTATAATAGAGTATTTTGTTGGAATTATTAAGATTTGAATTTTCTTCATTGAACTACAGTTTAGTTGTATTGACTTCTTTGTGTATGTAGTTTATCACTGATGATTTATTACCATTTTCTCTACATCAATTTACTTGTATACATAAATAAAATACAGTACACTGAAAATTCAAATTCAAGTTTTATATTGTAATTGGTCTTGAATGAATCGGCCCCTTACAAAAAAGTACCATGGTAACCATGATTTGTTGTCCAAATTACCATCCACTATGGTAACCATGGTTATCATGGTACCAAAACAATGAAATACATTAGGTCATTAAAAAATGTATTTCATTGTTTTAGTACCATGATAACCATGGTTACCATGGTGGGTGGTAATATTTGGACCAAAAAAACATGGTTACCATGGTACTTTTTGGTAAGGGGGGGGGGGGGTAGGTTTTTGGTGTTACTTTACCTTGGGGCCGCACATTCTCCTTTAATCCCCTCATTCTATATTCTTCTTTTCCATTTGTTCCTTTTAGTCTTCTTCCCTTTATCCTTATGTTCTATGTAATTTGTATTATGAAATTATTAATTTATTCATCATAATATGAATTTTATGTTTTGATATGAATGTATTTAAATCAAGTTGTGTAATTTTATGTCATATGATTTACCTGGATGGAAAATTTTTTTGTTTTGGAAGAAGGCAATAAATGATATATTCTATATTTTATTCTATATTCTATATCTTTGTGCTTTAAAAGTACATGCATTATAATTGGTTGTAATTATAAATTTCCATTTCAATTTTTATAATAGAACATTGTATAGGAGTTTGAATCAATTGAATTTTCTCATTTATTTTTTTTCTCCAAATAATACATGTAAACCAAAGGTTTATTTAAATATTCCATAAAATATGCAGTACCTATTGTCATTAAAGCTTGAATTTATGAAATAATTGTGCCATTGGATTAAAGTTTGATTTTATGTTGCCTTTAATAGGCTGTTTTTGATGCATGTGTTTGTTGAGTATGTTTAATTGGTTGTGGGATTTTTTGTTTTTCTTCATGTGAATTTTATAATAGAATGTTTCATTGCAACGGAAACTTGACTAAATTAGAGTGTACCACAAGTTTGACGGAGCATTATTGTGGTGTGAGTGCATCAATATTAAAGATAATACAAAGTTTTGGTATGGGGTCATGAATTTGGTTCAAATGAACATATTGAAAGCATATGCGATCCTACTATATTCAGTGGTCGTTGTCGCGGTTGAAATTGAGTCTAAATTGATAAAATTGTAAATGATAAACTATTTATGTTGAATAGCTCCCTCTCAAGGTCAAGATATTAATTCAGCGATAAATTAAACAACGTTTCTTGACTAAAATCGACCAATTGGCTATTCCCGTTTGGAAATTATATATCACAACTACATATTCTGAGATTTTCATGGTCGCATCTACTCTTGTATGGCCGTAGTCGCTATTAAAAAATTCATCAAAATTAACCGGGAGCACCGGTATATTTTTTATTTTCAATTTTTCTCGAAAGTAGAAGTGTTTTAGGGGCTTATATTTTCTAGTGCTTATAAAACATCAACAGGGGCATCTAAATATAGCAAAATTGTAAAGAATCACCATCCAGCCAATTTTTGAAATTTCCCAAAACTTTGTATTACCTTTGAGTTTGTCTTGTACTTCTGTTGGTGTATTTTGAAAAATTTGAGAAATTCATTTTGATTATGTATATTTCATAGCATCCACAATGTTGAACCCTATGATTAACGTCTCATTATTTAAAATGGACATGAAATACCAACGAAAATAATGACGATGATAATAATAACAACAAAAATAAGGACATTAATTATAGTGATGGTGATGATGATAAAAACATCAACAACAACAAATGATGATGATGGTGATGATAATGAAAACAACAATAAAATGATGGTGATGATGATGGTGTACATATTGTAATGTTTGGATAGATCTACATTTTAAGCACAAATTCAGTGCAAGAGTTTTGGAAACGAGTTGCCCCGTGAACGCCCCTCAATAATTACCCTATTTGGCTGGGCAGTGTATCACCAAACGGATTGAATTTAAATTTAACACACATTTTATTGAATATAGGTGAACTTGTACTTTCGTAAAAATATGCCCTGCTGAATTATGGGGTCTAACAAATTCGTGATCCAGTGGAACTCTTGGGCACAATCATATGTCTCCATTTGTATCTAGTTTCAAATGGGCATTTAAGAGATACCATAATATACTGTTATGAGTCGGATTTAGGTCGCTAAGTTCACGCAAAGAAGACAAGCAAGAAAAACATCGGTCTAACTTTCCTTTTGCACGAGACTTTCAAGATGGTTGAAATACTTGGAGCTCCTATAATAATATCCTGCTCATATGATCCTTCGTATAAAGGTATGGCGATATGAAAATGATTTGAAATATGTTCGCCTGTGAATAAATAGATCTACGGGATGCCAAAAGACATTTCTTCAAGCACTGTCCCACCTATTAAAATTCGCGTGTTGCATTTAGATCTATCAGTTGTCAAGTTTTATACAGACCCAGTAGGGGGTCTACTGTACTCTGTAGTGTAGGTCTAGTGGCTAGTCTAGTGCTTCCCAGAAAAAACGAAACCGAGAATTAACGATGTATTATCATAACTTAATCACAATCATAGTTAATAAATGACACACATTTGTAAAGCTTAGATCCTCTTTCATTTGATGCAACTCATGTCATGTGATGCATATTTCACGCATGATCATGATGACTTGAGTAACCAATTTGAAGAGAGGGTAGACTACCAAAGTAAAGAGTCATTTGGTGGGCTGTATCTGAAATGAATTTCAAAGAGAAAGTCAAATTTCTTAAAATGTCATATTCTGTCCTTTAGTATGACACCTCGATCAGGAAAAATGAGCCAGGAATAACAAAGTTCTGTTTGTCTAAATAAAGTATGGCCTAGGCCTAATGGTAATGCTTGCAAAGTTGCATTTCCATAAGTTGATCAAACAAATTTGTTTTCACGGGCTACCTGCCATAGCAAAAAACCGAGTTGAAAAATGACTGAACTCCGTTTCGTTGACAATCAACCTGTGTGCATGCATAGATCTGACACCAACACTATGAAATAGATCTTACTAAATGTTCCCGTAAAGATACTTTTGCAGTTAAGGGTTCAAGGACAAGGTCGCGAGTTGTTTTTTATATAAGCCACAACCAACCACAAAATACCTTTCAGTAATGTCAATAGTATCAATAAACCTGAGTCATGGATTTGGTGCTAAACGTTTAACCGCTAAAAGTATTCGGGCGGTTTTGTTTTTAACCGTTATGCAAATACACGTATTTGTAATAGTGCTGGACGTAGCTCGGAACGCCTGCCGGTCTTCAGACTGCCAGGCTGAGCATTTTGAGCCGGACTATGGCACAAATTGGGTCAACCCGGTAAACAGAGACCAGTTAAAATGTCTTATTATTCCTCATGTGATATCATGATAAACCTAGCAAAGTTACCTTCAAGAATTGAGGTCAAGTCGCTGTGAAGATGGCTTGATCTGTGACCTGTTTATATATGCCTTTGCAATGTAATGTGTACATGTATAATTGCCGTATGAATGTGGATATGTGTAACATTCATGACACACCCAGCAACGAGCTGATCAAAATTAGTGACCAACAGGAAGTTTTTCTAGCTATGTAGGTGGAGTTTGATACCAGCATAAATTACAGTTTGGTGACCGCGCGTGCATGCACCCAGTTCAGTGGGAGGTCAAGAAGCCATGTGATAACCTTGTGTTTACCATGTGTGTCTATAATGAAAGTTTGTACAGTGTATTTGGGCGCAGATATTTGAGGTGGATTGTGTGTACGTGTGTGTGTGTGACAGAGATAGCATGGACCATAGAGAGAGTGAAGAAGTGAGACAAGTGAGATAGAAAGGGTGGCTGTGTTAATAAGTCAGCTGAATTGAAGATTGATCAAAAACTTAAATTACTCACAATGTCCAAGACTTTGTTGATTTTGTTGAATTTCATAAACTTCAATTATTAATGTTATCATTATTTTTTGTATGTTATTTATATATATACATTATTTTGGGGGGAGGGGAAGGGTAGTCGGCAAGGGATTGATATTAATATTGAGAGAGAGAGTGAGACTCGGGGAGACAGGATGTGAGACGAACTGACTGAGATGAACCCATTGAATGTGTAAACATTTAGAACTTTGCTGGCAGCGTATTAAATGCAGCTCATGTCTGAAAGTGCAGCAATAAGAAAAAGGTATAGAGTGGGTGAGAAAAGAGAGAAGGGGGCATGGTTGTTTACAAATTCATTCATAGAGATTACTGCTGCCAGACAGCTGGCACCCAGCTGCAGGGTGTAATATTATACTGCAGTTTCTTTGATTATCTTGGATAATAATTATTTTGGAAGAGGTACAGTGTACATGTACATGTATGTAGATGAAAATGATCTAGAGTCTATTGAAGTGCCCCATTATTATCGACCAGTGTGGTTTCGATCAAACTGTGCTGTGTGACACAGCTCTTTCTATAGTGTATTGCCATGAGTGACATGCCACAGGTTTTTTTTTACTGAATGGTGATTTGGACGTGCAACATTACTTGCTGGAAATTTCTTGCGTGTTGTTCAATTCACGATCATTGAGTAATTTGTGAAATTCGCATAAATAAAACTTCCACAAAAACTGCTTAATGAATGAATGGTGGTGGTTATTTTACCTGACTGACTGGTAAAGGAAAGATGTAAATTCAGGTGTATGGTTTGCTTGTGGGAAAATGTTGGCTAAATCATACATTCAAGATTCATGAGGGGGGAAAGTGAGCATTTGATTTTGAATACTTCACTTTCATTGTAGAAAAACAAAATTTGTAACAAAGTCCTCTAGCAAATTTAAGTGAATTCAATCCCACTTCCATTGGTTTTCATGTTTCTTGTCCCAGTTTCATAATACTTGTTATCAATAACAAGTTACAATAATGGTTATAAGCTACTGACATTGTGGCATTTGATTGGCTGAGAGCAAATTTGTTATAGAAATTTAGCATTTTTTTATTTTTTTATTTTTTTTTGATAACCAGTTTTTTTAAACAGGACCCTATTGTACTATCAATGGCAGGTGTAAACATTTGCCATAGTCTACGTACAGATGTAGCTATCACTATAGAAGTGGAATGTGATATAATTTAGACCCTAAAAAATGCAACCTTACACAGTCAGATCTATAGATATGTTTTAGTGAATCATCCAATACTTTACATTATTAACAGTTTTGTGCAGGTTTTGTTTAATTTTCAATACAATCCATCAAATGTTGATGAAATTGCAATTTTAGACTTTTAAAAAGGATTCACTAAAGTATATGCATGTAGCTTTCAAGGCTTGTCAAACTAAATTAGTAAAATCTAATTTTAAGGATGGATAATACATGTCAAAAAAAGTTTTAAAAAAGTAAGAAAGGTAAACATTGAGGACTTATAAAAGCATTATATGTCCAATAATCATGACCAGCATTCTCACTTGTAATAACTTGCACATATTTTGGTAATTAATGTAGATATTTACCCCTCCCTCCCCCCCCCCAAAAAAAACCTCTCCTGAATGAGCTAGATTGACTGAGTCTATATGTTCTAAAATCTTTATTTTACATTCGACAGCTGTTTTGGAATGTTGAGGGATGAAATAAAAGATCATTAATTCTTTTTACTCCAAATCTAGGAAATGATCATCAGCGTGATCTTGGAAAACACTAAATTAGTTGATGTATTGGAATTGGTAGTAGTAGTAAATTAGTTGATACGGACAAATATTACATGTTTACTTAATCTGGTTTATAATATGTTATCTTCCTGCAGTTGATATCTGCCTCCATGAACAACTATGGGGAGGGTCAATGACCTCAAATGACCTGGCTATAGAGGTCATGACCTTAATCTCTGAGCTGGAAGTTCTCTGTGATAAAGAAACCCAACAGGTAAGATCACTTTTTTTTAAGGCAAGTAGAATATATGAAACATGAATTTAACTATCATAGTGGAAGTGGTAGTAGTGGTGGTGGTGGAGGTGGTGGTGGTGGTGGTGGTACATAAGGTGGTGGTGGTGGTGGTAGTGGTAGTACTAATACTATAGTATACAAAATGTTTACATTATTTACACTACAACAAGAAAACTGAAGTAAAAAGAAGCTGGTAACAAGGTAGAAGCTAGGGACAAAACTGCTAATTTGAAGGAAAAAATGATATGGATATTATCAAAATTATAGATCATGTTTTCAGTCCCAGAAGGGCACTTACCGGTAACTCTTTAAACCAGGTTAAAATATGCTTTAGACCCTCAGCAGATTGCATGCACTGTTTGCATATAGTTAACAATTTCAAAATATTTTTTTACAGGTCTTTTTTATATTATGCTTTCAACCTTGAAATGTGACCATGCACCCAAAACCATTAAAAAAATTGCCAGATGTGATATTTTTTTAAAGGTTTTTAAAGGTTTGATTCTAAAAAAGGAAATTCTCAGCTTTAAAATGATAACCTACATGTACATGTATGACAGTTAGATGTTTCAAGCCCAATTAAACATGAGAAGAAAATCCAGTCTTATAGAAAGTCACTTTAGAAAAATGGCATTATTTTAAAGGCTGTACTCTATTCAAGCACTCACACAGAGTTGTGCAAGGTGAAAAAATGAGGATGAGAACTCTATAGAATCTTCTATGAAGAGACTATCAAATTGTCCTCATCCATTTCTTTATTTTGACCAAGTATCAATGCAATGGCTTAATCTACTTTATAGTTATTGGAGATAAAAAAATAAACCAATAGACAGGGACATACATATAAGGAAATTGAAATTATTACAAACTCAAATTCAAGAAAAGACAATCATAGGTCCACAAAACCTGTCCGAACTACCACTTTCAGATTATTTTGTGCTTCCAAATTTTGAAATAAATAGAGGAAGCAACACTCTTTCAGGAAATACTAAAAAGTATCTAGACCATTCTGACCAAATGCACTTTTATAGAGCTCCATCTGAAAATCACCCCATGTGACCTTTTGGTGGTTTTTGTCATGCCTGGGGTGTGTTTCACAAAGATCCTAAGTAGAACTTAACACTAAGTTGGACTTAAAAATTATGGACAGCCATTGGAGCCTTAAAATGATATATATTTGAAAGCAGAAATTCAAGTATTTTAGACTTTTTATAAATTCCACATCCAGAACATGAAATCTCCTTGATGATAGAAAATATGAATGATTTGAATTAACATTTTATGCCTTTCAAAATAACTTTTACAAAATATTTTCAAAGATGCTAACGGCCTTCCATAATTTTTAAGTCCAACTTAGAGTTAAGTTCTACTTAGGATCTTTGTGAAACACCCCCCTGGTCACATATACTGTTTGACTACTTCAGGGGGGTGTTTCGCAAAGACTGAGATCGACTTTAAGTAGGACTTAACTATGGCAGGCCGTTCATGTCACTGTTTGCTCTCACCATTTACTGACATTGGTTTCTCAAGGGACGTACAAATCATGGTCACAAATCTACAGAATTTTCATTTTTTGATAATTCATTATTGAAGGAAAAAATATTATCTAAAGATCATAATGGTGAGAGCAATCAATGGCATGAATGGCCTGCCATAGTTAAGTCCAACTTAAAGTTGATCTTAGTCTTTGTGAAACACCCCCCAGGATTCAAGCACTACATGTACTTGTGCAGCCTCTCCTTTCTTTGTTGTTAGGAGATGTACATGTATTCATGTCAACATAATTTGTTTGAATTCGTAACTTGAGAGGTAGGTTAAGTATATATGTGTGACAATCTTTTACTGTTTTGACATTTATAAAACACTTGAATTGCAACTGAGATAAGTCGGAAGTCTTGGTGAAGTATGCTTGATACGGATGAGCAGTGTGTCTATGCCTGTCGATCATGTATACCTGACATTTAAAAGCTTATCTTGAGTTTTTTCATGGAACTGCATTTACAGGTTGTACAAAAATCTTTGTTATCTTCATTGCATTTTTGCTACTTTTGGCAGGCTTTCATTTTGTTTTAAAGGTATAGACCAGTTTTGGAAATGCCGCCCCCCCCCCCCCTCTCAAAAAATGAAATGGAAGCTCTTATTACCAATCATGTGAAAGAATATGTTTTGACTAATATGCCAGGGAATAATTTTCCTCAAATTTTTTGATTAGCAATTTCAGGCGATGGATAAATATTTCAAATGAAATTCTGTACATTTCTATGGAAGAAAACTGCTACACAAAAGATATTTTGTATAGCAGTCATGCAAAAATGCATAGCAAATTGCGATGCGATACCAGGAAAATTATTCCCTGTATGCGATGATCATACAAATTTTGCCGGGAAACCGCCTACTAATTGATATATTTGATAAGTTATCATATCTATCCGGCCTGGATAGATGTCACGTAGTCCATATACATTTTTCTGTGTACAGTGCTTAAAATTTTACCAAGACTACCAATACTTATATGCTAGATGATCAACCTTTTCTGATCGATTCCACAACGTTTCTTTCACAATGCAATCGCATGACCAGAACTGGTCTATACCTTTAAGGGACTTTTTGGTTTCATTTTATATTGTACACAAATTTCGAGTAAAACTGTATTTCAGCATGATAATTATATGTAGCCAACAAAATACAATACCTTGTCATGGTTGGCCCCATTCATTTCATCATAAATTAATTGAATTTTCAAAAAGGAGCAATTGTCCGTCATAAGAACATTCTATATACACCTGTACTGTGCTATCTTCAGTAGATATCAAGTTAGCAATGTAATGTACGTTTATAATGATCTAGCAATAATACTGCTACTACTACTACTACTACTACTACCACTACCAGTACTACTACTACTACTACTACCAGTACAACTACTACTACTACTACTACTACTACTACTACTACTACTACTAGTACTACTTCTTCTACTACTACTATTACTACATGTACGACTACTACTATTACTACTACTTCTACTTCTTCTTCGACTTCTACTTTTTCTACTACTTCTACTATACTACTTCTACTACTACTACTACTACTACTACTACTACTACTACTACTACTACCACTACCACCACTACCACCACTACTAACTACTACTACTACTACTACTACTACTACCACTACCACCACTACCACCACTACTACTACTACTACTACTACTACTACTACTACTAATAATAATAATAATACTACCACTACTGTACTACTACTACTACTACTACTACTACTACTGTACTACTACTACTACTACTACTACTACTACTTCCACTATTACTACTACTACTACTACTACTACTGTAATACTACTACTACTACTACTACTACTACTACTACTTCTACTACTAATACTTCTACTACTAATACTTCTACTACTACTACTACTACTATTGTACTACTACTACTACTACTACTACTACTACTGCTTCTACTACTACTACTCCCCTCCTCCTACTACTTCTTCTACTTCTTATAATGATAGTATACAAGAGTATACAAATTACCCACTATATAAAGTGACCATGTTATTAAACCATGCAAACATACAAGGAGCTTAAAGTCTTTGAGCATTTGCCTCGCTGGTTTTAGTGGTCTAGAGCCCTCTGTTGACAGATATTTGTACACTCTACAGTATGTTGAGACTGTATGTGCCATATAGTGTACATGTATGTGCATTTGTAGATCAAGTATTTGATGTAAATATTGCAGTTTCGATTGATGTAAACATCTTAAAGGGATCTGTTACTCAGTGCCTCCAATTTGATGATGAAATTTAAATTGATTGATAAAAAGGTGTAATAGGAAGTAGAGAAATTAAATATTTAGCATGTTTTTCATGTGAACTTTTTTTTGTTTTGTTAATTTAATAGTTTTCATTTCTTGATAAAGGTAATAATGAAATTTCAATTATATTAATAGAAAGAAGAGAAATTACATAATTAGCATCTTTAAACAAAAAGATTAACAACATATCTTTTGATTATATATTTTGAATTGCTTTTTTTTTCTTCTTTCTTTCTTTATTCCTGTAATATAGATATATTTTTTGTTTTGGGGGAGGAGGGGGAGGGTAAGTTATCCAACTATGCAATGTACAATTTATCAATAAAGTAAATGTGTACATCTACATGTATGTACCAAAAAAGTTCACATTTCCAAGTATGTAAACTATATAGTGTGAAGGAATAGTATTTACACATAGAAATATATATACTTATGCCTATGAAAGTACTTTTGATTGTTAAAAAGTATTTTCTCTATTTATCTTATTTCCCAGGGTGAAAACTTTAGTAAATTTCAAAAAGGAAGCCAGAGAAAGACCTACATGGCTACATTTGAAACACAAGGTATGTATGCATTTATTACTGACACTCAATTGATTGATTTTAGAAGTTTTCATCATGGTAAAAAGTAAAATAGCAATAATATTGTTTAAAAGTCTTGAAAGCGGCAATATTTTCAATGAATATTGCATTCAATGGAATTAAAGTGTTTTTTCGCCATCATGTTCATCTTTAAACTATCCATATATATTCTTTAGAAATTCTGATAACTTGTACATTAAAGGTACTACATGTATGTCCCTTTTGCAGCCAACCTCAAATTCTGTAGAACTACGGTATGCAGGAATTATGAATATGTCATGTACGTATGTCCTATCTGTGAAATTTAAACGTTAGCAGTGTCCTAATATTCAAATTATGCAAGGAAACCTGTTTACTTGCTAGACTTCACTGTCAAACACTATTGAGTGACTGACTGGCTTTTTTTCTTCTCTGGTAATAGCAATGAGCTGGAAAGGGTACATGAGCATTTGTCCACATCAGTAACCCACTTCTTGTGATGGCCAAAATTAAACTGATTGAATCTTTGTTCAGCATAAAACGTATGACCATTCGGTACAATGGTCTAAAAATCAAGACTATTACTTATTGGCTCTATAGCTCCCAAGTCAATTTGACAACTAATAGTCGTTATTTTCCCACTTGAAGACTTTTTTAAGCCCCACTTTCTTTAGGGAAGCTCTAAATTAGTATTATCTTTCAAATGCCGTTGGAATTTAACCTTTTCATTTGTTTTGGCCTGCAAATGGGACATAGTATCTTTAACATTTTGAATTTAGCTTTGACCAAAGGAATTAGAGAAAAAAACACATGGGCAATTCCACGGTAACGGAAGGACACTCAGACAAGATTTTTGAACTTCAGGTTCATACTAAAAGAAATGTTTTATTAGTATGTATTAAACTATGGGGAACAAAATGTGTTTCAGTCAAGTGGAAAGCTTCATCAACTTCACAAAGTTTGGATAAACACTAATTAACTGGAAAAACCATGTCCATTTTTATGTCCTTCCGTTACCGAGATAATTAATATGCACATTCTTAAACTACTGAACTATAATGACAATTTTTTTGGGGAGAATTAAAGGCACTTATATAGGTATTATATCTGTACTGTTTCACATCTTATACTAATAAAACAGTTCTTTTAGTATGAACCTGAAGTTCAAAAATCTTGTCTGAGTGTCCTTCCGTTACCGTGGAATTGCCCACATGTACAAACGAACAAAAGAAACACAACAAAAAAACACCCCCAAAACCTGACCAACAAACAAACAAAACACACTGCAAAAGCAATTCAGTGATGTGAAATTATTTTCTAAACCCTTCATACTCTACACCAGTCTAGTCAATATATTTATTTGTTTGTAAATGTCTTTTTACATTTCCCAACGTATTTAAGATACCCATATATCGTCGCTGTTTTCACGAAGTGACGGTAGTGAAAAAAAATTGCATTCACTTTGCGTTACGATTTTCCTCACCACCGTCACTTTGTGAAAACAAGGAGGATATGCTCCATCCAAACAGTGTTCTTTCTTTCAAATGGTTGACTAGTCCCTTTAAAATGGATTCTAGATGCAATAACCCAGGTCTACGGTCCACACATGTACATAGTAGGGGTATCACTTGACATAGGTATACTCGACAAACCCAAAAGCTCCCCTTTTCCGCGTGAAAAAAAAGAGAGCCGCGATATAAGATCGGTACAAAACACTTCACCGCAATTGGGACATGACGCGGGGATAGCTGTCACTGGACCACTCAGAGTCAAAGGACTTTAATAGCCAAAGGTCTGCAGTCAAAAACTGTTTGCCTTTGCATGTATATGTACATCTTAATCTAAAGCCTTGTACAATTGTAAATAATCACTAAACTCACAAAATTGGCAATGCAATGAGAAATTTATGATTGCTATTTTCATATGTACATGTAAGTCAGCATTTAAGATTTTTTTATAAAGTAAATTTCCTTCACATTGGTTCATTTGATATAGAAGCATATTTTTTAAAGAACTTTATGAAAATAATTGATGCCAATTTGAGGAAAAAATCTGATTTAATTAGACCGTAAGATAATTGAAAAGCTTTGGGTTAATAGCCACAGATTCACAGTCACGCACTTGTGTGTACATACATGTATTGTAATAAAAGGCTGTAAATACCAACTGGTTTGGCTTTGCTTCTAGATTGGAATTAAAGGCCTCTAATAGCTGTAGCTCGGCTGTCACAAGCCCGTTTGACTGTCCATGTAGATGTGTATTCAAAGAGAAAACTTTCTTCAGATATTGAGTGCATTTAAACACACTGGAAACTTTTAAATCACTGGTGTGGGCCAAAAGTACCATAAAAAACAACTGATTTGTATTGTCATTAGATAGATATGATCATTAAAAACAAAAGTACAAGATACTGTTAAATGAATTATAATAATGATGTAAATGGGTACCTGGCAGGAATTAATTCCTTGAAATGCTGGAACACTGTATACGGCAGCCAGGATAAAGCTGGGGTAATAATAAATGTGCCTTGGAATAGAATTTCTAGATAGACGGCGCTATAGAAATGCCTATTATTGATGATGATGATGATGATGATGATGATGATGATAATAATAACTACATGTAACTTCACTTTGAGGAATGAAAACAACATAAAAATTGTAAATTTTATTTTAATTTTAAAGTGCAGATTCAGTATTCGAGCTCGGCATTATCTTATTGCAGAAGTAACTCTTGAAGTTTTTATTTTTCTAGCGTTGCCTGAACCATAAATTTACAACAAAGCGGTGAAGAAATTATACAATGAAAAAAAAGCAAAGAAATATAGGGGTACTAAAGGGTTGTTGCTTCTCTTTGAAAGATGTGGTGATGAATTTAATTTCAATGTTTACTCTGGTTTCTAAGAGAGGCACAGCTGTTTGCAAAGTGTGTGAGTGTGCAAGTGGGGCAAGTCTTCATTCTGTTTAGCTCGCTCTGCCTAAACAGCTGCTCTTCAAAAAAATCTTTAAACTTTTAAATTAGACAAAAGCCAGTAACAAACAAATAATGAAACAATAACCATATATAACAGATTGCACTGGTGTTCAAGTGGCCATGTGCATAATTATGCATATATCTAACCGGTAGGTCTTTTATAATTGAACTGACAGTTTTCAAAACATTTCCATTGAGCATTCTTGAGAATTGAATCATAAAATAATGTGGTTTATTAAAACAAGAAACTGCCAACTGATTCCAAAATATTGCTGCCAATGTGTTGGATGTTTATTTTGACATGATGCAGAAATCATTCCAAATGGTCAGTTTATCAGAATAAATATGCATTCATATAACTAATTTAGAAGTTAACTGACAGTTCTCAAAGACTTTTCATCAAGCAATCTTCAGAAATTACCATTTTTATTGTGGTTTACTATTTATAGAACAAAACCCCCCAGCTGAAGCTGTGAGGTTGGCCTGCTAGTGCTTAAAGAGAAGGTTGAGTTCTGGGGATAGGTTAGAAATAAGTTGTGAGCGTTATCATTGTTATAATGCAAGTGTGGAAGAACATCAGAGAAAAAATGTTCCCTGAAAAGCATGGCTCTTCAAATGCCTCCATATTCTAAATATGACAAGTAACAGTGTAAAATTGAGGCACAATTTTTATGCCACATGATTGTGTAGTCCCATATACATCTTACTCTTTGCAGTGATTGTTGCTTTACCAAGACTGGGTCAAATTTCTTATCATTTTGATGACTCCAGAACCTTGCAGTAGTTAATACTTATATGCTACGTGATCAAATTTTTCTGATCGATTCCACTTTCTTTTTTCTCAATACAATCACCTGACCAGAACTCAACTTTATCTTTAAATGTGAAGTGATGCAAAAATAAGTCTTTTTAAAAAAAAATCAGAATAAGCATGCATACATGTAGAGCTATTTTAGAAGTAGACTGATAGATACAAGTCGACAGATGTAATTTTTTTTTCATAAAACATTAATGATAATTGAATGTGTAAAACCAGAAACCCCTATTAAACTGAACTGACATGTGAAGGTTGGACTGATCGTGCTATGAAATTTTTAAAGTGGCATCTAGAAAAATTGGTCCACAGTCCAAATCGTTGTGAGCTGAAAGATAACCTCCCAAAACTTTTAAATGTATCACCAAAAATTAAAATGTAAGATGTCTATGACAAGCTTTAGCTTCACATTTTTTCAATTTGTTTTTGCCAAGCAACCATGAAATAAAAGAAAGAAGAAAAGTGAAGTTACAACCTGTTTAGTGAACATGTATGTTATTAGCCTTGCAGATCTTGACAATCTTCCAGAATTTTTTCCACCTTTCTTTGTGTGTCTATTCAAAGTATTATATTTAAGATTTACAAAGAATTTATGTCCTAACAAAGCTTGAATTTTTTCTCCTGATGGTCGATTCAATCTATAGGAAAGAAAGAGCAGGATCCATTATCTTCCTGAAAGTTTTCCATCTTTATATGTGTGTTTATTTAAAGTATCATATTTAAGATTTACAATGAATTTTATGTCCTAACAAAGCTTGAAACTCTTCTTCTAATCGCCATATTCAATCCTAAGGAAAGAAAATGAGTTGAGCAGGATCCATTATGAATTGCGTGGCTGCCAAGTAAACACTGCCCTATATATCTTGTTTGATGCACTTAAAGGTAAAGACCAGTTATGGTCATGCGATTGCATTGTGAAAGAAATCGATCAGAAAAGGTTGATCATCTAGCATCTAGCATCTGCAAGGTTCTGGAATCATCAAAATGATAAGAAATTTGGCCCATTCTTTGTAAAGTTACAAGCACTATACACAGAAAGATGTATATGGGACTACCCTATATCTCTCACAGACCATGAGAGAAACAAATTTACCAAATATATGAATTAGTAGGCGGTTTCCCGGCAAATTTTTTATCATCACTGATGTATTAGTCAAAACATATTCTTTCACATGATTGGTAATGAGAGCTTCCATTTCATTTTTTGAAATTGGGG